TGTAGGGAACTGAACGGTGAACAAACTTCTCCATTCATATTTCACATGCAGCAGAGTTAATGGAAGTCAACAATGCTATTAACCAACACATGTTCTAATTGTAAAATTTGTCACGTTTATCAAATCATTAATACATTTAAACGTGGGATTATGATTATAATTACCCGTTGGATGTTTGATTTTTTTGGTTGTGTGACTTTTCCTTGTTTTGTTTCTACCTTAATCAAGACATCGCTCATTTAGGTAGAATCTTTGACTTTTTTTTTTATGTTTGAATTTACTGACTTTTGTTTCCACCTTAATCGGCAGTGTTCGTTTTTGGAAGAAAAAAAAAACTGAGTCATGATATTGCATATTCCATTTATGTGATCGAATTGGTATTTATTGAGGAAAATAAAATGTGATTCTAATTAAAGCTATCAATTAAAAAGATGGGTATAGTTTTCATTTTTACAAGTTTATATACAGAAAGAAGAAACTCTTGGTTTTCCAATTTAGGTCAAAACAAGGAAAAGCGTGGAGCTCGTGGGACACAAACACAAGGTTAAAGTCAAACACCGAACCGAATACAATATAAAAACCGATTGATACCTATTTTTGTAAAACCGAAAGAACTGAACCGATCCATTCCCGTCCCGAACCGTTTCTCGAAACGCCTACCCCTACTTAATATATGATATTTATTTAAAAATTTTAAAATTTCGTATCTAAATTTGAATTCGGATACCTAGTTTTTGGGTGTTAGACCAAAGTGAATACGAGACGAGGTAATATCTCATAATATACGCACCATTTGGATTCGGATTTTAATCCTAAAAGTTCGGGTATCCGACTCGTGTCTATCTCTATTGCTTTACGATGAGTTCCTTGTGCAACTAGTTCGGTTTTAGATTTAAGAAGGTATCTACCAAGGGGTTAGACTAAAACACAAAATGCAATATTATGCGTATCTAAGCTTGTGAATTTATTGTGTTTAGAATTCACCCTTACAAGCTACAGACTCTGTAGACAGAGATCTGGATTCTTCGGATTAAATCTCAATGAAATGCGCAGGCGAAGACGGCGAGAGAGAGGCTGATGAAGGGGGAGGAGTTTGAAGACAGAGAAGATGAACACGAAGATCCAACATTTCATTTTCGTTGATTTTCATGTTTGGATAATAGTTATAAGGGAATGTTTTATGTGTTGATACGTGGCTACATATACGTACGAAATAAATTTTTTAAAAATTTCCCCAGTTGAAAATTGGAAAGATTATTTAAATAAAATTCATGTATCATCTTTTCTTGTTGAAACTAAAAAAAATATAGGAACCTGTAAAGAAAAAAAGTATTTACCAGTTTTTCATAATGGGCCTAAATATTTATATTTATTGGACCAATAAGGGAGAAGAGTTTTGGGCTTATCCTCACGAGCAAAATACTTAAATTACTTAAATACCCTCTGCCCAGCTTTAAATATCGAGATTGTCCCTGATACACAACCTTTTGATTTTGCGTCTCCTCGTCATTCGCCATCTTACAGAGGTTGCAGAGAGAAAAGTGAAGGTTTAATTAGGGTTTTGCCGGAGGAGACGAAGAGATGAGTCGCAGTTTGGGAATACCGGTGAAGCTCCTTCACGAGGCCTCCGGTCATGTCGTCACTGTGGAACTGAAGAGCGGCGAGCTTTACAGAGGAAGCATGATCGAGTGTGAGGACAACTGGAACTGTCAGCTCGAGAACATCACCTACACCGCCAAGGTAATGTCAAACCCTAGATTTCGTTTCGTTTTTTTTCGTTTTGTAGATGTGTTTGTTGAACCCCAAATTTCGCTTCCATTTTGCCGATGTAAGTGGAGGAGCGTACTGTAAAAACCCTAGATTTGTCAAGCCTAGAAATTTCACCAGGGTTTTTAGGGAGTTGGATTTCTTCCTTTTCGGGTTTATATCAATTTTTAAACTTTCTCGGAAAACTGTGAATCCTGGGGTTCTTGCACTGTAAAACCAAGGCTATTAAATCCAGCAGTCAGTTCTATAAGAGTATGCTGTGGTATGGTATAATTGCTTTTTGGATCTATGAGGATGAAATTTTCCATCATATTTTTCACTGTTAGTTTTTATGTTTTTAGGCCACTGTCCATATAACTTCTCATGTTATTCTCTGTGATCGTTACTAAACTTATGCTTGGATTTCTCATTGTCCCGGAACAGGATGGTAAGGTGTCTCAGCTTGAGCATGTCTTCATCAGAGGCAGCAAAGTCAGGTGCTTTATCCAACTTAGACATGTCTTTATTCCGGTGTAATCTATTGAAATCCGTCTCAACATAGCTAACTCTGATTGATGGTTGACCTGTGACGAAATCTGGACAGGTTTATGGTCATACCAGACATGCTCAAGAATGCTCCAATGTTCAAACGTTTAGATGCTAGAATCAAGGTATGCTTGCTCATTCTGAATTGTTTTATGGACCACTTGTTGTGTGTGTTCTCCATTAACATCAACCTGAGATGTTAACATCTTGATTGCTTAAACTTGCAGGGTAAGAGCTCATCATTGGGCGTAGGCAGAGGTAGAGCTGTTGCAATGCGTGCCAAAGTAAGCTTTACTCTTTCTAAATGACCTTATTTGTTTCTCTGTTTCTCTATTACGAACTAATAGAATAAATCTCCATTATATGTTGTTTGTGTAAAGTAGAACTCTTTTTCACCATTGGCTTGATTTTGTGATTACTGATTCTTGAACACTTTGATCTTGTGATTGTTGTAAAGGCTCAGGCTGCCGGGCGTGGAACTGGTGGGAGGGGTTCGGTGCCACCCGTGAGACGGTGATTTAACTCTCCAAAGTAAACAATCTTTTGGGGTATCCTCTGGTAAAGCGATAGTCTTTGTCCTTGTCCTTTCGTTTATGCTTAGGTTTTCTCTGCAAAACCAATGTTTGACATTAACGAGGGCATGGGACAGATAGAGAGAGAGATGACCGGATGCTCTTTGTTTCTGTATTTGGGTAGTAAGATGTTGGAATGTTGACATGTTTTCAGATGGTCTTTTGCGAATTCCACCATGAATTCTGCAGAATGACATTGAAGTACTATGAAAATTTTTACTTGGTTTCTCTTCGAAATTTAATTTTTTTTCAGCTAAAATACAGAAAATACAGAGACAGATATTGCCAAACAGCTTTATTGGCATTCAGAAATGAAGTTAGTCATGAACAAGGAAATCTAAAGAGAGCAGAATTTTGGCTAACAATCCTTTATTGCTCATAAGTAAAGAGGATAAAAAAGGATTGAACAAGAACCTGACTCAGACGCCCAGATACATACGTTTTCAGACATTAAACCCACTCGACAGGGGCAACTTTGGTTGCTTTAACTGACTTTGATCATGTTATGACAAAATGGCTTATTATTATAATAGATCATTTTGTGACATTCGATGTTAAAAAAAGTTAGAGAAGGAAAGTAGCTGGTAAGTTTCTTGTAGCATAACCGAATTTGGACGTGCTGTACTTCCTGTGTACACCAGTCAGTTTCCCTGTCCCTGCCTTTTGATGGAAAGTGGCCATCTTTCTCGAACATTCCCTGAAACCAAACAGAACCCACTTTCAGAATTTGAGGATTTGTCAATGGGTTTTTGCTGCTGCTGCTTTTTTTTGGGGGTTTGGTTTCTTACAGTAGCTGTTCTTCAGTGTACCCTGTGTGCAACTCGCAGGTCTTGTTCCATTGCTTGAATCCGTTAAGCGTACACTCGGCAGTGTAGATCGCTGATGCTGCTAATTGAGATGGAGGGTACTTCAGCATCTCGTATTCCACCAGGCAAAGCTCGATGATGAAGAATGATAGAAGCTCAAGCTGGGACATAGATACATAGAGCATTCATGTTAGATGATGGACCCTTCAGACCGTTGAAGCCTTTAGATGATTAAAAGTTTGAACCTTTTTATCGGATTGTGCAGCTTTCAGAAACCGTCTCATGAACACATATGGAGTCGGAAGACAGAAGTTGAATTGCAAGGTAGTAACCATTAGTTTCTCCTGCAAGAAGAAACACATGTTCTCTCTCATTTTCACACCATTATTCTTTCTCAGAATATGACATTTAGTTATGAAGCATCGTATGTTTTGATCCTGAAATATTACCATATCGAGCACTTCTGTCCGGGTGTAAGCTTTGTCGGATATGAGAATGAGATCATCTACCACCGGAACTGAAACCTCTTCATATTTGCAAGCAAGCAACATAGCTGTAACACCAACAAGCTGAAGCTTTTTCCTCACTATTTCCTGAGCTGCTAGAAATCTGTCAATGAGATTGACTGTGAGATAAAGGGTTTCCTCCATCAGCTCGAACTTGTAGTGCACCTGCTCAATTTCCATCACAACAACATTACTTTTCATCAAGATTGAAACATCAAACCAAATTAGAAAACAATTTATGACGGATGAGCACAATTCCATTCTCCTTTCGGTGTCTACCTCGATCAACCAGTCAATGAGAATTCCTCTCATCCTCTCGTTTAGGTCCTGTTGATTCTCCATGTAGTTTGGTGGGACACAGCTTCGGCACTGCCAAATGAAGAACAATCAAACATCTATATCTCGGAACCAGGAGCTATTGATGATATAGAGCTTGGAAGATCTATGAACACCAACATTAATTAACCTCATTTTTCTTGTAGAAATCATACAAATATTCAACATACATTAACGAGTTGATGGAAGGAAAATAATAATGATTTGTCTGATTTCTACAAGAAAAATGAAGAACAGTTGAACACCTACACCTATACGAAAAGACTAATTATTTCATTTTTCTTGTAGAAAGCAGCAAATCATCGATATTTCAACAGGGCATTAATGAGAGGATGAGAGTTATATATCAATAAGTTGTATGCTTTGTACAAGGAAAATGAAGAACTGTTGAGAACATATATCTCGGAACCAGAAGCTGTTGATGATATCTCTGTTCTGTCACTAATTACCTCATTTTCTTTGTAGAAGGAATACAGATCATCGATATATTCAACCACCGCGAGAGGATCATTCTTGTCACAGCTGTCTATATCGATCAAAGGCTCTTCATCATCATCATCATCATCATCATCATCATCCACGTCTTCCATTTCAATCTCCTCCTGCAGAAAAAGCAAGCGATAAAAAACAGCATTTCCTTGCTGAGTCTCTCATGACACTCATCGAATATAAGGGTGGTTTGTCATATCAATTACCATCCGGTCTATCTCGTCAAGCATTGCTTCAGTGTGTTGAACAAACATTGGCTCATTAAATTCTCCTTCGTCGGCATCGATGATGATTTTATCGGCCGACTCACCAGAAATCGAGACTGATTTCTTGGTTTCCTGGACATAAAGAACAGAAACCATTCAAGATTTTATTCTCAATTACCACATCCAACAAGTCACTTTCTTTATGTAGACGATACCTCCTGCTGCGTTTGCTGCCTTTTGTCAGTTAATTGAGAAGCAAACATCCTGAACCAATTAATAGTAAAGCTTATGCAAGGGACATCAACTAATGTGACACTGTACTGAAGCCAAGCAAAAGCCTCAAAACTGCTTACCTGGTAACTGGTCGATGCACCGGAAGAGGAGGGTCGTTCTTACTGCAGATGGCATTCCTTCTGAAATCAGGGGAAATTCAGGAAATGATCACCAAGATTCAGAGAAAATCCACAGAAAACCACATCTATACATATATATATATATTAGCCTTTTTCTACGTCTCTCTAATCACTGAAAAAGCAAGGGCAACTTCTGAGACTGTTCATGGAAGGAACCTACTCAGACAGTGTTCTCTTGACTGCACAAGGATAATGTGGAGCTCCGATGATGTTCTTGTTAATGGTACTGAGTGCTCTCCGAGTCTGCCCAGTCGCCGGCATGGACTTTCCTCCACCACCACCTTGCAAACCCCCTTCTCAGGTTGCAGAATCCAACAGATAAATCAATGATTTGGCAATCACAAAACTTGAAATTTCACATCGAAGAGATGATTCCTGAGATGATTTTTCTGATAAACCCACATATGAACAAACGGATCGATTACCTTGGAGATTCATTGGTCCGAGTACTCCAGGATTGTTCTCGTCTGATCCAGCCATTTTCTTCGTTACCTAGGGCGAAATTTTCACGGCAAACGCTTTAAAACCCCCCTGAAATCGAATTGAAAACCTAAAAAAATCCAAACCCAAGAGCAATTTAAAAGGGGAATAATCTCTATACTTGAATCTTCTGGACCCGATGCCAAAATCTGAAAATACCCAATCAAGAACAAGACTTGATCTGAAAAACCCAGACGAAAAAACCCGAAAATTTTACCTTCCGCCTACAAGACACCCAGGAAAATTTCACCACCCTGATCTCGAAATCACACGAACAGACTCCACCAGAGAGAGAATCTCCGTCAACCCAGCCTTTCGCCGAACCCAGATCGATTAAACAGAAGCAGTGATTTCTCAGAAAAAAACCATCGAATCCAAAATCCCCCCCAAAAGCAATCAATCGACCACCAACAAAATTCCCCTCTCTCTAAATCAAATCCCCAACGGCTACTGAAGATATCGTCAGGATATTAGAGAGATAGATCTGTCTCGATCTCTCTCTCTCTGGGAAAGGGAAAAAAGGAAAAAGGAAGGAGGAAGTGAGTAGAGATTTGAAGACGGGAAGAGCGGATGTATGTCCGCATGTGCCCCTTCGCTCTTCTTTAAGAAAATCGCGTTTAAAAATAACGGCTAGTTAATCTCAGCCGTTGGATCAAATCCCTCGAACTCGAGATCAAAAGTTGCCTTCATACGTGCCCCCCGAACATACCAGCTATATAAATTTGCCCCATCCGCTTTTCAAATTCTTCCTAATTAATAATTTCACCTCTATATATTGTTACTAGTACTAGTTATTATTATTACCAATTATTGCTTCCGCCCATGCCATACCAGATTGTATATTGATTTGCGAATTTATAAATTTTGGAAGATATGGTAAAATGAATTTTGATATTTCCGAATTATTGGTTATTTGAAGAAAGGCAAGTAGTAAAATTTGGCTTTTTTATTCTATTTTTGGCTCTGAATAGTTTCCGGTTTAAATAACAGGAAAAAAGCTCACATGAAAAAACATTGTGAATAGAAATTTTGAAAATTATTTGTATCAATCTGCTATATGATGATTCAGTTTAATGTAAAAAGTAGTCATAAATAATAATCTATTGCATATAAATAAAAGTAAAGAAAAATCGCCTACACATGGTATTTCAAAATATTAAGAATTTCGTTTCCCATGATTTTAAAGTTTCCGAAGCATTGAAACACCACACATCTTCAGATTTCAATTATATGATTTTTATACCAAAATAAATATACACACACACAATTAATGTCATTTGTTAAAACATTTATTTGTAATCCACTTAAGGATTTCACTTCATTCTTTGACATTTTCCATTGGCATTCATCTCTAACGACCCATCATCATATCAGATTTTACTCCTATAAAGATACTCTCATCATTAAAAAGAAGATCTTGTTTGAATTTCACACCAAGAAATTCCCAAACACATTGAAACAAGAAAGAAACAAATATACTTGGCATCCATGATCACTAAACTAATACTCTATTTGATCTCCTGTCGAACTAAAACGTACCTGAAAGGAAGAATTTCACGTTCTTTGCGATTATCCGCTCCATCTGCCACATCTCCCAACCTTTCTTGATAATTCAAGGCGATGATGGATGAAGATCCATCTGCTCGTTTCAAGAATCTATGCGTTCGGGGATCGGATGCCTCAAGAAAAAGTTTTTCCATACACTGGATACAAGATCGGACCAGCTTGGGGAAATCTTGTTGTAAATGATCATTGTTTATCCTCTGATCCGGAGGCTGCCTTCTCGATGCTGTCACTTTCCTTGTTCTCCTGCATCTCGAGCAGTTTTTCTTGTTCCTCATCTCGCTCTTGTGGTTCAGCTTCTTGAACAGCTTTCGGTTTCTTGCTCGTAGACTGCTGATACATGACTCCACCAAACATACAAATCAGAAGTCCCATGGTTCCGACGAAGGTGGAATGCTTATCCCAGATGACCAAGTTGATCACAACTGTTAATAGCTTGTTCACGATGCCGAGAACAGTGAAACCCGTTGCAGAAATGGCCCGACGGCATGAAAACCCGAAGAAAGAGATGGCCAGGCCAAATACACAGGATAACCCCACAGGCAAAACCACTTGGAAAGAGTACCAGTCAGTCTCGTCAGTGATTTCATGCTTTATTTTCTTCAGCTCTCCCATTATAAGCAACTCGAGGGGGAACAAGAGCAAGGCCTCCAGATTATTGTAGAGCACAAGACCCCAAGTGTTCAGACCAATTGTCATAACCACATGCTTGATGTAAACAAAATCTATGGTCATGCTTACCAGATAGGCCAGAGCCCAGCTATACGCTGCAACAGTAAACTGGTAATCTGTCAAAACATAAAGCACACTTCCTCCAAATATCGTAGCGAGAGAACCCCATGTCTTAAGAGACGGCCATGGCTGATGCAAGAAAAGCGTCTCACCAATCGCGACGAATATAGGAACAGCAGAACGAAATACGATAAACGTGTCCACATTGGCGTGAAGGAGAAGCTCGCTGTTAGTGAAGAGAGACAAGTAAAATATGATGGCTGCCGGAAGAAACCGCCACATCGTCGAAAGATTCAGAGAATCATGCTCGATCAAATTCGTCTGCCCACAGAGGAAAACCCCAGCTGCACTAGTGAAATACTGAAGAGCAGTCAATGCTCCAGGGTAAGGAAATTTCATGACCGCCCATTTGTTGATGATCGAAAGCAGCGAGGCCGAAATGCAGTAACCTGCAGCTACTCCATAGATTGAGGCATGGTGAAGTAAACCACTATACCAAGGTTCCTGTACCTCGACCTTGTTGCCTCCTGAATTATACTTGTGAATCTCACTTGGGTTTCCTTTTTCTTCATCGTTAGACATATTGAAAGGAATAGAGAAGAGAATTGAAATCGGATGTTTCTAAGATCGACACTCAGTAACCATCAGCTCAAATCGTCGAAATGTTTTATTGATCTCCGATTCCTTTCACCAAAATGCGTACCGTAACACGATCTACAAGCATCCATATAAAATCATGTAACCTTACGAAGCCACATTTCATAAGATTCCAATAGAAAACACAATAAACCCTAACCGATTCCATCTAAAGAGATCAAATCATAACAGAGAAAGCAAAGATCCAAAAAGCAAAAACACAGAAAGCAAAACCGATTACAGAACACTAACCTGATGCTCAGCCGATATAGATGATAACAACAGAGACAAAATTAGGGTTTTGTTGTCAAGAAAAGAGAAAAGGAGAGCTCTGAATCCCCAAAAACACAGATCTGCGCCGTGAAAACCCGCCGAAGAAGAGGCCGAGCTCGACTGTGTCGGTATTTTTTTCTTTCTATTTTTAATTTCCAATTATACCCCTGATTTCCCTTGCTTATTACCCTTTTGGTAAAGTGGCGATTTAGGCAAGGCCCAATATTTATCTGCTTCATATCGTCTTATCATTATTGGGCCTGGCCCAATATTCATCTGCTACGTATAGTATCACCATCATTGGCCCACATCGAAAAGACAAGTAATTAATTTTAAATTAAATATGAATTTAATAAATTTTTTTAATTAAAACAAATTTGAAAAATATTATTTTTTCGTAATATAATAGAATTTTAGTAAATTAAAATAGATTTCAATTGATATAAATGATATATTTTCTAAAAATTTATAAATAAAAAATAATTTGAAGCTAAATGGAATGAGTGAACCCAAGGAGTTTTTTGTTAGGGATAGTTAAACGAAATCATTGACAATTGAAATGATTAAATTTTAAATTTTCTTTTTCACTAACTATGATTAGGTTTTTTCACTAACTACGATTAACTTTTCAGTAGTCTAGTTTTGCTCGTCCAACAATAGCGATAATTTCGGTAGCTATTTATTCGACTTTCTAACACGAAATTGATTGACGTCATTTTCAATTTCTATAATATTTTCACATAAAATAAAGAATATGTGTTCACCAATATAAAAGGATATTTCCGTATACAATGCGAAGAATCATAGAAAAACTAAAGTTAATGAAAACAACATATTTCTTCTATCGAAAACAAGTTGTTATATATATCTGATTTATATTGTAATTATTATTTTTCTATCATGAATTTGGTTGGTGTTAATAGATATTATATTAGACGGGATTATTATGTTATTTAGGTTTCCTCTTCATTTCTCCTTATTTGAGGTCTCTTGTTTTTGGATAATTTAAAAATATTAAAAGTATAAACCTAAGAAATATGCGTCAATGGTTAAAAAAACAAAGGAAAAATTCCAAAAAAAAAATATTGAACTTTATAATTTTGACAAAAAAACACTAAACTTTATTTTTTGTCAAATAAACATTAAACTTTTTAAACGAATCTAAAAAACACTGACTTTTTAAATGATCCAAAAAATATATAAATTTTTCTGCGATTATAAAAAAAACACCGAATTTTTTTATTGATAAAAAAAATACATAAATTTTTTTCGATTGTCAAAAAAACTAAGTAAAATAATCTGACGTGTTTGCATCTCATTGGTCACGTCATTCATTTTGTTTATTTTGACAATAATAAAAGAGTTAAGTGTTTATTTTGTCAAATTTAAAAAGTTTAATGTTTATTTGATAAAAATAAAAAATTCAGTATTTTTTTTTATCAAAATTGTAAAGTTGATTGTTTTTTATTTTGGATTTTTCCAAAAAACAAAACAGAAAAGAAGTCATCAACGTGTTTCATCTACCAAAAATATCAACACCTATGGACGATCACGAACCACAAGATACTATCAATCATTGTCTAACCCTAAATTATTTTCAATAATAATAGTATAGAAAACACATATATTCTAAGTTATTTTATGTAGGCCATTCCATTGATCTAATTAAAAATAGGGGATATAAATATTTGGTAAAAAAACTTAAAGTCAGATATGTATAATTAATTATTTTGTAGTTTCTATTTTTGGCATGGTGAAAATTGAAAATCGATAGGATATTTTGTTATATATGATGGGTTATGATTCATCTACGTACCAATATAACATGTACATATACTTTCCAATTAGATGTAGATTTTATACGGTCCATGACGTCTTTTCGCATGTACTCGTTTTCCGGTGGAAGTAATCCAATGAGATTAAAGGTGTATAATGAATTTATAATCACAATACATATGAATATATATATATATATATATATATATATAATGAGATGATGGGTCAAAAAATAAATCCAGGAAAAAAGGAATAACGACAAGATAAGGTGGGATCTGAATCCGGTCGCCATCGGCATGGAGGAAAAAAAAAAGCAAACGTGGACTGTTCTACGATGAAGACGACGTTTTAACTCACACATTTGATCTGATCTATATGTTGGAATTTAGATTTAAATATAAAAATATCTCTAATATTAAAAAATATTAAAGTACATTTAAATTTGGGTTCATCCCAATCTTTTTTTAATAACCTATAATTCAAATTTCAGTAACCGGTGTTTGGATAAACTATAAATACCTTATTCTTTTTTATATACATTGGAAACTCTGATCCCACTTGCGGCGCGCATTGACCGAGTAAAACCAAATATAAACGCATGAGTCTGTAACACACGTGTGAAAGGTGAATCAGTCGTAACTGATAAGAGACAGGTGAACGGATAGGAATCGAACCTCCAATCTTTCGATATATTGACTATGCTCCTTGCCAAATCACTCGTGATTTTTTCCTATAAATATCTTAAATTATATTAACCACATTCGTCTTTACCAAATAAAAAAATTAAAGTTATTAAAAAAAACATATGATAACCCATTAGTCGGTATCCAATGATCATGAGGTGACAAATCACTTTAAAATTTTGGATTTGATTTTACTAGTTTAAAAAAGAGTAAATACTATTAATTGCTTAATTGCGTGAATAAAGTTTGATTTTGGACTAAAAAAATTAAATGGCATGAACCTTCGTATTATAAAAAAGGACATGATCTTCGTCCATTTGCAGTTGGTGTGAGCATCGAGCAAGTTGAAGGACCACGTGGCCCGGGTCCGATATGTCTCGTTTCATGTTACGCATCAAGACAAAGTTGATAATGCCTTTGGATTTCTGAACATATACATACACATATATATATTATAACTTTATATTATATTTTTTGAATGATATTATTATTAAGTAAGATGGTGAAAAAGTAAAATTTGGAGATAATTAATGATATGGACGACCATTGACTGTGAGGAAAATGGGTCTTTAAATAGACAGGAGTAGAGTAGAGTGCTCTCTCACACCACCAAACACACAGAATCATTACAAAGCACAACTCCTATCACCATGGATCCTTACAAGGTACCTATACATAATATCCTTTTGGATCTCTGAACCTAGTTTCAACTGTAAATTACCAAAATTTTTTCTTAGATTCTGTCTTCTTGTTTGGTATTTTTTTTCTATGTTTTTCAATTCGATTCTGTCGATTTTTATTATTATTATTATGATGATGATGAGAGATCTAAAGAAGGGTTGAGTCGTGTTTGTTGTTGTTAGTGTTATTATGTTAATCGAGTTTTAATGGGGGGAGAAAAGGACAAAATCTATACTTATGTCTGTGTTCTATCGTTCAGTTGGTCTCTGAATCGGTTTTTTTAATTAATTAATTAATTAATTAATATCTTTGATCTAGTTAAGTTTTTATAAGTGTTTTTAAAATTTTCATGAGATCTTGGTTTTTGTCTTGGATCTGAGGAATTCTTTTCATGAAAGGCACATGTTTATATATATATATATATATAATCTTACCAAGTGAAATGAAATAAAGCATAGTTAACTATGTATTCGGTTTAAATCCAATTTTATATTAAATAGATATGATTTTCAAAATCAGAAATATCAATTTATAGTCGAATCCAAAATAAATACGAATACAATTTTAAAAAATTTAAAATAGAATTTTTTTAAAGATAAATATTTTTGTATAATATAGAATATCAGAACTCAAACAAAACACAAATCAACCCTTAATTATTTGTAAAATTTTAATCTGTCAGAAAATAAAATCTAAAATAACATCATAATCAGTAAAATAGATATCACAAATCCCTAACATCATAATTTTTTGTATTGTAATATATATATATATATTAGTAGATAAAACCATCGTATATATTTATCTGAATTAATTTTGTTTCTAGATCAACTGATCGATCTTATTTTTTTTGGCAGTTTCGTCCCTCGAGCTCTCATGATTCTCCGTACTACACCACAAACGGGGGTGCTCCTGTTTATAACAACATCTCATCCTTAACTGTTGGAACTCGAGGTCTTGTCTTGTCTCTTTGAACCCGAAACTGTCTCCAAGAATCCAAAACTCTACCCTTTCTTGATTCTCAAGCAACCTTCTTGACGATTCTTGATTTTCTTTTCTTTTTTTTTGCATTGATCGAATTAGGTCCGATTCTTCTGGAGGACTACCATCTCATCGAGAAAGTAGCAAACTTTACGAGAGAGAGGATCCCAGAGAGAGTGGTTCATGCGAGGGGATTCAGCGCCAAGGGCTTCTTCGAAGTGACGCATGATGTCTCGCATCTCACGTGTGCCGATTTCCTCCGAGCACCTGGCGTTCAGACACCAGTCATTGTCCGTTTCTCGACCGTGGTTCACGAACGTGGGAGCCCCGAGACCATGCGAGATATCCGTGGTTTCGCCACCAAGTTTTACACCCGAGAGGTATCGATCGGTCTATCGATGTATATCGAAACAAATTTTACAAGAACCCTAACTATATAGCTCGCGAAGTATTTCCTTCTGGTTAATTCTTGTTTTGTTTTCTTCAGGGCAACTTCGATCTGGTAGGGAACAACTTCCCTGTCTTCTTCACCAGGGACGGCGTCCAATTCCCCGACACGATCCATGCCCTAAAACCAAACCCTGTCACAAACATTCAAGAGAACTGGCGAATTCTCGATTACTTCTCTCACTTCCCAGAAAGCCTACACACGTTCGCTTTCATGTACGACGACGTGGGCGTTCCACTTAACTACAGGCACATGGAAGGATTCGGGGTTCATGCTTATCAGTTCATCAACAAGGCTGGAAAAGCTCATTACGTGAAATTTCACTGGAAACCCACTTGCGGTGTCAAGTGTTTGCTCGAGGAAGATGCTGCTAAAGTTGCAGCAGACAACCATAGCCATGCCACTAAGGATCTACATGACGCCATTGCCGCAGGGAACTATCCGGAATGGAAGCTTTTCATCCAAATCATGGATCCTGCTGATGAAGACAAGTTTGATTTCGATCCTCTTGATGTAACCAAGACTTGGCCTGAGGATGTATTGCCTCTGCAACCCGTTGGTCGGTTGGTTCTGAACAAAAACGTCGATAACTTCTTCGCTGAGACAGAAATGCTCGCTTTCAACCCGGGTCTCGTGGTTCCCGGGATCTATTATTCACAAGATAAGCTCTTGCAAGCTCGAATCTTTGCGTATGGCGACACTCAGAGATACCGTCTTGGGCCAAATTATCTCCAGCTTCCCGTTAATGCTCCCAAATGTGCCCACCACAACAATCATCATGACGGTTTCATGAACTTCATGCACCGCGATGAGGAGGTCTGTATATGTATAATTGTTGGCAAATCTTATTTAAAGCGTTGTCTCTTTGTCTTCTTGGAAACGGAATCTTGATGATATGGATCGGTGTTTGATCTGATTTTGCAGGTGAATTACTTCCCTTCAAGATTTGATTCAGTTCGCCATGCCGCGAAATACCCTATTCCTTCTGCTGTTTGCTCTGGTGAACGCATAAAGGTCTGTATCCTCCTCCATGAGTATAAGTAATGTCTCAACCACATATATGACTGAAATCTTGGAACGTTTTCAGATTCGTTTTGTTTGATTTTCTAATTTCAGTGCGTCATTGAGAAAGAGAACAACTTCAAACAGCCGGGGGAGAGATACCGGTCTTGGGCACCAGACAGGTAGCAAACCAGTTCTGTGTTTCTTGCAGAACACTCAACGATAAACCCTAACCCCAAATCTCTGTCATTTCGAACAGGCAAGAACGATATGCGAAGCGTTGGGTTGAAGCCCTTTCGGATGCCCGCGTCACTGACGAGATTCGTGGTGTCTGGATCTCTTACTTGTCTCAGGTGAGAAATGATAAATCATGAAAGCTGCATTAATTTGCTTAATATTGATTAAGGAAAGTCCAATCCATTATATATTGAGTATAATGACATGAATTCTCTTATTCTGTTTATGAAACAGTCTGATAAATCTCTTGGCATGAAAGTGGCGAATCGTCTTAATGTGAGACCAAGCTTCTGATCGATGTCTGAAACAGACCAAACTCAGATCTTGTCAGAGGCGATGGAATCTCTGAACTCTGCTCTTTTAAGCTTCGGTTTCTGTTTGGTAATGAGTAATATATAAAAAAAAAAAATCAAGATCCTAATGTTGTAAACCCTGAATCGTGTTTCTTATGCTTTCCTGTTTCAAAATAATAATGTTATGATCTTATATCGTTTTTCTTTCTTCTGAAGGACATCATAAATATATATTTTACACGTAAAATTAATATGCTAACTTTATTGCTTTTATATATAAATTAAATTAAACAATTAAGATTAATGTTAATAATAATGAAATATATATGATCTCAAATGCTCCTCCTACCGTAATTTCATATTTCCCATTAACAAATCTCTCTCTCTCTCTCTCTCTCTATATATATATATATATATATATATATATATATATATATCAAATCGGAATCTCCTCCGTATCAATAAAGAGATTCTCCTTGGTATGATCTCAATGCTTACTTATATACAGAGAGATTCTCTTCCTAAAGTATGATATTTTAAAATTCAATAGACATCAAATCGGAATCTCCTTCATGTGAGCTGTGATAATTTTGTTCCTTTTGTCATTTTATATTAGCTTCAATCGACAAAGAGAGTTATTTTGATTCGTCTAATTATATACGATTCTACGATATAATCATACTTTCTTGTAAATTATTCAAAAAAATAAAAAGTGTGTGTGTGTATATATATATATTCATATTTCCAAAAAAAATATATTTTATTCAACTACGATTTAATTAAATATATCTCTCTCCATCATCTGTCTCTGTAGAGTTTCTCTTCGGCCTCGTCGCCATCAAAACGTGAAGACTTGGATCGAATAGATACAACTCATAACAAAGACTTATTCTTTGTGTGTGTGTGTATATAAATATATATATATATATATACAATTTTTCTCTTAGGAAATAGAAATAATTAAGAGATTCCCACTTGTGGCGACCAAAAGAAATGTTTAAGAAACGATATTCCAAATGACTCTTTAAAATAATGTGTAAAATCAGATACCGTTCTTTGTTTTGATTTTTTTTTTCGTTTTAAAAAATAGTTGGATCTATTATTGTATCACAAAGTAGAACCAATGCCCTTTATTTTATTTATTTATTGGCATCTTTTGGTCACCAGAAAATTAAAATCCAAGTCTAATATAATTTCCTAACTGTAAAATCATAGTCGCCTAATATTCCTTTGCCTACACATAAAAGATTCCGAATCACAGCCTTTTCATCGATGGTGGCTGATCGTCTCTCTCTCTCTCTGTGGAAAAAAGGTTGGGACTTTACAAAATTACGGTTCATAATCTTATATGGGCCCCACTTTATATGGGGAATCGAATCTTCTTCCCTCTCTCTACCCCAAGAGAGAGCGAGATTCATGTCTGGTAATGAAAAATCCAAAGCCGATAAAAATACAAAAACAATTAAAAGGGTTCTCTTTCCCGATGCGTAGATGAGATAACGATGCCCGGAAAATAAATATCTTCCCTTTTTTTTCTCTCCTCTCTCTCTCGGTATCATCCGTGGAGAAGGTATTGCGTTGCCATCAGACATCTCTGTTACTATTCTCAGACAAGTTTGTGTTCGAGGCACTTCAAGAATCTCCAACGTTAAAGAAACAGAATCTACTCGGGGAATCTTCTGGAATCTCTTTGCCTTGTGAGTTTTTCTTTTTCCTTCTTGGGCCCTTTAATTTTAGCTCTGAAGCGCAAAGTTCTTCTCTTGGGGGTGGATTGTATTCGTTTTCAAGGGACCGGATTAATCTGTGGGTACTGATGATTACTCTAAAGTTTATTTGCTTTTTCTTGTGGGTGAACTCCGTATATCATGATCCACAAGCGATTAGGGTATTGTTTGACCAAATTAGAGGAATCAACTGCATGGGGGGGGGGGGGGGTTAGGCCTGATTCTTTGATTCTTTGTTCTCTCTGTTTTGGCATCACGAAGTGGGTTTAGGCCTGATTTGTGATTGATTGTGTCTCCTCGCCAAATGGGTTTTAAGTTTGGGAGGAGATTCATCACGAGCTCTATCGGCTTTCGAAATATAATTGCGATGAAAATCGAGAGATACATCGCGAGTGATCTATCTGTTGAAATGGATACTTCGTTTTCCAGATGGCTCTTATTTGATTTGATCCTCTCCTCGCAGGTGCTGGCGAGTTGTCACTTGGTGGAGATTTAAGACAAAACATTTAAACTCATGGGAGATAATGTTCTTCAACCTGTAATGGACATTGAGTTCATGGATGAGTTGCTATTCGATGGTTGCTGGTTAGAGACCATGGAAGAATCCGAGTTCCTCGACTTCTCTCCTTCAACTTCCATTAACCCGTTTGATCCATCTCCATTAACACGGTCTCCTCCTCAAGATACACAAACAATCTCCAGTTCGGACATATCTCAGATGTTCTGTCAGGACATCGCCGAAAGATCCGGTCTTGACGAAGCTGAAGGGAACCGAAGATGGTGGATTGGACCAACAAGGGGTAGCCCTGGTGGTCCCGGTTGTTCAGTAATGGAGAGACTGGTGCAAGCATTGAAGTACATCAAAGACTTCACCAGAGAGAGAGGCTCTCTTATACAGTTATGGGTACCTGTGAATAGAGGAGGAAAGCGGGTCTTGACCACAAAAGAGCAGCCTTTCGCCATTGATCCCATCTGTCGGAAGCTGGCAAGTTACAGAGAGATTTCAGAGAGCTTCCACTTCAGTGCTGAAATGGAGGATTCGAAGGATTTGGTGGGTTTGCCTGGAAGGGTTTTCCTTGGGACAGCCTTTCGCCATTGATCCCATCTGTCGGAAGCTGGCAAGTTACAGAGAGATTTCAGAGAGCTTCCACTTCAGTGCTGAAATGGAGGATTCGAAGGAAATTCCTGAATGGAGTCCCGATGTGAGGTTTTTCAGGAGCGAGGAGTATCCGAGAGTTCATCATGCGCAGGACTGCGATGTCCGAGGAACATTGGCGATTCCTGTCTTCGAGCAATGTAGTAAGATTTGCTTGGGCGTTATTGAAATTGTGATGACCACTCAGATGGTTAAATCAAGGCCTGAGCTTGAAACCATCTCCAGAGCTCTTCAGGTTTGTTTTATAGGATTGGACATTTCGGTTTTCGGTTTGCTTATATTCGGGCTCGGTTCTTTCGGTTTTAGTCTTTTGATCCCACAAGTTTCTGATAGGAAAATCATTGTTTTGTTTTGTTCACAGGCAGTTGATCTTAGGAGCACAGAAGTTCCTGTTCCATCTCCTGCAAAGGTAAAGAAAACCAGTCTAAGTTTTCTAATTTCCAATTTCGTGGCCGTCTTGATCAGGTCGGCCGGGTACCCGAGATTCGATTCCTTTTTTGGCCCAATCCTGCTAACGGGATTGTTCTTTTATCAGGCCCGAGACATATCCTACCGAGCAGCATTACCCGAAATCCGGAACCTGTTGAGATGTGCATGCGAAACACATAAACTACCACTAGCTCAGACATGGGTATCCTGTCTCCGACAAGACAAACCCGGCTGCCGACACAACATCGATAACTACGTCCACTGTGTCTCGACAGTCGACGATGCTTGCTTCGTCTTCGATCCGACCGTTCAGGAATTCCATGAGGCTTGTTCCGAGCATCATCTCTTGAAAGGGCAGGGAGTTTCAGGTCAAGCCTTCTTGACCAACCAGCCTTGCTTCTCGCCTGACGTCACCGTCTTCAAGAAAACAGAGTATCCACTCTCTCACCATGCCACCGTGTTTGGCTTGCGTGCCGCCGTTTCCATCCGCCTTCGTTCGATCCTCACCGGCTCTGCAGATTTCGTGTTGGAGTTCTTCTTGCCAAAGGGTTGTCGGGATTTGGAAGAACAGAGGACAATGTTGAATTCTCTCTCGACGATCGTGGCAAATATGTCTAGAAGCTTGAGGACTGTATCGGATAAGGAGCTGGAAGAAGAGGCTGAGTCCATGAGGGGCGAAGTGATCGAAAGGGAAGAGATGGTACCGAAGGTAGAGGATAATCTCCATGAAAGTTCTTCGTGGAACACCGAATCCAGACAGATTAAGAGTGACCTTCGAAAGCTAGGACAGGTATCCAATGGAGGAGGAGCTTCAGAGATTGGCGAGCAGAATGGGGGAGGTTTCAGTATAATGGCTGAGAAAAAGCGTGCAAAAACCGAGAAAACCGTCACTTTGGATGTCCTCCGCCAGTACTTTGCTGGTAGCCTGAAAGATGCTGCCAAGAGTCTCGGTGGTAAGCATCATCAACACACATATACGTATATATATATACAATCAATCTTTAACGAATTCAGAAGGGGATCCATCCAGTCTTAAACACTAGGATCTTTGTCTTGGGAGGATCCCATTGCAGTTTGTGGAACATTATGGTAAACTATCTTTGCTGATCTTTTTGTTTTGTCGGAAAATTTTCTCAGTTTGTCCAACTACTCTGAAGAGAATATGCCGGCAGCACGGGATACAGAGGTGGCCATCTAGAAAGATCAAGAAAGTCGGTCGTTCCTTGCAGAAAATCCAACGGGTCATTGCCTCGGTTGAAGGAGTTTCCGGCCCTCTTCCCGTTTCCTCTTTCTACCCGAACTTCCCCAACACATTGCAGCCAGCAAAAAACTGTCCCGCTCCGTTTCTTTTACAACACGGAAGCCATGTCAAATCTCCTTCTTCTTCCTGTACTCAGAGTTCTAGCTCTAGCCAGTGTTATTCTAGCGAAACACAGCTAAACAACTTGCCGGTATCCCGTAAATCTTGCTCTGCAGAAGACACTGTTAATGGGGAGAACAGCTTAGTCAATGACTGTGCGACGAAGAGGACGAGAAGTGAAGCCGAGGTTCACAGTTTGAGCCGGGAAGAGACGACCACCTTCTTCTCCAGGTTGCAGAGCCATGATTCTCTCAAGGAAAACCCTAGTTTGGAAAATACCCATTTACCGTCTTCCCAAGATGAAGATTTTCTGCGGATGAAGGTCACATATGGGGACGAGAAGATCCGGTTCAGGATGAGAAACTCTTGCAGATTAAAGGACCTATCGAGGGAAATAGCCAAGCGGTATAACATAGACGATATGAGCAGATATGATCTCAAGTACTTAGACGACGATAACGAATGGGTACTACTGACGTGTGATGATGATGTAGAGGAGTGTATAGATGTCTGCGGATCTTCACCGGGCCATACCATCAAGCTTCTGCTTCAGGTCTGTTCTTTCCATCTGCCGGAACGTTCTTCTGTCAGCGGATGACATTGGCCACCATTCCTTTCCCGGTAAAAGCTCAAATCTTTTCGACGTTCCTGGTTAAATTGTGTTCTTTCCTGAGAAGGGTCGAGTCAGAATATTGTGTTCGAGCAAGAACCATGTCAAAAAAGCTTCATTACCAGACAGATTGGTTACGGGAAGAAGAAGAAGAAGAAGACTGTTTTAGGACATGAGAGAAAGATGTTAAGGTTGTTTACAGGGTTAAAGATGGTGGTGAGTGGCTTTTGTTGTGGAAAGCACAAGAAAGAAAACGTGTAGAGAGAATCCCTTCAAAAGAATTTTGAAGCTTTGAGGCTTTTAATTTCTTCTTCAGTTATGTGTTGTCTTCTTTACTTGAGTATGATTTGCAAATGTATATATATATGTATGTATATATAATTTTTCTCAAACACCGAATAAATATATGAAATTTTGTTTTAGAAGAAAAAAAAACTCATTTTTACAGGACATCCAATCCACATTCAGCAAATCCACCTCCCGTCCAAATCCATTCTTAGAAGAACACGCTACAACAGAAAAAAAAAATCACAAAACGATATGAAACTTAACCGACGTAAAAAATATCAACAGAAACCTTCTGTCTCCGCCAGAGGTTTCTTCGTCTCCCAAACTCAGCCTTCAGTTCTGGTCACATCCCCTCGACGGCGGGCATGGAGAGCCTCGAGCTGCATCTGAAGCTTCGCTCTGAACGGCTAAGTACTCCAGAGCCACCACGATGTCGCCTATGAGCGGTCGGTACTGCGCTTCTTCGTTCAGACACATTGCCGTTATCGCTATAGAGTAGTTCAGACACCTCCTCGGCAGCCGCCCTCGAAGCGACGGATCCACCAGCTGTCCAAACTTCTTCTGGTCCTTCAGAAACGGACGTGACTGCGAAAAAACAGAAGCGACGGCTATACATATATATAGGCGTAGATATATACGAAAACCACGAAAAAACGTGAAACCAGGAGTCCGGTTTTACTCACCCAAGCGATGAGGTTCTGTTCGCTTTGCTTTCTGGAAACGTCAATGGCTTTCCTTCCACTGATCAGCTCGAGCAACACCACCCCGAAGCTGTATATGTCCGATTTAACGGTTAACTTGCCGCTCATTGCGTATTCGGGAGCGCAGTATCCGTAAGTGCCCATGACACGGGTGGAGACATGTGTTCGGTCTCCGACAGGTCCTAGTTTAGCCAGTCCAAAGTCGGAGAGTTTCGGGTTGAAGTCCTTGTCTAACAATATGTTTGCAGATTTCAGATCACGATAAATGACGGGTGGATTCGCTTTGCAGTGAAGGTACTCGATACCACGAGCTGCACCCACCGCTATTTTCATCCGGGTGATCCAGTTTAGGGGCTCCTGGTCTGGTTCAAGGTCTGAAAACCGCAAAACATCCCCCGGAAAAAAAAAACAGCAGTTAAGATAAGAAAGACTGATAAGGAAGGTGTATCACGCAGTTTGTAGTGACGTTATCGCATTCTATATACGGTTTACGCATTGCAAACATGAAGATTAGAGGCTACGTTTCCTTCAACGATTACTGTGAAATTGGAAGCATCCAAATTTCAAGAATCCAAAATGCATCCCGAAGCAGGGATTCCGATGAAAACTCAATGTTATTCCCTTAATTAGACCCTATCATCGATGCTAATATCTCGTTCTAACCTCCCTCTATGACGACGTCATCCTATCAAACTACCGCTAAGGAACACGAAAAATCTTCAAGAATTTGAGTGAGCATTGTTCTTGAAACTCACCAAAGAGATGATCTTCCAAGCTCCCCATTGACAAGTACTCGTAGACAAGAAGCCTCTGATCACCGGAAGTACAGTATCCGATCAATGTAACGAGATTCGGGTGATGTAAAAGGCTAAGCATAAGGACCTCAACTATGAACTCCTGATTCCCCTGAAGGCCATCCGGGTTCAGTTGCTTGATCGCTACTACCTGTTTCCAACACAAAAACACGAAAAGGAAACAGATCACATTTCATGATTTTCAAAACAGTTTCCATCAAAGATTCTTTGTCCAGACACGATTTTGATCACAAGGTTGTGTTTTTTTTTTTACTTGTCCTGAATCCAAACGGCCCTTGAAAACCCTCCCAAAACCTCCTTCACCGATTGAATTTGCTTCCCTGAAATTCATCGTGGCCGCCGCAAGCTCCTTGAAAGTGAAGCTTCTGGCTCCTCCGCCGGGTTTTGGGCTATTCACCTTCCCATTCACTGATCAAACACCAATACCAGATCAATCAATGTTGGAAGTTTCTATCAAATGTCTGAAAAAGTAACCTTGAACCCTCACCTAAGATGCCCGAATTCGACTCTGTTCCTCCTCCATTTTCGCTGCTACCGTTAACTGAAACACGCAAGAGAGGGTTATCCAAAAACACGTCAAAGAGCGAATCTTTGATGAAAAGGAAACGAATTTCGATTCGATGAATGAAACATAAAGAGACTTAAGACCTGAGAAGTCGCTTGGGTAGCGAGCGCTACACCCGGAGGTATCAATGTCGATCCTTGTGTCCTTTGTTCGAGGGCTGAGGCAAGAGAAGCAACTCATTTTTCTTCAAACTCTTCCGGGACGGCAGCAAAACTTTACAGAAGAACACCACCCCAAACAGAGAAAGTTCGACGATAATGGCGGATGGATTCAAACAGGGAGCTGTTTTGAAATCATGTCTCTAACATAATCGTCAACCCAGCTCCAGAAAAAAAAAAACCCATCCCGGAGAAGACAAAAATGCGAGAAGAAACAAAACAAAAAAGCCCCAAAAAAAAGATTCAAAAGCACAAAAAAAAAACCTAGGACTTGTCTCGGGAACTGTAATGAGGGAAGAGAAAGAATCAATCTTTCTCCCCCTCTCTTTTGTTCTAATGATTCCAGAAAACAAACCAAAAAAAGGGTATATCCGATTGAATTATCGTTCCCTAAGAAAGAAGATCCGAATCGGCAAAAAGTTAAAATTTAAAAAATAGAGAGGAGAAAACTGGAGATTACTAAGAATTGCAGCAATGGCGGCAACAGACAACTGGCTTCTTTATAAATGGAAAACGGAAGAAGAGATTTTGCAATGGAGAGGAGAAAAAACAGAGCAGCTGAGAAAATTTTAAGCTAAGGAAGAAAAGAAAGATCGAGTGAGAAATTTAAGGAGCCGACGAAAGCTAAATTTAGAACCGCGTGTCCTTTCTTCTTCCTTTTCCCCCCTTCCAATCCTGTTATTATTGTTCTTCTTTTTCTGCATCCCCTTTAAACATTTACTATTTATTAATAAAAAAATCTATAAAAGTCTGTATATCATATTTATTACTATTATTTTGATGATAATTCTATTAAATTAATGCATTGACATAAATATTTTAATTAGATAATGCATTTATATCTGAAAAAGTTACATATTTGTTTAGAAACATCAAGATTTTTTGTATATAGTTACATGTTTATAGGATTTTGCCTTTATTAATTTATTTATTTAATTTGAGGTGAAATTAAGCGGCAGAAGACGACGACGACTTGTGTTGGGTTCTTTTCGGCGTGGGGCCCATTTATTTCCCGTCCTTTTGCGTGATTGCTTTCAATTATATATATCCAATTTACAATATAGTTTTTACATTATTGTTATTATTATAATATGGAAAATAAAACCATCATAAACTCTCGCTCGCCTCTTCAATCCTCCACTCTTCCTCACATTTATATAAGGTTCCGGTCCCCCCCCCCCATCGTGCTTGAAATTACCATATTACCCCTTTGGATCTCACACCCGGACATGTGGAATTCCATTTATGCCCCTTCACGATAGGTAGCGTCCTCCGTAAATGAAGGGCGCACTGCCATGTCGACGACTCCAGTTGATATTTGGGGATTTTTGTTCCGTCTTAATTTAATTATTATTCAATCAAATTTAATTTTAAAACTATATTAATTTATTTATGTACATATTTCATTTTAACCTATTCTTCCGGGCCCCCCCCCCCCATCGTGCTTGAAATTACCATATTACCCCTTTGGATCTCACACCCGGACATGTGGAATTCCATTTATGCCCCTTCACGATAGGTAGCGTCCTCCGTAAATGAAGGGCGCACTGCCATGTCGACGACTCCAGTTGATATTTGGGGATTTTTGTTCCGTCTTAATTTAATTATTATTCAATCAAATTTAATTTTAAAACTATATTAATTTATTTATGTACATATTTCATTTTAACCTATTCTTTTTTTTAACGAAAAATATTATCTTTTAAATTAATATTGTTCGATCTCTGTAGACCAATGCATTGTGCACATCAAGATATGAATTTCTTGTGAGAAATTATTTGATCCATACTTGTGTGGTATAAACTACATAATATAAGGGATATATTCTTAGAAAATTATTTTGTTATATGGCGCAATAAAATATCGGAAAAGGTTTTTGTGATGCGGGATCTACTCTAAGATTCGGTCCAATAATTTAAATGTGGACTAATTGCAAAACACCAAATCTTCCTTGAATAAATAAAATTAGTAATAAGTATTTTATGTATTGTTTAGCTTTATAAAGACAGCTTTGTCTTAAACTAATTGGAGGGGGAAAATTTCCGTCCTTTATTTTGTTTGGTTTGGACAACAGCTTTCTGCAAAACATTTTAATATTTAAGATTCATTAATTTTAAACAAAATTGCACTTCGTCCGCCTCAATATTTAAAAAGTGCCCCATTATTATTTTTTAAATCAAACAAATTTTATAAATTTTAGAGATAATGTTATTGGGGTTTACTAATGTTAAATTTAATTTTTATTTTAAAATTATATTAATACGTCGCAGTCAATAAATTTTAGGTCTGTATGTATAATACGCCAGGTTGGTAATCTGCTTTTAAACAATTGCTAATATACTTTTATCTCTAAAATTTACACGTAAACAAAAATAGTAAGTGAAGATATTCTTAATTACAAGTGAAATTGCATTTAAAGTAGACATAAGTATCCAATCAGATCTAATAATAAAGAAAGTGCATTTCTCTCTCTGTAAATTTTACTTTTTCAGTTCAAAATGCAATATCCAAGCTCTTTCTAAATTTACAAAACTATTTTTTATTATTTTAATTTCAATTTAAATTTTAACTGTGTATAATTCAATTTATATAGCTGATAATTTCTTATATAAATGGGAGCAAACCCATATGACCATGTATATATATACATAGCGACGAGATTCTGCGGCCGGTCTTCGGTTTCGGTTTTGTTTTTGTTTTTTGTTTGGTTATTAACCCTAGGACAAAAGTCACAAAACTGTGAAGCTGCCAAAAAAAAAAATAAAAAAAAAAAAAAATCTGTACACTAAAACCTCTCCCCCCAAGTTTTTCATCCTCTACACAAAATGAAGCTGTGAGCTTTCCACATGATTTCATCTCATTTCTTCGGCCATAGCCACTAATAAGATTAGCGCTTTTAGGATCAGCCGACATCTTTCTATAAATGTGTGTATATATATGTATATAAATGTTAACCGATCAATCATCAGAGCTGTAATGCTAAATCCGGATGCTGCGATGAACCAGCAGCAGCAGCCTGAGCGTTAGAACCAGCAGGTGGTGAGCTCGGGGAGACGAGTCTAGTGTTCAGGTCGGGTGGAAGCCGGTGGAATTCTTTCTTCCCGTAGGGTAACGACCCTCCTCCACCCGACGCCATTCCCTCGTTACCTGACATCCGGTTTAAGCCACCGAAACCACGGATGAGGCCGTTGCTCTCAGGTTTGATCACTGGTCCTGAGGAGGATGGTGGGTTCGTGTGGTTACCCGCCGAAAACTCGGTTTCGGGATTCATGGCTCGGGTAGGCGTGGAATCTTCGAATCCGTGGGAAGAGTGCCTGTTTCCTCCGCCGAAAGAGCTAGAGACAGAGGGAGTTGGAGAAAGGATTCTGTTTGAATGATCACCGGACAACATTCCCGACATTGATATCTGTTGCCGAGGATCTTCGGGAGCCTGGTTCTCGCCGACCCACCCGTGACCAAATTCGATACCTGGTGGCAAAACGTTTTTTATTCTCCTCGTCGCAATTTTCCAGGCAACAGGGCCTAGATTTGCAGCATACCGTGCCAGGCTCCGAGCATACCCATATTCAGTGTTCAGCCCGACCTGAAATTTAACAGTCAGATCAGACGGAAAACTTGAAACCCTTAGCTGTCGGAAACCATAACGACATTGTTAACATATGACACGTACTGGAATTAATTGCTTCGGCTCATCTTCAAGGGTCGTTAAGACAGAAGACTCCTGCAAGGAAGTCGAGAGGAGCTGGTTATACGTATCACGTCGGTTTTCGTCGACGTTGAAGTGTTTCATCCCGTACTTGTTGACTGCCTTCACAACCGATGCTATAGGTAATGGACAAATACGATACAAGTGATCACGAATCACAATTTGTTTCAGCAAAAAATAATAAAAGGAAGTGAAAGGAAAGGTGGAATTTTTACCCGGAAACTCGTTCTCCCAATCAACTGAAAAGCCGCCGCTTTGGGGCTCGATACCATTATGGCTAAATCTAACGGCTGCATCTGCCGGGCGGAATCTATATGAACTCGGTGCTTTTCTCAGATTGTAAGCCCCGGATTGCTTAGAGCTATCTCCCGCGGTAGCGAGAGCTGTTTCAGCTGAGATTTCAGAAGTAGTTCGGTCAATAGGAGATGTATCGAGCTGTTTCTTCAGGCTCTTGCCTGGAGGACGGCCTCTTTTCACCACTTTAGGCTGTGGCTGTGGCTGCGGTTCTTCATCGTCATCGCTATCTCGTCTTAAATTTTCGAAGTCTTTCTTTGCCATCTCGTGTATAGATCGTGCCTGGCAAAAAGAAACACTCTCAGAGACGTACAGAAACAGCACGAGGGGGAAAAGATCCGAGTTTAAGACTGCCAAAACAAACCTGTCGATAGTATATGGTATCCGGAGCATTGTATTCCATCGCATTTGTACATATTAAAAACACATCCCTCTGTCCAAAAATAGAAAAGGTAAAAAAAGTTATCAGAAAGATTTAGTCTTTTTTCCGATTTCCATCGAAATAACAAAGTAAGAGTTCTAGTCTTCTAGATGCCAAACTCGGGGCAAACTTAAGAATACACAGATCAACATAGATCGAGCTAAAACCTTGTAAATATAAGAATTTTCGATAACATTCCCGGCTCACAAGGAGTAAAGTTGCAACCTTTTCACATGTTACCAGTAACTAAGAAAGCATTGAAACTCATAAGATCATTCCTACGAACTGAGAGAGAGAACAATCAACATAGATCGACGGTTCTTCTCTCCAAAAACCAAAACAAGAACCCTAAAAAAACTCTGAAACTATGGCATCAAACATCGAACAGACGGAACATACGACAAACAAGCTGGCAAGCATTGAAATTTTGAGCCTCGGCTTTTGCATATACAGCCGAGAAAAATGAAGCATCAAGGACTGAAATAGAATCAACTACAAGACATACCTCAAACTGCTCTAGGTTACAATAGGCTCCAGAATCTAATTTCTTCCGAACAGTGCTGAAATCCATTGGATTTGCAATAATATCATGATAATCCGGAAGCTGGAAACAAATCAAACACAGGAACGATAAGCTACAATGAGTTTACCGAACTGGTAAAGCGAAGAACTCTAACAAAATTATCAGATGGTCACCTCCTCTGGATCAACTGGATCTGAGAACACTCCGTAAGTATCCTTCCTTCAAGTATTGCGAACGAACACACGAACAAACGATCAAAACCCAGTTCAACCACTTCATCCAAGATACAAAGAAGGAAGAATAACGAGAAGAGATTATAACTGAGCCAAAAAAAAATCACATACTTTTGAAGTCTATCGAGGATGAACACCAACAACTTTTTGTCTGGCAAAGGTGTAGTGGGTCCAGACTCCATGGGTGACCCTATCCACAAATAAATGGCACAAATTTAATTTAATCAGTAGGAAAAAAACTCACTTTTATTCTCGTACGGATTCAAGATTGTGCCTTTCCATGAAATTGAAAAGGGGGAATGGAAGAGAGAGATATATATACCTCGAGTAATGTCAGTCGCTTTCGAACCCTTTTCTCCCTGCAGGAACACCAACAGATTATCATCAATCCAAGATAAATATACATATATATCCATAAAAAAGTTGAGATTTTCAGAACCAAGAAATAACACAATGTATAATAAAGGTGTCCATGTTCATGTTCATTGAAGTATCAGCTATGGAGGAAACAGTAAAAGGCCATGAAGAGCCAAACATTAAACTAAGAAACTGATAGCAAGGAAAAGACAAACTGAATCTGTTCTCAGACATGATGGTCTCTCAGTGCAGAGTCTTTAATTCAGGTAACTAGGATTTAATACAAGAATCAAAGAATAAATATAATATTCATTCATGGGGAAAACATAAATACTGCATATAAAAGCAAAAAAAAAAAACTGAAACCAGCCAAGACCAAGATTTTCTCGGCCAAGACAAAAAGGGAAAAAAATACAGAAAAGCTGAATTATGAATTCCCACCAATAAAAAGAGGGGGAAAAATGACCCAGTCAAACTCTATCCACTTACTCATCCATATTCAAGCAAGAAGAACCCCCCTAATAACGCGCGAAATCCACCGAAGAATTCAAACCTAATTATTCGAATGAACCGAAATCTACCCAAATTAAACGTACCCCAAATCGATTTTGCAAAAAAGATTCGATTTCGCAGGGAATTCGATTGCTACCATATCGTCAGATCCGTGAACGCCGGCACCGATCTTCCGCCGCCCAACGGATTTCTCGGGATTCTCGCCCGGATCGTCCAGGTTAGCCGATTGGGAATTAGGAGAATGCCGATGGGCGTGGGAGTTCAAGCCGTGCAACAGCCTGTGCTTTTTCTCCCTGCGCTCGTCGTCGTCGATTTCGTCGATGTCGACGTCATCATAGCCGTCGATCCAGGACGAATCGACGGAGACGCCGTTGGGATTCGAGCTCCGGCGAGTGGATCGGCGACTCGAATTAGGGTTTTTGAAACCGGATCTGTGCTCCTCCGGTTGTTCATCTCGATTCCTCTGTTGTTGCTGCTGCTTCAGAGCTCGCTTCTGAAGGTCCAACAGAGATGGCCTTCCTTTCTTCTTCTTCTTCGTCATTGTCTCTGCTACTTCACCCATTCTCCTCTTTCTCCGTCTCCCCCTCTCTCTCCTTTCTCTCTCCCCTCCTCAACGAGTTATTTTCTTTCCTTTTTTTCTTTACTTTATTTTTTTTTATCATTATTATAAAATCTTCACATATGTGCGTCGCACGTGCCAAACGGAGACGGACACGTGTAAGACAGTGAATGGGTGGGCTAGATAACGTCACAAGCACCGTAACTTATCGGGCCGTTTATGGGCCTTATTTCAAAGCCCATGGTCTGTACACCCAGCACACCTGGTCGATCTCAAAGTCACATGCATCATTCATCCATTCCAGGAGAAATATAAAGAATTTTTTGCCTTTGGTTTGAAATATAATGTAAATTAAAATGACGTGAAAATCCAATTTACTCATACAATGAGAAATTGTTTTTTAATTAAAATAATAACAATAATTTCCCCCTCATTGTTAGCTTTTTCAGTGGTAGAACATCAAATGGAGTTGATGTTCGGTAGGACCATATTGTAAGGCCAAGGCCCATTTAGGCCCATAAGTTACATAAGTGGCCCTTCTAAATGGTAACCGGTGAATTTCTATATAAATTTAACCGAACCGGATTAAACCGGAAATTAATATACCGAAAAAGATAACAGACCGAAATGGTCATTGGACCGAATCCGCCAGCGAAATTATTGGATTAAAGAGATATTATTATTAGCACATTTATTAATATTTAGGAAAGCGGTATGAGAGGGCAATGAGTCAAATCACCTGGCGCTGAAAACTCACGCGGAGAAGAAGCACAATAGAAAACACAGAAAAGAGGCCAAGGATTTCAGTTTCAGAACATCAGAGCGAATGATGAGACATCACCCGGATTGCTGACGTGGCAAAATATATTTGAAATCCCGCCTAAACCCCTCGTATTAATTCCGTGCGCAAATTGAATTTCATTTTTTTTTTCTTTCCATTTTTCCCTTCCCAGATATTTACCTCCCCCACTTGCCTCTCGTCTCTTCACCTCTCACTTGCATCGCGTACTCATCGCTTACACGTAGTATTCTCTCTCTCGCGAAACCCTACATCTTCCGTACAGGTAATTTCCGGCGATTTCCTGGTGATTTCCGCTGATTTTCCTTCGTTTCTTGTTGATTTTCCACTGTCTTCTCGGTTTCGCTGTTTTTTCCTCGTTTGTCTTGGTTCGTACTGATTTCGTGGTACCCATCAGTTGCCGCCTGCACTTAGCTGTTTTTTTTTTGTTTTTTTCCTGTTGTAAATGCGTCGGTTAAATCGCTGATCTGGTGACTTGCTCGCAGGATCGATCATGAAAGGAAGCAAATCAAAGACTGAAACCAGGAGCTCCAAGTACGATCTTAGGACTCTCTGTAGATCTTAGGATTCTCGGTTTATTAAGTTTGTTCTCTAGTTGATTTCTCTGTAGATCTTAGGATTCTAAAATCGTATAGCTGTGTTTTTTGTCGCTTTCCTGATGTGTTTGTTTCCAAAATTGGCGGTGATAGGCTCTCTGTGAATAAGAAGCCCGCAAAGGGAGGTCGCGGCAAGGCTGCCAAAGACCCGAACAAGCCCAAGAGGCCGGCCAGTGCCTTCTTCGTTTTCATGTAAACATCGCATCCGATCCTTCAAATTTTTTTGCGTGTTCAGTATTCTGCCTTTGTTTCCATGGAAAACAATTTTTGAGGTCAAAGCTTTTCGTCTGACTTTCAAAACTGTTCAAGGTGAGATTAGTATCGTCCTTCTTCTGCTCTCTTTTGAGTCAACATTACTGATCGTTTCCTTATTTCTTATGAAATTATGTATACATGTGCGCTTCGTATAATTATTTGTTCCATAATTGCTGTTTATATGGTTAATTTCTGTGTTGAATTGATGATATTCAGGGAGGAGTTCCGTGAACAATTCAAGAAGGAACATCCTAAGAACAAATCCGTAGCTGCTGTAAGATTTTGTGCTTTTTATCATCTCGAGTTATTTGAAATGTCATCGTTTCTGTGACTGTCTTCGCCGTCCATGGCTGAATTTGTGCTGACCATTACCACGAATGGATCAAAATAGGTCGGAAAGGCAGCCGGGGACAAATGGAAGTCGATGACTGAAGCTGTGAGTTGATATATGAGTAAAATGTCTAAAATATTCATTCAGGAAAACATGTTGGAGAGAAAGAGAGTGAGTTTAATGTATGTATGCAGGATAAAGCTCCTTATGTTGCTAAAGCTGAGAAGCGGAAACAGGAATACGAGAAGAACATGAAAGCTTACAACAAGAAGCAGGTAACTTGTTCTTCAGATTTTAGAATGGTTTATAATAAGACCGGCAAATGATCCAGAATTTGTCCTCAGGCCGATGCCCCTTCTAAGGAGGAAGAAGAATCGGACAAGTCGGTGTCTGAGGTACACGATGATGAAGATGGTGACGATGATGAGGGAAGTGAAGAGGTTTGTTGACTACGTTCAGTCCAGTTATCTCGATTACTGGCAGCCGCCATTTCGAAATAACTGTACCTAGAATGAATTGAACTGAATTCAATAGTTTTTTCTAAGACCGAATCTGAGTGACGATTGCCATTTGGTTGATCTTTGTGTTTTTGTTGGTGGTGTGGTTGCAGGAGGAAGACGACGACTGAGATTTGATCCTCTTATGGCGTGTGTGAGTGTTTGTAGTAAGCATAGTATGTAGATGGCTGCAAATACGCTCTCCGTCCGTGGGGTTTCATCTTCTGTGTTACCCTTTCTTCTCCTTCTTCTTTATCCCCCACTGATTCCACGCATTGCTCCCCCTGCGAGATTGTTGCAGCTGTGTACTCTTTCTGTATGGAAAAAAAATCTGGAATTTCGTTTTTTTTTTTTTTTTTTTGGCATGCCATTTATCATAGCTTTCTAAGGTGGGGGAAATTTTGTTTGACTATTAATTTTTTTAAAATTAAGAAATAGTAAATTCGATATTTAGTTATATTGATGGATTACAGTGGGGAAAATGGATGCTAAATTGGAGAACCTTTGGCATAGTCGAACCGTATGAAAATGGATACTGACAAATGTAAATCTATTTAAACCGAAAGTTTGATATAAATTGGTTGTAATCTTATAAAATTGGATGGGTTTAAACTATTTGTATTTAAAGTGCTTTTAGAAGAATATATATTATTTAAAAGACGTTTAATATAAAAATCGAAATACCCAGCAGCAAGCCAAGTTAAGTCAAAAGGCAATAATAAAATATGACACACACAAAACAAAACATGAGATACCATTACAAAAGTAATATATATATATATACACACACACACATGAAAATGGTTCAGAGGTGTGAGAGACGCAAAAGAACCTTCGGATAACACCATTATTAGTTTGATTTTGACTTTGGGTTCCTTATGGTGTTTTTTTGATTAACTGTTAATCACGCTCTTAATCAAAGTGTTGCACAAAGTGGGTGATTTATGCTCCATCATCATTTATTTTTTATTTTGACATTTTTTACGAGTCGAGTGATTATGTCACTCCGTTGAATTTTACAAAAATAAAAAACTATATACATAGTCACGCTTAAATATAAATACACAAAAAAATAGCATGAAAAAAATCTCAACAGCAGTAATAAGACACTGATCACCACATGGTCAAATCAGACACCTCCTCGTATGTATGTGTGTATGTATGTATGTATGTATGTATGTATGTATGTATATATATATTCGTTTCAGAGATCCTCGTATTATTTTTCATACAAAACAGAGAATAAGATGATTTATTACGCCGAATTAGAATGTTAATAAAAAATCGGAGAGTCAGAAATCTTTCCAAAAGCACATCAAAGAAGATCAGTAATCGCCAACGGTTAAAAAATGATTAATTAAGTAAAGTAAACCAAAGCCTTCCTTCTTCGCCTTTTATTTTCTCTTTAATTATATGCTTCTTCCCACTGTGTGTGTATACGATAAAAGAGTTGTGAGAGAGAGAGAGAGAGAGAGAGATGGATGAGAGAGAGAGTCAAAACGGTGCGTATGGAGGCAGGGTGGTGGTGATGACGGAGGAGCAGATGGAGATTCTCCGGAAGCAGATCGCTGTCTACGCCGCCATTTGTGAGCAGCTCCTCCTCCTCCACAGCTCTCTCTCTTCTGGTAATCTTTTATTTACCTACACCTCTCCTCTCCTATACACACACATAGATACATACACATGTCGATTTCATCATCTTGATTTGACAAACGATCACTTAGGGGCATACAGATATAGATAGATAGATTGATAGGAGGGGTACCTCTCTGCAGTTGCGTTTGCGTTCTGGGTTTTCCAAATACCATCTGCCATATGTAACTAACTGTCTGTGCAGAAACACTTCAAACGCAAACGCAAACGCAAACGCAAACGCTACTTTTATTGGTAGCGGCTGAAATCTCCTTCAGCGATGAAATATGGCATAAGAGAACCCGATCTTGATTTCTAATTGTAATCATGATTGGATAAACATTTCAAGAATGTTCAAAAATGTTGTAACTGGTAAACGAAGTCGAACGAGTAATAGAAAGCGATTTGGGTCGATTACTTAACCAAATTCGGTTTGGTTTGGTTTGGTTTGGTTTTTTCTGTCAAGACCCTGTTGTGATATTAACTCTTTGCAATTGGATTCCGGTCCAAAATACTTTATTCGAATAGTTTCAAGGGTAGGGTTTAATATCTATGGTTTAGTATATATACACATACATGTGGGAGATTGAAAAACATGTCTAAAGCGGAGAATCAAAATATATAACAGGTAAAATCCGGACAGTAACTTGTAGCTCAAGTAACCAATTTTTTTCCGACGATGAAAAGGGACCCGGCTGATCGGCGGAGGAGGATCGTACTTCGACCCGCTGGTCTCATCGTCTGTGAGCTCTCTCCGGATGTCGGCTCGGCACCGGTGGAATCCCACGGCGGCGCAGCTGGAGATACTGGAGAGCGTGTACGAGGAGGGGAATGGAACGCCGAACCGGCAGAGGATAAGGGAGATTGCGGCGGAGCTGTCGGAGCACGGACAGATCACTGAGACCAATGTCTACAACTGGTTCCAGAACCGGAGAGCTCGGTCCAAACGGAAACAGCAGCTGACGACGCAGGTCACGGGGGTTCAGGCCGCTGCCGCAGCGGAGGAGGAGGAGGTGGAGAAGAAGATCGCGGCCGTGGAGACTGGAGGTTTGGAGTCCTACGAGCATATCCTCTTCCCAAGTCCCGACTTAGGGATCGAGCATTTGCTGGGTGAAGCAGAAGGTCCTAGAGAATCGAGCTCATATAGGCAGATGCAAGGATGATCGGATTCGGATTCGGATTCAAGATTCGGGTTTTATTATATGTCTCGCTTACAAAAAAAAAACAAGTATTAAAGAATCAGACACAACATGAAAGGTCTTTCAAGTAATCGTTTAGGTTTTACAAGGTAGACCCATTAAAATCGGTAAATCATAAAAAATAACGCGTATGATGATAACTTCCATGATTTTTTTAAAAAATTTTTAGAAACTTGTGTTTTTATTTTAATTTTTTTAATTTTCGTGTTGTTGAGTAATTTGATTTCAGTCCAATGTTCAAGAAAAAACATCAACTTAGGTCTAGTGCCCCTTCAGTTTCAGAGTCGGGAGGTCTCTGTCTTGTCTCGTGATAGGCTAGGCGGGTACCCGAGGTTTACGCACGCGTCATGATTAGGGCTGCGAGTCGCGAGAACGAAGAAACTGTGAAAACGAATTGGACCCGTTAATAATGGGCCTAATAAATTAATTGGAGTGAGCTGGCCCAATAAATGAATTATAATGGGCTTTCATGGGCCCATATAATGATACAGCATGAAGGAACTAGAACAAACAATGATAATCATGAAAATATAAGATTTCACGCTTGTTGTATCACAGCCATTTTTCTGTTTCCTTTTTTTTTGCTCTGTTCGAAAAATTTGAAATCCAAACTTGATATTCGTCCGGACGAGGACAGAATCTGAGATAGGATTTTGATCGGATTCGGAACCTCTGCCTAAGTCCGGTGGGTACTTTCCGGTGTCCCTTCGTTCGTGGAGATGGCGGGACAGAATCCGAGCATGGATCAATTCGAGGCGTACTTCAGGAGAGCGGATTTGGACGGAGATGGTAGGATCAGTGGAGCCGAAGCTGTCGGATTCTTCCAAAGATCTGGTTTGCCTAAGCAAGTCCTTGCCCAGGTACAATCCTCCATGGATCTTTGCTTTCTTGATTGTCTGCGCGACGGGGTTTTGAGTTATCGAACACAGGGATCTGATTAGGTTTTATATACAGCTGATGGGGGGGTTTCGAAATGGTGTTGAGTTTGGTTCTTAATCTCAACTTCGTGCTATTCTCAGATTTTGAATAGCTTGGGACCTGTATCTCGCCTACCGCTGATTTGATTCACCGGGTTTTTTCATTTCCTCTTTTAGGATCTTTACTTCATAAGAGTAGGGCCATATCAGGATCTGTTGTGAAGAAGAATAGGACAGTTAAGTTCTAGGGTTTCCTTAATCTTTGTTCTGATTAACTATGCAATGTGTTTGTAGATATGGTCGTATGCAGATCGATCTCGCAGTGGTTTCCTTGGCCGGCAAGATTTTTTTAATGCTCTGAGGCTTGTAACTGTAGCTCAGAGCAAGCGAGATCTGACACCTGAGATAGTCAATGCAGCACTCAATACTCCTGCTGCAGCCAAAATCCCTCCACCCAAAATCGATCTTTCAGCCATTGCCGGGCAACAACCTAATCCTGTTGCAACTGCACCCCAGATCAGTCCAGTTTCCTCTGCACCTACTCAAAATTTAGGGTTTAGGGGACCAGGTGCTCCAAATGCAAGTGTCAACCACAACTATTTTCCACCTCAGCAAAACCAGATGTTGAGACCAACCCAAGGAATGCTGGGTCTAAGTACTCCTCGACCATCTCCTGGTCCTGCTGGTCCAGAATATAGGGCTAGTCCTGTCCCAGGTCAACTTCAATCACTTCCTGGAGGCACTGTTTCCCGTCCGCCTCCACAGGGTGTTTCGACAAGTGTATTTGGTTCGAATGTCTCGAATGATTGGAACGCCGGAAAAACTGGCGGATACTCGTCAGGCTTCGGAGGAGTAGGCTTAGCAGGACCTTCTGCTATCTCAAGACCTGAGTTGCCTATTTCTACATCCTTGCAGCCCACAGCTGCTGATTCAAAAGCACTGGCTGTCTCTGGGAATGGGACCGCTCCCAGCTCTGGTTTTGGTGGTGACATCTTTTCTGCGACATCCTATCAGCAAAAGCATGAATCTGCTGTTGGTTATTCCACAAACAGTTCATCCATTGTTCCTGCTTCTGTTGTCGCACAACCTTCACCTAGGCCCAGTGCTCTAGACTCCTTGCAGAGTAATTTCTCAATGCTCCCTGCAGGAAACCAGCTTCAACACCCAAGGTCAGTAGCAAGCTCGCAGTCTATCATGTCTTCACAAGGTTCATCTACCGTTTTGCCACCTGGAAGTTCGGTTGGATCTGGCCATTCAACTCCTACTGGAAATTCTCAGCCTCCGTGGCCAAAGATGAAACCATCAGATGTCCAGAAATATACAAAGGTATTTGTCGAAGTAGATAGTGATAAGGATGGAAAAATTACCGGTGAGCAGGCAAGGAACCTCTTTTTAAGCTGGAAACTACCCAGAGGTAAGGGTCTTCAATTTTTCAGTTCAGTTTTCATGAAGAATATTGTACATCCTTCATACGTGAAAAGAACTGATTTCTTTGTTTAAGACAAAGGCATTTTTGTAGATTGACCAATCTGTCTTTTCCCCAGTTTGGAAGACCTTGTTTTGTTCTGTTGCCAATTTCCCAGGAATTATGTTTCTATTAAGTGTTCTTTTATTTTTTTATTTGATTCCAGATGTATTGAAACATGTCTGGGAGTTATCAGATCAGGATAATGATACTATGCTCTCTCTGAGGGAGTTTTGCATTGCATTGTATTTGATGGAACGGTATAGGGATGGCCGTCCTCTCCCAACAGCACTTCCTCAGAGTGTCATGTTTGATGAGACACTGCTGTCTATCTCTGGCCCACCTAATCTTAGTTATGCAAATGCTGGATGGGGCTCTGGACAAGGTATTGCTCAATTTGTGTTCTTATGTTTTACTGTTGTTCTCTCCCTTTCCCTTATAAATTTCTAAATTTTTTTAGTGGGTCATATTTCTTTTGTGTAAGGTTTTGTGCAGCAGCCGGGAATGGGTGCAAGACCAATCACACAGCCAACTGGTGCGAGGCCACAAGTTCCTGGACCTGCCCCTCACCCTGGCAGTGGAATAGAATCTAATCAGGAAAGAACTCAAGTGCCAGATTTGGGTGATCCTTTTGCTAATCACCTTGGTGATGGAAATTCTGTGAGCTCAAAGCTTCCGGAAGTAGAAGCTGAAGGGGAAAAGGCAATAATTTTGTTTTCTTTCTGTTTTAAATAAAGATCCAAGTCTGGCGACTTTGATTAGTTAATGATTGTTTTACCTTTAGTCCATTTGTATTTCTTTTTTTACCTTGGGAATCAAAACTTTTGTTTTATTTCTGTAGGTTGGTCTAAAGCAGAATGTCATTATGGACTCAAGGGAGAAACTTGAATACTACCGCATGAAGATGCAGGATATTGTGAGTATTTCTGCTCAGTTTTTCATCTTTTGCTTTGTGCATGGCTTTGCGTGTAAGTCTGAGAAGTGAGGAAAGATCATCATTTCTCAGCACCAGTGTACTGCTTGTGATTTAATTTAACTTTATTTATCAGTATTGCATGGAATGTATTGGTGGTTTAGGACTGTATGTTTTGGACAATATTACCTCTTCCACTTTTATGTTTTGGAAAGTATTACTATTATTCTGCTCAAATCTAGGAGGAGGAAGCTTTGAACTTGTCAGCATTTTCAGAAAATCTTTATTGAGTATTGTCCCGGTCATTGTTCTCTTGAAAAAAATGACTGTAGCTAATAACTATTGTCGCTTCCGCTGGCATCTGGACATCTACATTGGCACACTTTTCTTCCAGGGCTTAGATGTTGGACTTCGACCTAAAGTGCTTATGAGTTGTATGGTTGTTGTTCCCCTTGAAATTTTGACCTTATGACATTTGTTGTTTGAAGCTGTGCTGCTGTACAATCTAGATTTTGATCGAGATTGATCAGTTATCTTCTTGATGGATATTGGACAGTTGGAGTTCTTGTTGTTCAGTTTCAAAACTTGAGTTAGGTTTTAAATTTGTGTTAGAGTAAGGTTAGCTTATATAAGATTCAATTTTTATGATGATTTTGTTCATTCCATTCATTTCCCCCTTTTTTCCTCACCCATCAGGTATTGTACAAAAGCAGGTGTGACAATAGACTAAATGAGATCACTGAAAGGGCTTGTGCTGACAAGCGTGAGGTGCTTTTTTTTATATAATATACAGAATCAGATTGCTTGTGTCTGTACAGGCTGTTTTATCTTATGCGGAATATTTTATGCTACAGGCTGAAACATTGGCTAAGAAATATGAGGAGAAGTATAAGCAAGTTAGCGAAATAGGATCGAAATTGACTATTGAAGAGGCCAGATTCCGTGAGATCCAGGTATCACTATTTCCTTTGGCTGCTGCTCTTAAAGTGGCAACTTTTTGTGTATGTTTCAACAATTCTAGTTATGGTGTCTACGACTTAGACTACATTTCCTTCAAAGCGACAGACATGTTAGCAAAACTGAGAAAGCTAATTTCGAAATAAAACTCTTGATAACTTATCGATCATCTTATATTAGAAATCTAACACCCTGCCTCTTTGCTGAAATGATTACATGCGCATTAGTGCTCTTCTTTCTTGTTGCAGTCCTCTATTTTTTTACCTATCTATCCTTCCTGGTCATGTGCTTTTTACATTTTCTGTCATTTCTTCATTCTTTTTCTTTCTCTGAGTTGTATGCTGTTTGTCTCGTCCCTCTCCCCTCTCATGTCTTACGCTCCCTTTGTCCTCCCTCGACTTCTGTTGCCAAAAAGACTTCTGAGTATCTTTATCACATCCTTCCTTGAAGAATTATTACTTATTGCGGTTTTATTAATTGATTCCAGGAGAGGAAGACAGAGTTGCGTCAAGCAATTATAAACATGGAGCAAGGTGGCAGTGCCGATGGTCTTCTTCAGGTACATGCCATCACCATATACTGTGAGAAGATAAAATAGTTTCTGTTTGGCCAACGCGTCTGATTGGATGCTTTTCATAACATGTTTAGGTTCGGGCTGACAGAATACAATCAGATCTCGAGGAGCTCATGAAGGCTTTATCTGAACGATGCAAGAAACATGGATTGGATATAAAGTCGAAGGCACTCGTAGAACTTCCAGCAGGTACGTTTATTTTGGCATACGATTCTCTGTTCAAATATTTGTCTTTTTTTTTTTGTTTGGTCCATTAAGAAAAATTACGAGATGATGCTTGTTTCCAGTATTCAAGGCTTTTGATATATCTTATATTTGTATTAGGCTGCATATACTTGATTTCTTGCTCTTGCATCTCCTTTCTTTGTTGTTATATGGCAATGTAACGAAAGAAATCGTACGACATTTATTTATATGCTATGACTTTTAGGCTGGCAACCCGGAATTCAAGAGGGAGCAGCTCTCTGGGATGAAGAATGGGACAAGTTTGAAGACGAAGGTATAATATTTTACCGCCTTCCTTTTACTATGACATTTCATGTTTATAGTTAAGCATTAACTAGTTATCTCCGCTTCTCAGGTTTTGGCAATGAGCTCACTTTCAACAAATCCAAACAGCATGAAAACGGGTCCCTCGATGATGATAGTCTAACACATGATTCATCCTCTCATCCTGATGCAAAGAATGGGCATTTTTCAGACGGTGAATACGCAGCCACTCATAGTGATGATGAATCTTCAAGAAGTCCTAGAGGCAGTCCTGGCTCAAAGACTGCTGTTGAAACATCATCTCCAGGTTATTCTCAAGGGAAGAGTGCTGAATCCGATGCGGAAAGTCACAGGTATGTTGTGTTCAGGCTTCCTGAATCTCAATTATCTCAATGCCAATAGTCTATGGGTGATTTTGGCGGTGAATTTTATTTCGATTTTTTTGAATGGCAGGTTCTTTGATGACTCGAACTGGGCTAGTGCATTCGATACTAACGATGATGTGGATTCGGTCTGGGGATTGAATGCATCTAAAAGCCAGGTTAGTGTAAGAATCCACAAAGTGTTTCTGTTCATTGAATCGGCTTCAAAATCTTCACCACTGCATCTGTATGAATTGTTTACTTTGTCCTTGGCTTTGCCAAACCTTAATTCTCTTGAATAAGAGCATGTCTGGAGATTTGCAGTATGCTTGGCACAATAAGACCAAACCCCAAAACAGGCTTAGGGTTTTGGGATTTAGGCCTTAACTGGAGCATTGTCAACTGAACCGATATCTGACTCTGTTTATGCTTTTGGCAACACTGAAAATGAATGTCTCTTAAATCTGAATTTGTCTGTATAAGAATTGAAAAGGTTGCATAATCTGAATTTGGCTAGCTGTTGATATTATTATCTTGCTTTTGTTTGCTAAATCGTTGAGCTTTTCTACTTGATATTTTGATATAGCAGGATGGCGATTTCTTCGGGTCCAGTGGCAATTTCGACACAAACCTGGGAAGAGGTGATTCTCCAAGTTCGGAAAGCGTGGCTCAGAGAAAGAGCCCGTTTGTTTTCGATGATTCAGTTCCAAGCACTCCGCTCTCGAGATTCGGAAACTCTCCCCCGAGATTCAGCGACGCGTCCGCGAGAGATAATAACTTCGACAACAGCTTCTCCCGGTTTGATTCCTTCAACACAACGAGTGAAATGGGTTTTTCTTCCCAACCCGAGAGATTCTCGAGGTTCGATTCCATCAGCAGTTCCAAAGACTTTGGAGAATCTCTCTCGAGATTCGACTCCATCAACAGCTCCCGAGGCTTTGGGGCCGACAAATTCTCGAGGTCGGACTCCATCAACAGCAACAGAGACTTTGGTGGGCACTTGCTTTCGAGATTCGATTCCATAAGCAGCTCGAAGGATGTCGGTGGAAGCCACGGATACTCCTTCGACGATGCAGACCCCTTTGGTTCATCAGGTCCTTTCAGAGTCTCCTCAGAGGATAAGAGCCCAAGGAAAAGGTCAGATAATTGGAATTCCTTCTAGTTTTCGAAATCTCCTGATGAAAATTGAAAAATCCCACCTTTATCATTGTTTCATTACAATTATATATATATATATATATATATATAAAGAACAGAATTATATTTTGTTTTCTGGTGATCTTTTAGAACGGGATGTACAATTTTTTGCATTTTTGTTCATTTTCTCACAATATTTGTGTCTGTAGACATCTAATTTAATATTTATATTTTTTTACACCTTGACCTGATTTGGTTTGTGTTCTTTTTAACCGATTATCCCCTATTGCGGTTATTCGTAACGTGAAAAACTTTGGAACTAGTTATGTTTTATATTCAGGTTTTGTTATTCTTTGATTTATTTTTTTAGAAATTGTATTTAGTTAATTTAATATTGGTTTTTAGTTCTTTTCGGATTTGTTTTTTATTTTTTAAATAAATTAAATGTTCAAAATTTTAACTATTTTTTACTCTATTTGAATTTACATTAAATTTCTTTAATTTTAAAAAAATTATACTAACTAATTTTTATATTAAATCTGATTCGAATATAATTATATATTTAATTAGATTCAATTTGATTTCTCATGCGGTTTATGATTTATCCCCCCCCCCACCCAATCGCCCTGAAACGGCAGCGTTTAACAAGAGACGCAGCTTAGAAAAACGCAGCGTTTTAGTTCAGACACCAGGATCCGACCCGAAATGACCTGACCCGGCGGTTTCCCTCCAAGTGTGTGTGGGTGTCGAAGTGCCACTGCCAGGCTGTGTTGTCTTCTGTGTTCAAGTTGGCGGTTGGTGGCTCCACGTCCCTCCGAATGACTTTCCATTTCGGTCAACCTTTTAGCCCTTTGTTCATCGTCTTCGTCTTCTTCCTTCTCTCGATCGGAAAACCGACCAACACTTTTTTTTGTTGTTGTTCAAGAACCTAAGTAACGTAACTAGAAATCGAGTTCTCTGGTGGGTTCTTCCATGGAAGACGAAGATGTGTCTCTTACATGACTTGTTCTCTGCTCACGAAGAAGGTTGAGTAGTGGTGCCGTTGAGCTCTCCAGCTAGAATAAGAAACTAGGGTTTTTACTTATTGCTGCTTTTCCCCGGAATTCAGGTGGGCAGGCATGGTTTCTTCTTTTGGTGCTTTGGGATTTTGCTCTGAGACACTATTTGTCTGTCCTTTTGCGAGATTTGGTGATTTTGCTGATTTTGGTAGAATGGGCATTGGATTGGTAGATTCTAAATCTCGAACCTGGACTCGACAAGGACCTTTCTAAATCTGGTTTCGAACTTTTTTGACAAAAACCTTAACATCTTTGTTCTGTCTTTGTTGAATTCGGTAAGAGTCGGAGTTCGCTTGTCTGCTTCCATTATACTCAAATTTGTAAACTTTCATGATTAATCTTGCATTTCACGAATTGGGTTTCATGATTTTCTTTTTGGTTCAGGAACTTCCTGAATCATGTTTCTCGCCTTTACCATGATTGGATAGCACGATGGTTTCAAGCAGTTTCATTTGCTGTTTCTCTTCCCTCGGCTTGTAAGATTTGTTTCAGTGTAATGATGATTGCGTATTTATCAATCAGATGGCCGGAAGTTTGGACGGAAGCCAATCCGATGACAGCCCTCGTTCCGAGAGTGGAGGGGAGGACGTATACGAAGCCTTTCTTTGCCCGTTGACGAAGAAGGTTATGGATGATCCCGTCACGTTGGAGAATGGCCGTACATTCGAGCGTGAAGCCATCGAGAAATGGTTCGACGAATGTCGAGAAAAAGGGCATCCTCCTTCATGCCCTGTAACTTTGCAGGAACTGAACACAATGGATATAACCCCAAGTATAGCTCTACGTAACATCATCCAAGAGTGGAGATCTAGGAATGAAGCTGTTAAGCTCGATATGGCCCGTCAATCACTATATCTCGGAAATGAAGAGGCCGATATTTTGCAGGCTTTGAAGCATGTGCAAGAAATTGGCGGGAACTGCAGATCATATAAGCACGGTATGCGCGATTCTCAACTTACCCGCATGATCATCGACATGTTAAGAAGTAATAGTCACAGAGTTCGGTATAAGGCTTTACAAACCCTTCAAGTTGTCGTTGAAGGAGATGATGAGAGCAAGGTTCTGTCTTTGATTTCCAGAATTCTATTACAGCATATACCATTGGTAATGGTTATGTTCCAATAGTTAATGTTCAATCTCGGTGATTTTTTTTCAGGCAATAGTAGCTGAAGGGGACACTGTCCGGACAATAGTTAAGTTCTTATCGTATGAGCCTTCGAAGGGGAAGGAGGCGGCTGTTTGCTTGTTGTTTGAGCTCTCCAAATCGGAAGCATTGTGCGAAAAGATCGGTTCAACCCGTGGAGCAATTCTGTTATTAGTTGGAATGGCGAGCAGCCAATCAGAAAACATTACGACCGTTGAAAAAGCCGATAGAACCTTGGAAAACTTGGCGAGGTCCAAGGAAAATGTAATGCAGATGGCTATAAATGGTAGATCACAGCCCCTTCTAGCAAAACTCGTCGAAGGTAACTTCGTTTGTTAAAATTTCCGGGTTTCACTGTGGTTAGTCAAAGTCTCGATTTTGCTTTATTACAGCGTGCTTGACAAGATTGGATGAAACGTCATATGATCTGTCTGCAGGTTCACCTGAAACGAAACTCTCAATGGCTTCCTTACTCGGGGAGCTCGCCTTAAACAACGAAGTGAAAGTTCTCGTGGCACAAACTGCGGGATCGTCTCTTATCAACCTCATGAAAAGCCAGGAGTTGCCACGGCGGGAAGCTGCTTTGAGAGCTCTTAACAAAATATCTTCGTTCGAAGGAAGTGCCAAGATCTTGATCGAGACGGGAATCCTCCCTCCGCTTATCAAAGATCTCTTCTTAGTAGGGCCTAACAGCCTTCCGATCCATCTAAAAGAAGTCTCGGCCACTATCCTCGCCAATATAGTGAACACGTGTTACGACTTTGACAAAGTCCCCTTCGGGTCTGACCATCCAAAAACTCTTGTTTCGGAAGACATGGTGAAGAACCTGCTCTACCTGGTCAGCTACACTGGTCCAGCTATCCAATGGAAGCTATTGGAAGTTCTTGTCGGGCTCACCAGTTCTCCGACCACGGTTCTAAACGTTGTCTCGACGATTAGAACTTCCGGTGCCATTATCAGTTTGGTTCAGTTTATAGAAGTTCGTGAGAACACTGATTTACGTCTTGCTTCCTTAAAGCTTCTTCACAACCTCTCCCCACACATGAGTGAAGAACTGGCAAATGCCTTGCGTGGAACCATTGGGCAGCTTGGGAATCTCGTTTCGATCATATCGGAGAATACATCGATCACAGAAGAGCAGGCTGAAGCTGCTGGGCTTTTAGCCGGACTCCCGGAGAGGGATCTTGGTCTGACACAACAAATGTTAGGAGAAGGTGCTTTCGAGAAGATTATACACAAGGTTGTCGGGATTCGCCAAGGTGAAATCACGGGAGTCCGATTCGAGAAAACATTTCTCGAAGGGCTGGTCCGTATTCTTGCTAGGGTTACCTTTGTCTTTGCTGAGGAGCCGAGGGTCATCTCGTTCTCCCGTGAGAACAACCTCGCTTCCATCTTCGTTTATCTGCTTCAATCCAGCGGGCAAGACACCATTCAGATGGTTTCTGCCATGGCATTGGAGAATCTCTCGTCAGAATCCACGAGACTAACAAGAATACCCGAGATTCCTGCCCCGAGTTTCTGTGCATCGATCCTCTCGTGTGTGAGCAAACCGCCTATTGTATTGGGAATGTGCTGTATCCATCGGGGAATCTGTTCACTGAGAGAGAGTTTCTGCCTTGTGGAAGGGCAAGCAGTTGATAAACTCGTGGCCCTTCTCGAGCACAAGAACGAGAAGGTGGTTGAAGCGGCACTAGCGGCATTGTGTACGTTGTTAGAAGACGGGTTAGAAATCGAGAAAGGGGTGAGAGTATTGGAGGAGGCTAACGGGATATGGCCCATACTGAACGTTCTGCTCGAGAACGGAACGGGGGGTCTGAGGAGGAAATCCGTGTGGGCGGTGGAAAGGATCTTGCGGGTTGAGGAGATCGCCCGGGAGGTAGCGGAAGGGCAGAATGTGAGCGCTGCCCTCGTGGACGCGTTCCAGAACGCGGATTATACGACGAAGCAGATAGCCGAAAACGCCTTGAGGCACATCGATCGGATCCCGAATTTCTCCGGTATATTCTCTAACTCAGGATGAAGAATCTTGGATCTTGAATCCTTGAGGGTGAGAGTTTCGGACAAGTTTGGTTTGTTGGTTTACTTGGCTTTGGTCAGATAGCATTCAAAGTTTTTTAAAGTAATTGAGTTGATTTGTTACATTTGCATTGCCTGTATATATATGTGCGCGCGTGCGCGCGTGAGAAGATGGTGTAGTTAATGTTCGATTTGGACATGTCTAATAGCCTGATGGGCCTACTGTCCAAATCAGTTTACCGTGTACAATCACGATTCTATTGGGGAAAAAAATTGAAGAGAAAATCCATCCTCAAGCCCATGCAGTATATATATACATATATATATATATATACACACAATTTGTTTCAGAAAATGTAGCTTTTTCACAGGAAAAATAAATCTTAAGAGTTTGCCCATGTTTAACCGGATAAAAAAAAATCTCAAAAATTTGAATCGTAAACAAATATTTAAAATTAAGATTTTTTTAAATAAAACAAGTTCCTAATAAAAATTCAATTCGTATACATTTTAAAAAAAAAAATTAATTGCATGAAATACAAATCAAATCAAACTAAAATATTAAAAACTAGTAAACAATCAAGAGGGACAAAGAGTTAGATCGATAATTGACATCTTATCTTTTTTTTCGTAATTAAGAGCAAAGGTGTTAAAAGAATGCATTAATAATCCATTTGACTCGTTAATGAAAAAGGGGCAATCACTTCAATAAAAAAAAAAATGCCATGTAATTGTAAGTGGGCTTTTTGGTAATTGCCATGTTCCCACTAATTGGTTATTTAAATGGCTCTGGTCAAATATTATAATGCATTCGGTACGAAAATACATTATTTTAAAATTGAATTTGACAAAAGAATGAAATTTCCTCGACCGCCTGCATTGATACGAGACCAACCCCACTAGTCTAAGTGAATCTTTCACTAGATTTTATATGATGTCAAAGCCTTAACCATATTTCATAAGTTTATCATACAATTTACCTTTTAAAATTAATGTTTTACACATCCTTTTAAATTTTTAAATGATGGATCTTTTTAAAAGATATGCCATATATTTGAATTCAAAATCGAACCGGACCAATCCAACCTAAACCAAAAACCGATATCCTCTTATTATCTTCTTCATTAGATTCCCCAAACCATAACCGAAAACTCTTTCCACGATTACATGAATCACGTCAAGTGAATTATTAATATAGTAGTTTAGGTAATGAATCTTTTTAAATATATTTAAATTTAAAAAAAAAATCAAACTAAACTAAAATCGATCCTCTTATCTTCGGAAAACTACAAAAAACGAAATAATTATTACCATGATTACATGATTCATGTTAAATGAGTTGTTTTTATACATGATTTAAGTAATGAATTTTAAAAAGGTATAAGATATGAAATATAATTTACACATGATCACACATATGAAAACCGGCGATCAAACCGGTCTCGATGGGTTCGGTTAAATTCGGTACCGGACACAAACGCAATCATTACGAAAATCAACAAAGACCCCACGTATAAATTCATAACAAGATCTTTAAATCTGCAAACGGGATCTGTCCAAAGATTTGCTTACGATCCGATCGCACGCACATAATAAATTAGAATATCGATTTTTTTTTATTGAGGCATCGTTTTCAAGAAAACGGAATTGACAAATCACATTTTTATTTAGTCAGGCTTTGTTGGTGGAATTACTCCCACGTGATCTTTATGCCTGCGGCCATTTTTTATATTAGGCTAAGTGATAAGGACATATTATATTGGATCATGTGCTTCGGCCTTTCGGTACATTCGTTGCATCCTGCATTTTTTTTTTCTTTTAATTAATTTTAATGTGTGGATGATAGTGTTTCTTTTGGAAATCAATCAATAAATAAAGTTGTTTAAATCGATTTATGAATATATCATAAGAGATATATATGGACTTTAGATTACTACTTTATATCTTAATCCGTTGATAAAAAGGAAATTAATGGAAAGTAATGATTCGTCGAGACCCTATTCAAATGTATAAGATAATTTAATAAACAAAAAATTCAAACTAAAGCGAAAATTAAATAAATATAATTTGTATTAAATCAAACTTACTCAAACCTAGAAATAATAAAACCAAATCAAATCTATTATTATTAACTATCTCATTCAAAGTTATGAAATTGATTTTAAACTATGATCTATCTAAACAAAATCAAATCATCTATTTTCACATTTGATAATTTAGAATATCAAAAGGTATTTCTTTCTCGCTATTAAATTTTTGTATGGATACGAGATTTCACATCTTCTTATGGAACCGATATTTCGTCAAGTCCAAGTCTCGAAAGACTTCTTGTGGAACTTCAAGTCCTTCCAAACTTACACTCCAAATCTTCAAATCACTATATCCACAACGTTACAGCAAGTACTATATTCGTGGAATTTCATATATATATATACATATATATATATATATATATATATATATTACAAATAAACGGAGGAAAAAAAATTAAATGATAATGTTTGGGGGGAAAGGAAAAAGTGGGCGGTGAGAAGAGTCGTCCGAAGTGGAGGATGCACTCAAAGAGTCAAAACCAAAACCAAAGACGTTTTTTTGCGTTTTTGCACAAATCTCTCTCTCTCTCTCTCTCTCTCTCTCTCTCTCTCTCTCTCTCTTCTTCCCTAGTTTACTCTATTTGGAAACTCCCGTTCCCACACGTTCTTTTTCACTCTTTTTTTGTGTAGTAATCTTTTGTGCGTGTGTGTGTGTATTTTAGCCATTGTAAAAGAATTATTATTTGGGTTGACTTCAAACTTTTTTTTATTAGCTTAAACAATTATGACATTAATTTAGTGGTTTTATTTAGTAATGAATAATATTACATAGATATAATCATTTAGAAAATTCTAATTTGAGTTCGAATATTCTGAAAATAACTTTATAAATATCGTTAAAATTTCGAAAGGACGACAATGGTTTTAATATATATACCGTTAGGCATTAGTCATCATATCTTCACCGATATCTTGATCATCATCTTGTTGTCATCGTCATCACTAACAATGTCACAGTCACAAATCGACATCTTCGATTAATTATGTATTTCCTTTTTATTATAATTAAGTTCGTTTCACATTGATTCTCATCTCCATCTACGATTGGCCACACGCACTATGTATGCACGCGCATAAATTTGGATACAGTAATGTCTATAGTCAAGTTATCCATCTCAAGTATAATAAATATCTGAAATTTATCAATGATTGTTTCTATGCAAATATGTTATATATATATACACACAAACCCACACGATCGTATCAAAGATTCTAAGCAAATGTTTTCTAATATATATAGGATTACATCAAAAAATATATATATAGGAACTACGTAATGTAGGATTTTAAAAACTATTGTCGATAAATATATAATGTAGTATTCTGCAATTACATATATGACATTATTTAAATGTATTTTAGAGAAGTTGAACGATGACAAAGTAGGATAAGTTTTGAGATTGTTCCGACTTTTAATCAAGTGATAATCATGGTTATCACTTAAAAAGGTCGCTGGATGAATAGCATTTTGATGATTTCGGACGCATTACTAGGTTTAAGGTTGAAATTATCGACGCTGTCGAGAGCCACGTGGCATCTAATTACGCACGTGGCTTGATTCCGATGGCCAAAAGTGCTCTAAAGAAGTCTTCGAGTATGAACGGATAACCCTCCAGCTTCATTAGTTTTCTTCGCTTTCATCATTTTTAATAAAAGATTATAAATTTAGAGCATTGTTTTATATTTTTCGGACGGATAATTTTAATATTTATTGGCTATTAGCTGTAGAAAGGTTATTGGATAATGTAGAGAAAAGAGAACAAAAGGTAACATATAATATAACCAACTGCGACTATAAAACAAAAAATACACACACACGCATATATATATATATATATATATACATATATATAAATTTTACATATTATTATATTTTATAGATTTTAGTTTTTTTTTATCATATTCAAAGTTATAAAAATATTTTAAATTCACTCTATTATAAAATTATAATGAAAAATATTTATTTATAGAATTTTTCAAATTATCGAATAAACAATGTTTCACTATGCATTTTAAAACTATCTTTTCGTTTTATTTGTGTTGGTTACAGTTATATAAATATTACTTCTTTTAATATACTTATATTTATATTTGTGTGTGTGTGTATATATATAATGATCCTCGTCATGCATATGCACTTATTTTTTAGTGTGCATGATACGTATTATGAATTTCACTTTCATACTTGTAACTTTTTGTACTTAGTTTTTCCTCGTTCCTTCCTTGTTGACTCACACGTCAACGCATTAAATATTTATTAGAATATTTTATTTACCGATGCTTGCTTTTATTACGGTTTTCTAACAATAAATTTTGATTTTATGGTTTCCGATTCGCAATCAATAATCAGCTTAATTTGGACCATTAAATTATTTCGGAAATGCTTTTCCACGATCCCAAGGGTCGCCATAGGCACAATCATGTTTAGTCACTAACTTTTGTTTTGCCCTATATAGTTAAGAATTGGGTGCACATTTCAATTAAAAAAATAATTTAACAAGTAAAAAAAAACAGATAGGAACAAATACCAGGAAAAAAAAACAAAACTTAATTTTAAAATAAATATTTAAAATAGAATTAAACTAATCAAATCAGAATTAAACCAAATTTGATATAAAAATAGAATAAATACAATTTTTTTATAAACTTTTAAAAAATTCCGAAAAAACGAAATAAATTATAATTGATGTCTGAAATATCTACATTTGATCAAATTACACATTTCAAATTGAATCAATTTCTTTCATGTAAATTGTTAATTAAATCACTAAATTATTTAAATAAACATAAGTGGAGTAGTAGAATCTATACAAAGGATGGTTGGAGTGAATTCGGTATCACATGTTGCGCTAGCCTTTCTTTACCATGGCATCTTTTCTTCATTAAGACTCCACCTTTATTCATTTTATATTTGTTTTTCATAAGCCAGAACAATTTACAGCCATTCATGGGTTTCTTTTAATTTCTTTTATATATATTTTGGAGAATATCGCTTTTGTTGTTTATTAGAACAATTTATACATATGCTTTGACTGGCCTTGCAAACATAAAACAAAAATCAATCATTTTTTTTGGTAAAAAATAAAAAAAAAAATAGTGAAGCGATTTAGCTTTCTATCGTTTAATTCATCTTCATATATTGTTTTTTTTCTCTTTCCAACAATTATAAAAAAAAAATTGTGAAAATCATATACATATATATATATATATGTTGTGTGTGTGTGTTTATATTTGAAATAAATAGCTTTGACACACTAATTTATGTATATATATATATATATGTATATATATAATACGAACATTACGTGATTCGAAGTTGGAATATAATTAGTTATTTTGAAAGTGCCGAATACGCAACTGAACTACTGAAGATGAATCTGAGTATGAATAGTTTCTTATTTTTTTTCTTTCTAATATCACGCGTATTATGAGTCAACGTTGGCTGACTTTTGTAAGATTAGTCAAAACATCCAGAAACTTCCATACTTAAATAGAATTAATTACCATATTGCAGCTGGTTAATCTTTAAATAAATATTCCATATATAATAAATATATGTATAATCGTTTACAATAAAATTGGTGATTGTGTTCAGAAGTTGTTGTCATTTAATTTGGAGAAAAAAAAAACATTCGAGTATAAACAGAAAACGACAAGTGAAGTAGGGAAAAGGAAGAGCAAAGGTCTGATTTTACAAAATTAACCTTAATCGATAGCGATATTTACTATCCAATGCCACCGAACTTCCTCTCTATAAAGCCTCAAGTCCCCTGACTGTCCAAAGAACACTTGGATTCATAAACTCTTCATTTCTCAGAATTTTCAAAAATATTAATTAAATAATAAATCAATCTCTCTCTCTCTCGCTCCGATGGCGCGTCTTCTCTTCCGTCTTCTTGGAGAAACCGACTCTCCGCCTCCTCCTCCGCCGGACAGCTCCGCCTCGTTAAATTCCGACCTCGTCGTCATCCTCGCGGCTCTTCTCTGCGCCTTGATATGCGTCCTCGGCTTAATCGCCGTATCTCGATGCGCCTGGCTCCGCCGTTTCACCGCCGCTGATTCATCCGGTCAGGCTCCTTCTCCTCCGCCGCATCCAGCGGCGAACAAGGGGCTGAAAAAGAAGGTCCTCCGATCCCTCCCGAAGCTGACGTACTCGCCGGAGTCTCCGGAAGCCGAGAAATTCGCCGAGTGTGCGATCTGTCTGACGGAGTTCACCGCCGGCGACGAGATTAGGGTCCTGCCGCAGTGCGGCCACGGCTTCCACGTATCGTGTATCGACACGTGGCTTGGGTCCCACTCCTCGTGCCCCTCCTGCCGTCAGATCTTGGTGGTTGGCAGGTGTCAGAAGTGTGGCGGGTTGCCCGGTAGCTCCCATTCGTCCGGATCCGGGTCCGAACACGAGACCCGGTTCAAGCACCAAGCAGACGATCCCAACTTCTTGCCCTGATTCTTTTTCTTTTTCACTTCGTCTATTATACAAATGTGATTTTTAAAAATCGTCTTCCCCGTAATTTCAGAGGGTAAGTTTAATGTGTAATGTACATGTTTTATTGTAAAGTTTTTATGTGATAAATTCAAATCGATAGATGAAAAAGTTCAAACGATTTGTCTTGAAAACTCGCTTAGTTTATGAAAAATACAGCCCGCAAATTCATTTTTTATTTTATAGATTATCCTGAAAATTAATGCCAATAAAGGATATATATGTATATAATTGAATTCATTTAAACCAATAGTTTTAATTAAATACGAATTATATTGATTTTTTCCAAATCTAAATGAAGCATGAAAATGAACAACAACAAATAAAATTTAGTAAGTTATAAATATTTTTTTAATCAAAATTGATCTATAACCAATATTAAAATTGAATTAATATAACTATTGACAAATAAAAAATCGAATCAGTAAATAATTCAATCAGAATATAATGAAAACCTGAATTGTATATGCCCATTCTTTTGGAAAAATAAGTTCATGTGGCTTTCTCCCACATTTGTTTTGGAAAATGGTAGAAAAAAAAATACTAAAATAGAGGGAGGAAATAATATTATTTAGATGCATTACGTAATTATATATATAGAAAAGAAATTCGAGTTTTTTTCGTAGGAAACAGACACATGCCTAATTTGATTTGATTTGTGTGCAATTAGGCTTTGACATGGGAATATGCGGTGGAAACAAGGAGTTTAGTTCAAAAAATTTCATTTTGAAAATTTTGGTTGGAATTTAATTCATTTGATCTTAGAAAATTAAATCTAATTAATTTTTTATTTAGTTGAATCACTATATAAATACATATTAAATGGTTCAATAAGATCGGATTATTCAACCCTTACAGAAATCATCGTAATATCGTGATTTTGTAGTTGTGGATTATATGTAAATTCTTGTTTAATTACGCAGAAATATTCAAGGAAATGATATTATTTGCGTTATGTATTTGGCTGAGCTTTCACTTTCCAATTAATTAAGCCAAACTAATTGTCGGTTTGAATCCCATTTTTCTGTTATTTTTGTCTGTTTTTAATATATTAAAAAAAAAAGAAAAACTTCGTATTTTATAATTTTCTTATATATTTATTCTAAATTTATTCCGCTTATATTTATTTTTTAAACTTATAGTATGGTATGATACGGTATTGTGTGTTTGGTAATGGTTTGGTTTTTTATACTTACTCTGAACGAGATTGTGAGTTCGATTCCTCCGGAATTCTGAACTTTTTCTAAGTCGGATAACTTCGATTGGTTTACCTATTTTGCGTGATTTATCGACTATTGTGTGAGTCGGAGATTACTGTCCAAAATGTCGTCTGACCTGCATGGTCAACCGGCGTCCGGTCCGAATGGCTATAGCGATGGGTTCCCACGGTTAACAAAAAAACAAAAACAAAATGTCTTCCAATTTTAAAAACCTACCCAAAAAGGGGTGGTCGATATGCAAAACATTTAAAGATCTCGTGTTCGATTCTCTTTGGTGGATGTAATTTTTGGATCAATTAGAGCTCATATAAAAAGGTTAGTCCCGAGTCAGAAATTTACCTAGTTAGTGTATTCCAAAGATAGCAGCTAAGAATCCTCCGTTATAAAAAAAAAGGTTTTTAGTATCAAAATTTTAATATTAAGATATGATATTGACGTACATGGGGTATTACAGCGTTTCTGATAGAAAAAATAATTGATTACATTGATATATATATATATATACATATATATATATATGTCTTGATTTAAGTCGAAAAAGTAATAGTTTAATTAAACTTGAGAAGGGATATTTTTATTTTAAATAAGTTGAGTTTCAACCCAAGATATTCACATAACATATTCCGATTATTGGTTTCAGTTAATTTTACATAAAATCACTGTATAATGTATTGAATAAAATAAAGTGATTACAAGTCAAGACACGAAACGAGAATGTCTTGGTTTGTCTTATATCATTGACCTAACAAAAAAAAAAGACCATAATATTGCAATTAAAATAAATCGAGGAGGATTATAGTTTGATTAGGTAATAGTAAATAAATACACAGTTTAGATAATTAATAAAATTAAGTGGACGATATATATTCCTTTCTTTGAGGAGCCGTTGAATAAAATAAGGCGGCAGCTCCACCATCTAAATCTCATCATACACATTTCCACTATGGATAGTGCGGCCATGTGACTAAGTGCTCACCTTTCACATACACATATAATTATAAAATATATAAGAATAAATCATTTAATAAATATAAACGAATAAATTTGTAATTTTTAACAAATAACATGAGTATATTTATATATTTTTTTTTGGGAAAAATGAATCTATAGATAACTGGGTTTAAAAAATTCGAAATGGAACTTTAAATGTATAAGGTATCTGTAATTAGGTTGACAAATAAATGTGTAGAGTAGGCTTGTTGATGGTCCAAATTTCTTTCAAATGGGTTTACTAACCCATCTAAAATTTGAATTTATAGTCATCATCTCCATCTCATTTTTTTTTTCTATAATCACATTACATGATTTTACTAATTATAAAACCCTAATATGAAGTCTTTAGCATCTTAAAATAGTTTGAGCAAATGGTCATAAACCGTGAAATGAGAACATGAAACAATTAAGTTTTCACATAGACTTCAGCTTTTTTTTTCTTTTCTTTTACAAAAGCATGATTTCCCAAAGCAAATGATTAGAGGCTAAAGTTATTACCAATAATAAGGCTTCAGAGATTCTCTCACATTCCTGTTTCTGCATTATCATGTGAATGATTATGTCTTTATTCCCCAATGGGCTGTCACATATATATATATATATATATATATATATATGTATGTATATATATATGTATGTATACACACACACATATACAAGACTGAGAGAACACTTTAGAGCCGACTGGAGGATAAAGTTCATGCCATTTACATGACCATGATAAGCATTACTAGAATTTGTCACTTCTTCAATACCCTCAAGAAATTTTCATGTCCTACCACCTTTGTCTATAAGAAGCCGAAGATTGATGTCCCAAGAGATTTTACAGCATACATTGAACAGATCAAGTTCGGACAGAAACCAGACCAGGGGATCTATGAAGTAGTAGTGGTGGTAGTAGTAGTAGTAGTAGCAGTGGGGATTTGTCCTCCGAGCTTCACGACAACGACTTCAAGAATCCCGTCTGGTCTGAATCTTGGAGAAAACAACCGAGGATCAACTTGTCCTGGCAGATTAAACGAAACCGAAAACGGACCTGCCGGGCAAAACTGCTGCACTTGCATTCTGTATTTGCTTCCTGAGTCGTTTTCCATCGCTAGCTCGGGTACCTCTCCTTGGATGCATACCCTCCCTCCCTTCTGAATCTCGCATTTTATCTTATCTGTTCCAAAAAAAAAAAAAAGGCTTGTGTCAAGATTCGTCAAGTTGTGGCCCGGACATGAAGAACACAACTGAAGAAACTACGAATGTAAATAGCCTATCTAGTTCGCAGCCTATAACATATGCTCGGGTTTTACTCGAAAAAATCGACTCAACCCTCGACTACATGGAACTAACAACGGAAACTGGATCACTACATTTGTTTGTTGTAATTTAATCGTATATCTTTACTCCAAAACACCCTAATGACTCAACCTAATATATAACAAATCGCAGGATTTTCAGAGATATTTCATTTTCATCATCAGTTTATACTTGGAGGGGTATACAAGGTGCTTCTCTTATATAAAAAATGACATGAGAAGTGAAGAAATAATAGGTGCTTACTTTGATTTTTCTGGATTCCGGGCAAACAGACCCGGAAAATGTAAGCAGCTTCGCTCACGCCAATATCGACAAGACCGATGGGTGGTCCAACACTGCCTTCCTTTGCAGTTCCAGTCAATATGACATGTGGTATCACTTTCGGATGATCAGAATCATTCTCAGCATTCATAGTATCGGTTTGTGATTTGTTTCCACAAGGAATTAACCCCAAAATGGACCTGTTTGAATCGAAATTAAGATGGTCATGATTCAAGACCAAGTGAAACAGGTTAAGGAGAGACTTCTCCCACGACAGTGGCAAGTTGGAGAGACCGTGTTCAAACTCTCAAAGCATGGTTAATGCTCGCTAACACCATTTTTCATTCCTTTGAGAAAGAAATCTTGCCCAAAACATAAAAGTTTTCAAGAGCATTACAACAGAAATCAGTGAAGGCCAGACCAGATTCCATGTTCAACATTTCCAAACTCAGTGTCAAAGGAGACGACTTCCAATGAACCAATTTCGAAGCTCAACCACTGGGAAGTCATCTAGATTTCTGGGACTGGATTCGAAATTTAATCAATGAACAAAACAGAAACAGAGAAACACAGACAGTGACAATGGTTTATGACTCTAAATGCTGAAAAATCCCCGATTCCTTGTGTTTCAACCTTAAACCCGTAAGAATGGCGACAACTTGGGACTGTTTTGAGTTTAACCTTAAAGCCAAGAAACAATAGCGATAGAACCATGAAGCTTTCATCGTCCTCGTAAGAATATGAGCTAAAACCCTAAAAGAATCGAGTCCGTTTGACCGAAAACAAATGGGAAAAGCAAAAACTAAACAGTAATCGCACAAACAAACATCGCCGGAAACAAAACCCTAGTTTCCAGTGCCCGACCGAGATGGGTGAAAACCCATGAAATTTCTCTTGCCGATAGCGAAGATTTGGCTTCGGGCGAAGGCAAATAATGACTATAACGGCGTAACGATATATAAGATGAAACATCGCAACAAAGATCAGTAAGAGAATCCCGCGAGGACCAAATCCATGGCAGATTCGGCGTGAGTAAAAGTACCTTCAGACTTTTTCCGGTGGCTCACCGGCGGATTCGATGGCGGAACTCCGTCGTGGTTCGATCCTCAGAGTCTCCGAACGCCGTGAACGTCGTCACATATCCGAACGACTCAGGAGTCACTTAAATTCACAGTATTCAAAGTGGTCGAACAGAGCCAATCAATAGAAGCCACGTGTCACTTCCGTTGACCAAATTGACTGCATAAAGAGCAGTGGGGTTTATACTTTATAGTTATACGTTAAGCGAAAACATAACACTGAAACTATGGCAAATGCATGTCAGAAAATCTAAAGAATCTACGTGAGAGAGAGATACAAAGATCATAGATTTCCTCCGTACATGGAGTTCCGAGTTCCCAACTTGTGGGAAGCAACTGGTTACCTTAAGCTTTGTGTCTGATGAAATGACGACGGCCTTGAAAATCTAAAGAAACGGACAAAGGAATTCATCTCAAAGTCTGAAGAAAGAAAAACCCATAAATCTGGAACACTGAGAAGCTTCAAGAACAGCCACATGTCTCCATGGCAGAAATTACACAGACAGGAAGACAGAACACAATCAGAAAACGCCGACCATTTCTCCGATTTCAAACTAATAATCAGAAACCCTAAGATCATAGCACCCAGGAAAAAGAAAACCCACTGATTCCATACGACCGAACCAGAATCCAATTGGAAATTTCTATCGATACGGATCAGAGACAAGCTTAATAGTCAAAGCCCGCCTTCCTCTCTAGATTTCCCTAGGAGCACATCCACTTCATCGCCATAGATAATAATGCGTGTGTGTAAGCATATAAATAAAGAGAATTACCTCGATTTCGAAGATCATACATAAGCTAGTCTGGAGAGTAGATCAAAGATCGCCGTCGCTGAGAGGATCAAATTACGACAGAAAAGAGAGACGAGATCGGAAATGGGCATGAGTTTGTAAATTTGGCGAAAGAGCGAGGGTACTTTGGTCATAAAATAACTTAAAAAATGGTACTCGAATTAGAGAGAAATGGGCTTTCTTCTGATTCTAATAGTAATCGGGAGTGAAGGAAAGGCCCATATACGAAGCCCACTCAAAACTAAAATAAAAGTATATATTTACTATTTAAATTAAAACGAGAAGAAAAATAAACTCTAATTACTTAATAATTTGTTTTTATTTATTATCAAGATTAAAGAATTCACATATTGAGGGGGAAACCGTATTAATAATTTTAGAGAACCATATTATGTCAAACGAAAACAAAAGTCAAAAACTTCTTTTAGCTGTAAATAATCTACGTGCACGTTTTCTAATTTTCAGATTTTGACGTTTTGTGGTTAATTCTTTTCGTTTTTATATGGGTAAGTTTTTATATTTTTAAATTTAAATCGTAATTACATCAAATTTTGGTTCACTTTTAAATAGTTTTGATTTTCTATTTAGAAACAATTATATTTATTATGTTTTTATATAGAATTTTGGTTTTATTTAATTCACTTCGGTTGATCAATATTCGATTTGGTTTAACAATTGTTCGTATTTAAAAAAAACATTCTTTTTTATTTAGTATATCAACGATTTTTATTCATTTTAAATTAATTCAATTAAATCTAAACAAATCGTAATCAATTAATTTTTAAATAAAAAAAATTCATATCATAAACAACGACGGACCAACCTCAACATATAGATTCAGGATTAAATATTAAAACTCTAATTACCACTAACAATCATTAGAAATTTCAAAGTGGAAGCAGTGATGGGGAAATGTATTGCAAGGATAAAAGAAAACATGTTCCACTTACTTTGTCTTTATGAAAGGTCCATTCAGAACGTGACATGCACAAACTTCATTACAAAAAATATGTTAACTAAAATTTTGTTTTGCAATTAAAAAGCTTAACATTTGTCTTTAATTTTTTTTTTAACAATGGAATGTATAGAAAACAAAAAATTAACAATGTTATAATTTCTGCCCTTTATTTATCCACTTGTTATGGCAACAAAATCAATGTTTTAATAGTTCAAGAGTATTTACTTAAAATATTTTATAATATATTCGTAGAATATCCTTTCGATTAATACTCTATGATACATAGCATTCTGTTGAAATTTTGTTAATAAATTATACATCTCTGGATCACAAAACTTAACTCATCATATATTTTTTTAAATGGTCATTTTTAAAAATATAATACTATGATATTCTAAATATTTCTTCCAGAATATCATTTATGGAATGAAAACATTTATACGAATAATAGTTTAAAGATTGATTTTAAATATATTTTAATTTTTGTTTTATAACTTTGTTGTTATAGTGCCTTTCCATAGTTTAAAACGTGACCAATTATTAAACTACACATTAAAAAAACGAATGTTAAATTTAGATAATAAAAAATAGGCTTTATAATTTTTGTTTTATAATTTTCATATTATTATTTTTATATAAATTAAACTTTATTTTCTTGATAAAACAATCTAAAGAAAATTTACATTATAAACGTAAAAATAAACTCAAATTAAACAAATAAAATTCATATATTCAAGACTATTCACTTATCAATGGTATTTATATAATAATTTATACTTATTTTCCTTTTAGAAAAAAAAATGTTATTTTTATAATGAATTTAAAGTGCAATATTTTGTTAAAAATATTATGATTTCACTTTTTAATAAATAATTTATAGTTTAAGACTTTTAATTGTCTAATAATTTTAAAATGTATTTTTTTATTTAAATATACTAATAGAAGGGTTTTTATGTAACTAATAGAAGGTTTTAAATAAGGCTGGACTGCATTTTGTGGCATTTTAATAACCTTTTAAGGTCTAGGGTTTCTTTACACTGAAATTAATCAATAGGAAAATATTATGCCAAGAAGAAGAAGATATCATGCCCTTAGTTAATTAAACTTATAATTTATTAATGGAATCAATATAATGTCTAATAAAAGAAAAACATTTATGACAAATTAAATTGAGTAAAGAGAAACCTAGACTAGATGAGAAGAATACAGCCATATATAATATATGATTTTGCATTTTTTTTAAAATTAATTTAAAATCGAACGGGAAGCGGGCCCCAGCATAGGCCCGCGTTCATCTCCTTTAAAACTTCCCAATCTCTCTCCCTTCTTCTCTCCACACTTATCACACCTCTCTCGCCGGTAAACCTCCATGGACGTTCGCCGGCGATCTCCGAAGCCGCCGGCATCCGATGTATCCTTCAATGGATTCCACAGTAATCGTTCCCCGTCCACGGTAGACCACCACCGTTCTCCGGATCCGTCGCCGAAGGCCTCTGATGCGCTTCCTCTCCCTCTCTACCTCACCAACGCCGTCTTCTTCACGCTCTTCTTCTCCGTCGCGTACTATCTACTCCACCGATGGCGCGAAAAGATCCGATCCAACACGCCTCTCCACGTCGTCACGCTCTCCGAGCTCGGCGCCATTGTCGCACTTATCGCATCCTTCATCTATCTCCTAGGGTTCTTCGGTATCGATTTCGTTCAGTCGTTCATCTCACGTGCCTCCGGTGAGACATGGGATATCTCCGACGGGGGAGATGCCGAAAGGAGCTTCCTTATTGGCGACGACGATCACCGCCTCGTCACATGCTCTCCTCCGCCTCCCTCTGCTGTTTCCATCTCCAAATTACCCACTCCGGAACCTGTGATCAGCGCACTGATGGGCGAGGAAGACGAACGAATCGTAAGATCTGTCCTTGACGGTGGGATTCCGTCGTACTCTCTCGAATCTCGTCTCGGTGATTGCAAAAGAGCGGCGGCAATCCGGAGAGAGGCGCTCCAGAGGGCGACAGGGAGATCTCTGAAGGGATTACCTTTGGAGGGGTTCGACTACGAGTCAGTGTTAGGGCAATGCTGCGAAATGCCGGTGGGGTACGTGCAGATTCCAGTGGGGATTGCCGGACCTCTCTTGCTCGATGGGTTTGAGTACTCGATTCCAATGGCGACAACCGAAGGATGTTTGGTGGCGAGCACCAACAGAGGCTGCAAGGCCATCGCCATCTCCGGCGGAGCCACCAGTACGGTCCTGAGGGACGGCATGAGCCGAGCCCCCGTCGTCCGATTCGAGTCTGCCAAACGGGCATCCGAGCTGAAGTTTTTCTTGGAAAATCCAGACAATTTCGACACTATTTCCGTGGTTTTTAACAGGTCAATCGTTTTACTTTTCTGGGTTTCATCTGATTATTACAAGTCGATTTCGATTGGATAAGCAAGAATTCAAACTGATGGGGATTTGAAGGAATTGGACTGATGAAAGATCTTCGTCGTATTCTGGATGCAGATCAAGTAGATTTGCTAGGCTACAAAGTGTTAAATGTTCACTTGCTGGGAAGAATGTATATATGAGGTTTAGCTGTAGCACGGGTGATGCCATGGGGATGAACATGGTTTCCAAAGGGGTGCAGAATGTCCTCGAATACTTGTTGGATGAGTTTCCCGACATGGATGTCATTGGAATCTCCGGTGAGTTCTTTCTCTGATTCTGCTCAGTTTCTCTGCTTCTTTCTGCTATCTTTCTCCTTGTGTGTTGCTAGATCCAATATGATATCTGTGTAAATCTTCCTATCTTAGTCTCTGGACTCCTGGTCTCTTCTCATCTGATATGCTTTTTCAGTATCTTGTAGAATTCTGCAGATACCTTTGTTTGTTTGATCTCATCTTTTAGATTCTTGTTTCTGTCAACCTGATCATTTCAAGAATCGATGTCACGAGTCTTACGTTATCTTATCCTTCAGGTAATTTTTGTTCCGACAAGAAACCTGCAGCCGTAAACTGGATCGAGGGTCGTGGTAAATCAGTGGTTTGCGAGGCAGTAATCAGGGGAGAGACAGTTCACAAGGTTTTGAAAACGAGTGTAGCTTCACTGGTCGAGCTCAACATGCTCAAGAACCTCGCTGGCTCCGCTGTGGCCGGTGCCCTCGGGGGATTTAACGCCCATGCGAGTAACATAGTCTCTGCTATATTTATAGCCACTGGCCAGGATCCAGCCCAAAACGTAGAGAGTTCTCATTGCATTACCATGATGGAAGCTGTCAATGATGGCAAGGATCTCCATATATCTGTCACTATGCCTTCCATCGAGGTGATTTCGACTCTCTTTTTTATGTCGTTGCTGCAATGTCTCGTGGAATGTACCGACACATTGATGATACCGAACTCAAAAAACGGGCATTTTGCTAATCGTAGGTGGGAACAGTTGGAGGAGGAACGCAGCTGGCGTCGCAGGCAGCGTGTCTGAATGTGCTGGGGGTAAAAGGGGCGAGCAAGGAGTCGCCCGGGATGAACTCGAGGCGGCTAGCGTCTGTCGTGGCGGGAGCGGTTCTGGCGGGTGAACTCTCACTGATGTCAGCCATTGCAGCCGGACAACTTGTGAAGAGTCACATGAAATACAACAGATCCAGCCGAGACATGTCTGCCGCCTCTACATAACAACAAGGACAAGAACAACATTGTCTTTGGGATTCCTACTAGGAGCTTGTCTGTCTATTTCATTATATATATATATATATATATATATATATATATATATATATATATATATGTGTGTGTGTATATATTGGTGTGAAAATTTTATGATTTCCTTTCACTGTCTTTGTATTTTGTTTGTTTGTTTTGTTAGGTCTTTTATGTTTGTAATGAATTGAAACCTTTGAATGTTCATTCTTTGCGCTCATTTTAGATTGGCACTTTATATTTCAACCCAAAAAAAAAAAACTTTAGAACAACTTTTGGGATGGATATTTCATTTTTTATTTATTAGTCATTTTCAAGTTTGACTTTTGTAAAAGCTCCTATAATTCGATCGTTTTTTTATTTTTTTATAAATTAGGTTATCTATGAAAAATATTTATTATCTAAAGAAATTTTCCTTTTGATTTTTTAATTTTCTTATTTGATTTAAATTCAAGAAATGAATTTATTTTTTATTTTTAACATTAAATCAGTTTGAAAACATTCGCACCATTTTATATATCTGTTGTGTTTGTCCGATGAAATCGAATCTGACCTATTCAACCCTTAGATTATTCATGACTCATCAATGAATCAAATCTATATCATATTTAATGGATTGGTTGGGCTACGCCAATGGCCCAATGGTAATTATATACATACACAATACAAAATTACTGGAATTAGATATATGGCCCAAAAATAATAGATATTTCAAAAGTTTTTTTAAAAAAACTGGCAATATTCTGATTTTTAAAGTATAAAATTAACCCATATAACTAAACACTAGATTTAAGGTTAAATCCTAATATTAGAGTAAATGACTTTAAACTCCGTACTTTATAAATTATGATTTAAGAAAATACACACACACACACACACACTATATTCGCCCAAAAAATAATTAATTTCGAACAAAATTCGCAATACTGTTGAAACGTTTTCAGGCTTAATGCGGCCCAAAAGCTGTTCGGCCTTTGAATATGGCCAGGTATGCATTTGGGACCCACTTCACGTGCATTGTACACGTCATTAAATCCACGTGGACGACCACTACGGTTTTGTCCTATCCGAGTGGGTCCCACTTGGACCCAAAACCTTGGCAATAAGTCCACGACGGTTAGGTAGACACATGGGCCCTCATATTAGGCAATTTGCGCCGACTGACTGTGCTGCTCTGCGTAATTATTTACAAAATATATCATTTCAATATTTTTAAATTAATAACGGTTAAAAAAACATGCATAAAATTATTTAAATACAGCATATATAATCTCTTCCCAGCATATGATACCAACAAAATAATAATGTATGAATATTCTTATTTATAATTCGCAATAGGTTTGTTGTTCTCTTGATTTGGATGTTTGTTTACAAATAATAAAATTGATATTTTTTTCTTGGTTTACTAATAATTGGTCGTGTACTTCCATCAGACTTATTCCTATCCATTTTCCCTTAAAACCTTGTTAAATCTAAATATTAATTTCTTAAACCAATATGCATCCTTATATTTTTTTTTATAAAGAAATCTCCTTAAAAAAAACCATATTAAATTCGAGCTTTTTATCAAATATATTTTCGAACGGTCGTTTTACTTTTGCGTGTAAAATAAATGAATAAGATAATGGGTGGATGGGGTAATGGGAAGATCATCACACCAGCGGTGAAATATGAGATGGCGACTTTGTCAACAAGATTGACCCGTAATTTCCTGATTTTGTCTAAATACTCTTTAATTTATTAAAATACAGATAGAGTGGGGCTACTAATTTAAAATATATTAACTAATTGTTTAAATTTATTAATTTAATCATTTATGTACACTCCAAATATTGAGCTGTGGCCATATCATCACTACCTTAACAACTCTATGGATTATTCTTGCAATACCAAATTTCAATCGAAACAAGTTTATTCAATATATGTATGTATGTATGTATGTATCAATATATGTATGTATGTATGTATGTATGTATGTATGTATGTATGTATGTATGTATGTATGTATGTATGTATGTATGTATGTTGAAATGAAAAAGTGTGATAGATATGCATGGCACTTGCGAACAAAATAGGTGGGTCCAAAAATTTAAACATGGAATCAAAGCTGATGGGATCGTGATATGAGAGCCGCGAACTATCCTTCGTGTTCCCTTCGCCTTTTCCCCTTTTTCCGTGGGCGCTTTCATGCCTGACTGACTGCGGCTCGAATTCTTGAGTGGTATTATCGAATATTAATTAAGGGTTATATAATTTATGAAACTATATATATATAGAGCGACCAACACGTTCAAGGGGCGGTCCAAAATGCTCGGGATATTCTTGTTAATTATGCATTAGGCGTGATATATAAAGTATAATTCTCCTCGTCTTGGACACTCGATGGCGGCAAAACCCATACGTGCATCGGCATTATAAATGAACCGACGAAAATGTTTTATAATGGCCATAATAAATCTATCGAAATTGAAATATGACACGTCAACCTATGGGAATGTGTATGGATGCTAATTCCTAGGACTTCACTTGTTTAGGTCCTTTTATGCATATATATATATATATATATATACATATTTAAATACCCATGTATGATGTATATACATGTATATATATATATGTATATAGTGATATCCGATGAGTTGACATAACGAATTAGTGTTTAGGATGTAATTTAGGCAAATAACATATTTTTTTTGTAAGTGATAAACTTGACATAATCTATTATTGTAAGTGGATGGTATCTCCTCGGATTATAAAATCGGATGTCATGAACAAACCCATTAAATAACACTTGGCATGAAGTCGCCGTAGCAAATTGTGGTTTTAAAGATATAATACAATGATGCAAGTCAAAATTATATTTTACGATTAAATAAAATCTAAAAAATTAAAATTTATCCGTGAAAACTGTATTAATTTAATGGTTATATAATCTTGTAATAAGAGTATGTAGGAATATCTACGCAAATCTAGGACTCATTTCAATAGTAATCTAATGTACTTTGTCACGTTGTAGCTCGGCTTATATTATATATATATATATATATATATATATTGTTTAACAAGTTGTCAATCATTTTCACCAAATAAAGTATTTGACTTTATTTGGCTTGTCACTAAGAATCTAATTAGATTTTCGTCGTTAATCTTTTAGTAAAAAGCAAAATGTATAAACCCATGGCTTCTCTAAATGCCTCCCTAGGAGGTTAATGAGCTTATTCCATTAGAAGAGGAGAGCGTATCATGCACGCGCAAAGAAGTGAACGTGGGACTCCTTTAGTCGCCACTCCAAACAGAAAATAATGCGAATATTTTAGAAAATTAATTTAGAATTTTACTATTGGAAAATAATTATTTAGCTAATTATGAAGGGTAAATTGCTCTACAAAAACAAAATTTATCGCTTTCAATTTTTGTGTGCAGCCTAAATTAACCCGTGACATTAAAAAATGAACTCATAGTTGTCTTCCGATAAATAATACATTAATTGTATTTTTACATATTTTGATATAATAAAATCCATCTGAATTGCCCCTTTCTAAAATTAAAGTACCGGGAATTTTTTTATATTATAAAACTTCTCCTACCAGAAAAAAAATAATTTTTGAGCCATCTCCAAAATTTATTTTCTTCTCTTCTTCTCCATTCAAAAGCTAAAAGCCAAAAGAACAAGAATGAGAAAAAAAGAACAGACAATGCCCGAGGAAGAAACCCTAATATTCTCCTCTTCCATTTCATGCAAGTACATATGTACACCTATACATACATAAATACATACATACATAAATGCATATTTATATTTCGGCATATAATATATACTGAGCTAAAAAAATAGTAGAAAATGAACTGTATATCGGCTAAATTCACGGCCTCTCTGCTTTTTGATTGATGCGTTTCTTCTATTTTTCAGGTCGGACCAAAATTTCTTGCAGACTCTGTACATGAACTAAAATCTCCAACTTCAAAATTTTTTTTCTCATTTTTTTTTCAGAATTCCAGATCGAACTGAATACGACGTCGTATCTGCTGACAATCTAGGGTTTCTCGCGAGGAAAAAAGCGCTGGAACACATTCACAGCACAAGAGTGAAGTGCGTGCTCCTTTTGTTGTTTGTTGTCCTTTTTTTTTTTCAGTTTCTGTTCTTTGGTTCTCTATTGTCGGCTTGCGTAACTAACCATCCCCATCTATTGGCTCCTGAAATCCTGATTTTGATTTCTCTTCGATCTTGAAATTAGGATTTCAACACGACCCCCATCATCGCCGCCTCGCATCCATAACCCAGGAGCAAGAACAAGAACAAGAAATTAAGACGACCCAGATGGTCAATTAGAGTAAATAATCTTTCCATTTTCTTGATTTTTTTTTTCTCTCAATCTGATTCTGGCGAATAAACAGCAGTGATGGAAGGAAGTTACGACCAAGGCGGTGGAGGCAGGTACTTCCATAACCTCTTCCGACCGGAGATTCATCACCAGTTCCAGACGCATCCTCAGAATCTTCACCACCATCAGAATCAGCAGCAACCGGGTTCGGATGATTCGAGGGACTGCGACTCAAACAAGGACAGCCATCCGGGTCGACCCGACTCCGACCCCGCAACATCCAGCTCAGCACCGCCGAAGCGGCCACGTGGACGACCACCGGGGTCCAAGAACAAGCCCAAGACCCCCATCATAGTCACGCGAGACAGCCCAAATTCCCTTAGATCTCATGTTCTTGAAGTCTCTTCCGGCGCCGACATCATCGAAAGCATCTCCACCTACGCTGTCCGGAAAGGAAGAGGAATCTCTGTCCTCGGCGGCAACGGAACCGTCGCCAACGTCACCATCCGTCAGCCCACGACGGCTTCCGGTGGCGGCGGAGCCGGAGGAGTTGTCAGTTTACATGGAAGATTTGAGATTCTTTCTCTGACGGGGACGGTTCTACCGCCGCCAGCACCGCCGGGAGCCGGAGGGCTGTCCATATTTCTCGCCGGAGGGCAAGGTCAGGTGGTCGGAGGGAGTGTGGTGGCACCGCTCGTGGCGTCAGGTCCGGTGATACTAATGGCGGCTTCGTTCTCGAACGCAGTATTCGATAGGCTTCCGGTAGGCGAAGAGGATGAGGAGGAGGAGGGAGGAGGTGTGCAGCACGCACCGCCGCCGTCGACATCTCCGCCGTCTGGGTTGACCACGGGAGGAGGAGGTCATCAGGGGCAGTTAGGAGGTAATGTGGGTGGTTATGCGTTTTCCGGTGACCCTCATTTGGTTGGATGGGGCACTGGAAGCATTTCACGACCACCCTTTTAATCTTCAATCGAAATTTAAATATTTCCCGAATTTTATGTGCATTATTTCGTTTTCTTACCACTTTGACATCTTCATTAATTTGGACCTTTTGTTTATATATATATGTGCTGTTTCTGCCTGAAATCCATGTTGTCGAATGCCAAGACCTTAGAAATTTGCATTAATGGAGTCGCTAGGGTTTTGTGCTGAGCCTAATATTATATGCTCCGATTTGCGACAAAGTAATGAGCATATTCCTTCATCAAATGTATTCGAGTATCACACACATGCCAATGCCATCCTCAGAGTCTCTCTCCCAAATTGTGAAATACTTATTTATATGCATATAGCATATGTATAATACACACACACACACATATATATATATATATATATATATATATAATGTAAGGATCGGGTTTTGGGGTATCGAAAGAGAATATATACTTGGCCAACATTTTCATGTCGTAATTCATTCATTAGAAATTGCTTGAAGCTAGGCATATCATTCTCTATATACCATACCTATCTTTTAAATGATATATATATATATATAACAATATGAATCAACAAATCAATACATTAACCTCTCCTGTCTTCTGAATCGTAATCAATAATTTAGTAGACAATTGGAAGCCATTGCTCAAGTTTTTTTACGGGGATGAGTACTAATCCATTTTCCGGACAACATATATATGCATGAGGAAAATAAACACTTCAAAACTATTTTACATATACTAATATTAATGACATTGACTTGAGAAAAAAAAAAAAGAGAACATTTGTCTCAAGTTCCAATTTGCTTCCCTTCAATTTGAGTACCAATACATGTGAAAAAAAAGAGGAATGTACTTCCAATTCCCGAGGGAAAGTTATGGACAAGAAATATGAAATTTCATGTTCTATTAATGGTTATTTTGTTTTAAATCATCTAAAAAATTTAAAATGATAGTATTTATTAAAAACCAAAAATATTCTCTAAAACCTCGTGGAGGGAGTATTACTATATGTATCTTCGACTGCTATTATAACCTTATAATCAAATGTTACAAGGTGAGGTGACATAGTCACGTGGCTTTTTAGGGCTTACAACTTGTAAAGAGAAAGACACTGCATTTCGAAAACTTTATATTCATATCTTTTGCAAATGCCCATGTGCTGACGTCATGCAATATTGGGCCAACATTCTACGGCCCATTTTAGTATTTTAAAAGTTGGGCCTTTAAAGTGTAAAATGTTTCATCGAGGCATTCATAAACGACCGCCATTTTTTTTATTTTCTTTTTTTTTTTAATTAGAAAAAAAAACGGGAAAACAGAAGGAGAATAACACAACGAGACGTTAGGGTTCCGTTTGTCTCGATTCTCCTTCTGAGCTTCGTCTTCCTCACTGGTGATTTCTCTTTGTAAGCTTGAGCTCTGTCTTTGTGCCGTTTGATTTTTTTTTCCCGCGAATTTGTTTCCTCATTGATTGATTTTGAGTTCGGCAGATTGTGGTCGCGCGGAAACTGCTCGAATTTGTGGGTGATTCTGGGAAATTTGTTTGATTTTTCGTCTAGATTTTTGGGTTATCGGTTGAACAGTAGATGGGGGAAGAGAAATCTAAGACAAGGAAGGAGGATTTTGATGATGCGGAGGAGGAAGATTTGAAGAAGGGTCACCGGGATCAGGATCGAGTTAAAGAGCGAAAGAGGGAGAGGGATTCGGAGAGGCGTCGGGATAGAGACAGGGACAGGGACAAGAGACGGTCTGAGAGAGAGAAGAGTAGTGATTCTGAAGATAGGCATGATAGAGAGGAGGATGAAGGGAGGGATAAGCGTAGAGAGAAGGCAAAGGAACGGAGGCATCGGGATGGGGAGAGGCATCGGGAGAGAGAGAGGGACAAGAGACGGTCTGAGAGAGAGAAGAGTAGTGATTCCGAAGATGGGTACGACAGAGAGGAGGGTGAAGAGAGGGATAAGCGTAGAGAGAAGGAAAAGGAACGGAGGCATCGGGAGAGAGAGAAGGACAAGAGACGGTCTGAGAGAGAGAAGAGTAGTGATTCTGAAGACGATGATGGAGAGAGGGAAAAAAGCAGAGAAGGAGAGAAGGAGCGTAGGCATCGGGAACATGAGAGAGATAGTAAAAGAGATAGAGAACGGGATAGGGATAGAGACCGGGAAGAAAAAAGGGAGAGAGCAAAGGAGAAAGAAAGAGAAAGGGAGAAGGACAGAGAGAAGAGAGAACGGGATCGGGAGGAGCGGGAGAGAGAGAAAGAAAGGGAAAGGCGGGAATGTGAGAGGGAAGATAGGGAGAAGGATAAGAAAGATCGTGAGAGAGAAAGGGATAGGAGGAGTCGGGACAAGGAGAGGAAACGAGAGGATAATAGTGAACAGAGTGATGATGATATCCGGCATCGTGACAGAAAGCGCAGAAGAAGAGATGGTGAAGAACGAAAGGACAAAGAGCGTGAGAAGAGTGTTGGTAGATCGAGCAGGCATAGAGATGGCAGTGAAGATAGTCCTAAGCGGAAGAATGTTGAGGATGATACTGAAAAGAAAGAAGAGAAAACAAGAGAAGAAGAATTGGAGGATGAGCAGAAGAAATTGGATGAGGAGATGGAAAAACGGAGGAGAAGAGTACAAGAGTGGCAAGAGTTGAGGAGGAAAACGGAGGAATCTGAGAGAGAAAAGCAAGGTGACGGGAATGATAATGCCCCCCAGGCCGGTAAGGCATGGACTCTTGAAGGAGAATCTGATGATGAAGAAGCTCCTACAGAGGAAAAACCCGAAACAGAAATGGACATTGATGGAGACACCAAAGAAGATGTCTCAAATGGAGATAAACAGTGAAGATCAGACGAGCAATGGTTCGGAGAGAAAGTTTGGTTTCAGTGGAGATGGAAGCAATGACATGTTGTTCGAGGAATGAGTTATTACATGATCATGACAAAGCAAAGGGAGAATTAGATATGGAGGAAACATGTGCGGGTGGTAATGATGTTCAGTGTCTTCATCTGTATTTTTCTTTTCGAAACTTGGTTATGGTTATGGAATTGTCAAGGTTTTCAAAAGGTAAATAAAAAAACTTCACTCTGTATAGAAGCGTCATGCTCGCGAGTGGTGGCTGTCGAAGAGTATGGTAAAAAAAAAAAACAGAAACAAAATCTGAGTTCAAATTGCTTTGTCTTGTTCTGTTCCGAATTGCATCACATATTTTCCTCCCCTTACTGGCTTTTTTAATTGATTACAACGCCAGTGTATGTTTAATGCAGAAGGTTCCGGTGAAATCATAATCTCCCGAGACCGTCCTCTTGAAGTCAGTCGCTCTTTGTTACGGCCAAATCTGAGGGGGCCCGTCTCGTCTCGTCTCGTCTCGTCTGGTATGGTGTTTAACTGTAACTAGACTAGAGGGGTTGTGTTTTTTTTTTCTTTTTTTTTTTTATTTGGGGCTAATTGGACGAGAGACTTTACAAGAGGAGTTGTGATGAAACTGAACATGTCTTGTTACTTGATTCTTATATATATATCTTTATATATTAAGGAGGAGGAAGGGTTGACACGTGTCTATATTTGTTTTTAATTCTTCCGATTCTCAAGGTCAAAATGTATTTAAAACTCTTTATTTAGAATAATTAATATAGTTTAAATTGTACCATATAATGACTATAGATTTTCTCTTCTCTCACAACCCCAAAATGGCGAGAATAGACAATCAGAAGTTTACGAACAGCAGTTATTCTCGTCAACCAAGAAATCAATTTGAACGACATTGCCGTGAAAGCGAACGAACCCAAACATTCTCACGGTCTAGGTAAAGCAACCCTTTTTCCCAATTTTCTTTTGTCATAAATCTAGAATTTTTTGTTTCAATGGTGAATTCGGTTTTCTAGGTGATGAGTTTACTCTTTTTGTATTGCGGAATGGATTATTTAAAGAGTTGCTTATACTAGCTTTAAAATAGATTAACCAATTTTCAAATTACATTTTCATCGGTATTCAAAGTCAATGTTTCTACAAATCAAAAGCTAAAAAGTAGCTTTCACCACTCTTTATCTCTACTAAATACTTTATCTTATTTCAGCAGATTAGCCGATATTATAACAGATCCAATAATCCAACTAATCTTGGCAGTACAGAGAAGCATAATATATTTATACATTTATGAAATAAATATAACAAAATATGGAATATAAATGTGTAGAATCCTGCGTAACTAAAATTGTTCATTTGTTCTCTTTCATCGTTCATTTTGTATTAGTAGTGTGTAAGTCTGAAAGTTGGGAAAAGAAGCTTAGAGATAACAAATCGAAAAAAATTTATCAAATATAAAGGTGGAAGCAATCCCATATAAATAAGAATGAGGGCGGGTCGGATATTAGAATTTTCAAAATTTCTAAACTTGAATCTGACGAGTTTTGTATTTTTAAACTCGAGATACTTTTCGGGTACTTGCGGATATCTAAACCCCACGAATATATTTGATTAAATTTTATAAATTCATATATTACATACAAATACTTTATAAAATTTGTATAATATTTTAATAATATTTTTTAAACTTAAAATTATTTTATAATAATCACGTTTAAAAAAGGTAGGAAATGACGTAGAATAGAGAGTTGGAGAAACGAGTCGAGATCGAAGAAATCCAATAAAATATTTTCAATAGAGAAAGAAACAAAGATAAAATGATTCTGACGGGAAGAAGAAACGATTTCATCGATTAGTTATTTGCATTTATGTCCCTATAATTAGTCTTATTGTTTTACTTATCGTAATGCTATTTAATGTTATATATCGTACCATTATTTCTTTCTATATTGAAAAATGATACTAATAATGATTTAGTTTTACTGTTGATAGGAGGTGATCCATCTTCTACAGATAAAAGTTCATGTTTAATTTATTGCATTTGTGCATCAATTTATATTCACATATTTTAACCACTTTATACTAATAATTTCATTAAAAGATTTGGAGAATCGTTTTGTTTATTTTGTCGATATAATAGCTTTATGAATCTTGAATAAAAAGTGTATGAATTTTTAAAACTTTGAGAAAATTCAAATCAAGGTGGGAAACAAAAAAGAAAAGAAAGCAAAATAACATATGCTTTCTCGATCGACGATTTGTCCGTGTATTTTGTCATCCTTGACAAAGTTATGGAGAAATCAGAGTCTATAATTCTTGAATCGCTTAAAATTAATCATAACGGATCTGGTGAAATAATCTTAAGAGGTACCAAAGAAGATGTCTCAAATGGAGATAAACAGTGAAGATCAGACGAGCAATGGTTCGGAGAGAAAGTTTGGTTTCAGTGGAGATGGAAGCAATGACATGTTGTTCGAGGAATGAGTTATTACATGATCATGACAAAGCAAAGGGAGAATTAGATATGGAGGAAACATGTGCGGGTGGTAATGATGTTCAGTGTCTTCATCTGTATTTTTCTTTTCGAAACTTGGTTATGGTTATGGAATTGTCAAGGTTTTCAAAAGGTAAATAAAAAAACTTCACTCTGTATAGAAGCGTCATGCTCGCGAGTGGTGGCTGTCGAAGAGTATGGTAAAAAAAAAAAACAGAAACAAAATCTGAGTTCAAATTGCTTTGTCTTGTTCTGTTCCGAATTGCATCACATATTTTCCTCCCCTTACTGGCTTTTTTAATTGATTACAACGCCAGTGTATGTTTAATGCAGAAGGTTCCGGTGAAATCATAATCTCCCGAGACCGTCCTCTTGAAGTCAGTCGCTCTTTGTTACGGCCAAATCTGAGGGGGCCCGTCTCGTCTCGTCTCGTCTCGTCTGGTATGGTGTTTAACTGTAACTAGACTAGAGGGGTTGTGTTTTTTTTTTCTTTTTTTTTTTTATTTGGGGCTAATTGGACGAGAGACTTTACAAGAGGAGTTGTGATGAAACTGAACATGTCTTGTTACTTGATTCTTATATATATATCTTTATATATTAAGGAGGAGGAAGGGTTGACACGTGTCTATATTTGTTTTTAATTCTTCCGATTCTCAAGGTCAAAATGTATTTAAAACTCTTTATTTAGAATAATTAATATAGTTTAAATTGTACCATATAATGACTATAGATTTTCTCTTCTCTCACAACCCCAAAATGGCGAGAATAGACAATCAGAAGTTTACGAACAGCAGTTATTCTCGTCAACCAAGAAATCAATTTGAACGACATTGCCGTGAAAGCGAACGAACCCAAACATTCTCACGGTCTAGGTAAAGCAACCCTTTTTCCCAATTTTCTTTTGTCATAAATCTAGAATTTTTTGTTTCAATGGTGAATTCGGTTTTCTAGGTGATGAGTTTACTCTTTTTGTATTGCGGAATGGATTATTTAAAGAGTTGCTTATACTAGCTTTAAAATAGATTAACCAATTTTCAAATTACATTTTCATCGGTATTCAAAGTCAATGTTTCTACAAATCAAAAGCTAAAAAGTAGCTTTCACCACTCTTTATCTCTACTAAATACTTTATCTTATTTCAGCAGATTAGCCGATATTATAACAGATCCAATAATCCAACTAATCTTGGCAGTACAGAGAAGCATAATATATTTATACATTTATGAAATAAATATAACAAAATATGGAATATAAATGTGTAGAATCCTGCGTAACTAAAATTGTTCATTTGTTCTCTTTCATCGTTCATTTTGTATTAGTAGTGTGTAAGTCTGAAAGTTGGGAAAAGAAGCTTAGAGATAACAAATCGAAAAAAATTTATCAAATATAAAGGTGGAAGCAATCCCATATAAATAAGAATGAGGGCGGGTCGGATATTAGAATTTTCAAAATTTCTAAACTTGAATCTGACGAGTTTTGTATTTTTAAACTCGAGATACTTTTCGGGTACTTGCGGATATCTAAACCCCACGAATATATTTGATTAAATTTTATAAATTCATATATTACATACAAATACTTTATAAAATTTGTATAATATTTTAATAATATTTTTTAAACTTAAAATTATTTTATAATAATCACGTTTAAAAAAGGTAGGAAATGACGTAGAATAGAGAGTTGGAGAAACGAGTCGAGATCGAAGAAATCCAATAAAATATTTTCAATAGAGAAAGAAACAAAGATAAAATGATTCTGACGGGAAGAAGAAACGATTTCATCGATTAGTTATTTGCATTTATGTCCCTATAATTAGTCTTATTGTTTTACTTATCGTAATGCTATTTAATGTTATATATCGTACCATTATTTCTTTCTATATTGAAAAATGATACTAATAATGATTTAGTTTTACTGTTGATAGGAGGTGATCCATCTTCTACAGATAAAAGTTCATGTTTAATTTATTGCATTTGTGCATCAATTTATATTCACATATTTTAACCACTTTATACTAATAATTTCATTAAAAGATTTGGAGAATCGTTTTGTTTATTTTGTCGATATAATAGCTTTATGAATCTTGAATAAAAAGTGTATGAATTTTTAAAACTTTGAGAAAATTCAAATCAAGGTGGGAAACAAAAAAGAAAAGAAAGCAAAATAACATATGCTTTCTCGATCGACGATTTGTCCGTGTATTTTGTCATCCTTGACAAAGTTATGGAGAAATCAGAGTCTATAATTCTTGAATCGCTTAAAATTAATCATAACGGATCTGGTGAAATAATCTTAAGAGGTACCAAAGAAGATGTCTCAAATGGAGATAAACAGTGAAGATCAGACGAGCAATGGTTCGGAGAGAAAGTTTGGTTTCAGTGGAGATGGAAGCAATGACATGTTGTTCGAGGAATGAGTTATTACATGATCATGACAAAGCAAAGGGAGAATTAGATATGGAGGAAACATGTGCGGGTGGTAATGATGTTCAGTGTCTTCATCTGTATTTTTCTTTTCGAAACTTGGTTATGGTTATGGAATTGTCAAGGTTTTCAAAAGGTAAATAAAAAAACTTCACTCTGTATAGAAGAAAAACGTCTTTCTTTGTCGCTTCGATTAATAAAATGGTTTGAAGTTCTCCGATAAAAGAACACAATTTTTTAATTTGCTCATATGGGTTTTTGTTCTCACATTGTGTTTTTTACCTTTTTTTTTCTCTCATTCCATTTGAAGTATTTTTTTTCCAAGATCGAAACGTTTCGAATTCTGTTTATACGATAGTGTTGTAATATGCTTGTATATTTTACTCTTTCAACACGAAAAATAAGTATGTATATAGTTTAAGTTTGTTTTGTGTTATGTTATTATCAATTTTGGTTGTTATTGTTGTCGTGCGACTTGATCGATGAATTTCAATAGTAGAAAAATACGTTATAGATCCAATCACTCTTATATTTTATATTATCAATCTTTTTTTTTTCCAATATTTTTTTATGGTCAGCTATATACTTAATTCCAACACTTAATTTTATATTATAACTCATAAAAATATAAAAATAGAAACTATTCACAATCCATTTTAAAAAATAAGACAACATAATGTTATCTTGATACTTTAAAAAATTTAGAATATAAATTATAAAATAATAACAAAATATATTATATTTAATTTTAAAATTAATAATAAATTTTTTCAAAATTCATATATTTTTTAGTCCGCGCGATGCACGTAGATTATTCTCTAGTATATATATAATGGAACGATATGTAAACAAATATGTTTTGTTATTTTCTTGATTCTAATCTCTACCAAATCTCTTGTATTTAGCTTCATTGTTTTTTAACCTATTGCTACAATACGTGTATATATATTCATATTTATCATTTTGTTAAGTTAATGAAATACAATACTGTACCACAAACACATTTTTCCTAGCCTAACCCTACAACCATGAGCATTGACGTCATCAACTCCGACTGTTCTCTTAACACCGACAACGTCACTCCTCGCAATCCTGAAGATCCGAATGATCCCCTCATCAACATCAATGTCACGAAAGTCATTAGGTTATCAAATAAATCATCTCAAATTGGTTTAAAAGGAAATATAATTGATGAAATCAATAAAAAATATTCAAAATAAAAATTTAGCCCATGTATAAATCTAAAATCTAAAAAAGTAATATAATTTCTACAAACTATTACATAATTATCAAATACAGTTTTTGAATTTGTTTTATTTTGAGAATACAATTGAACTAAAATTTGCATGTGAACTTAGATTTCTAACTTGACATACATACATATATATATACACACACATATCTTAATCATATTATCTTCAAACAAACAACTTAATCATATCATGAATAGGAAAGATTTATCTCCATATTTTATAGGATAAAATTGAGATTGTTTTTCGATAATATCTTGAGATTATATCGACACAATAAAATAAAATTGATATTAGTTATAGGTTAAATCTAAAAGTATTTTTTCACCAATAATAAATATTGGTTTGTTAATATCTAGATAATATTTAAGATAAATATTCTCAAAACAAATTTTAGTTCAATTGTAGAAATTATAATACTTTGAGATTTTAGATTTATACATGGGCTAAATTTTTGTTTTGAATATTTTTTATTGATTTCATCAATTATATTTCTTTTTTAACCAATTTGAGATAATTTATTATAGATAACCTAATGACATTCGTGATATTGATGTTGATGAGGGGAACATTCGAATCTTCAGGATTGCGGAAAATGACGTTGTCGGTGTTAGGAGAACAGTCGGAGTTGATAACATCGGTGCTCATGACCGCTAGGGTTAGGTTAGAAAAAAGATATTTGTAGTGTAATATTGTATTTAATTAACTTAACAAAATAATAAATACGAATATATATACACGTATTGTAGTTAAAAAACAATGAAGCTAAATACATGAGATTTGGTAGAGATTAGAATCAAGAAAATAACAAAACAGATTTGTTTTTATTTTATAATTTATATTCTAAATTTTTTAAAGTATTATGATAATATTATGTTGTCTTATTTTTAAAAATGGATTGTGAATAGTTTTTGTTTTTATATTTTTGTGAATTATAATATAAAATCAAGTGTTGGAATTAAGTATATAATTGACCATAAAAAAATGTTGGTAAAAAAAAAGACTGATAATATAAAATATAATAGTGATTGGATCTATAACGTACTTTTCTATTATTGAAATTCATCGATCAAATCGTGCGATAACAGTAACAACCAAAATTGATAATAGCATGACGCAAAACAAACTTAATTTATATACACTCTTTTTTCATGTTGAAAGAGTAAAATCTACAAAGCATATTACAACACTATCATATAAACCAAGATTCAAAACTGATTCGATCTTAGAAAAAAAACACTTCAAATGGAGAGAGAAATAAAGAAATGATAAAAAACACAATGAGACAAAAAACTAGATGAGCAAATTAAAAAATTATTTTCTTTTATTAGGAACTTCAAACCATTTTACTGATCGAAACGACAAAGAAATACATTGTTTTTCTATACAGAGTGAAGTTTTTTATTTATCTTTTGATGCATTAAAAACCTTAACAATTCCATAACAATACTTTCTCTCCGAACCTTCGCTCGTCTCATCTTCACTGTTTGTCTCCATTTGAGAGCACCTCTTAAGAATATTTAAGATAAATATTCTCAAAAATAAATTTTAGTTTGTAGAAATCATAATACTTTTAGATTTTAGATTTATACCTAGACTAAATATTTTTTGAATATTTTTTATTGATTTCATCCCTTATATTTTGTTATATTTATTTCATAAATGTATAAATATATTATGCTTCTCTGTACTGCCAAACAGACAATAGCCCAGTTGGGCAAGTGATCTTTCCTCTTGAGTAGGGTCTCTGTCTTTCCATTGATGAGAGGAAGAAACTATGAATCGTAAAGGCAATTGGGCTTGGATACTACAGAAACCTTCACGGGGCAAGCATCAGAGGACTGGTCGGACTCTTCAGGAACATGGCGGACAATATCGTTCTCAGGGTAAGAGCCATCGACATTGGCCGCGTCCTGATCCATATTCCCAACTCCACCGGCGTACTCACAGCTTCCGCCGACGAATCACTACCAACACGACGGAAGAGAAACTCTTTGATTCGAGACTTTCTTTGCAGGTGAATTTAGATTTATAATCTGACATACCTACATATATATACACACACATAACTTAATAAAAATTTATCTCCATATTTTATAGGATAAAATTGAGATTATTTTTCGATAATATCTTGAAATTATATCGAAACAATAAGATAAAATTGATATTAGTTAGAAATTAAATCTAAAAGTGTTTTTTCACCAATAATAAATATTGGTTTGTTAATATCTAGATAATATTTATGATAAATATTCTCAAAAATAAATTTTAGTTTGTAGAAAACATAATACTTTTAGATTTTAGATTTATACCTAGACTAAAATTTTTTTTGAATATTTTTTTATTGATTTCATCCATTATCCATTATACTAGATCCATTATCCATTACATCCATTATGGACACACCAGGAACCGGAAGGACACCGGGCAGAGCAGCAAGCCCGACCCCGTTTGGCAGCAATTGGCCAGCGGTCACAGGAGCGGTAACTTTAGCGGCAGCTAGGGCGGCTATCTGAGCAAGAGTAGCTGTCTGCTGTGAGATATTATCACCACCCGCCTTTCGTACAACGTCATCCTCGTCTTCTGAATCGGATTTATCTTCCTCGAAACCATACTCCTTTGCTTGTGCTTTCTTTGCTGCTTTCCTAACTTCTTCCTCCTCTTCGTTGAATTTAAATCCACTACCACCATAGCCTGTTCCATGGGCTTGCTCGAGACCCTGTTTCACTTTCGCCATGAAACTATCAGCCAGTGCCTTCAGATCATCTGGAACAGGCTGCTCAGACAGTTCCAGAGCCTTGACGAGATCCGGAGCATATCTTGCATCATCCTCAGAGATAAATGTGACAGCACAACCTTTTCGTCCTGCCCTGCCTGTCCTGCCAACACGGTGGACGTAGTCTTCGTAGTGGTTTGGAGCATCAAAGTTTACAACCAACTCCAGCTCTTTCACATCTAGACCCCTGGCTGCAACACTTGTTGCAATCAACAAATTGCAGACATTGCTCTTAAAATCAGATATTGTGGATTCACGATCAGTCTGATCCTTAGCCCCGTGGAGAGAGAGACACGGATAACCATGTTTAAGCAAATCCTTAAACAAGGCATCACATTTTTCCTGTGAGTGAACAAAAATCAAGATTTTTCCTTTCTCATACCATTCCCCAAGAAGTTCTAAAAGCCTCCAAAACCTTTCACTCTCAGGCCTCACTTCCACTAATTGAGCTATGTCCTTGTTCACGACACTCCTTCCACCAACCTGTATTTCTACAGGTTTGTTCAACACTTTACGGGCCAGAACTTCAACTTGACGTGGAAAAGTGGCAGAAAACAGCACAGTTTGCCTATCCGGTTGAATGTTTTGAATGATCCGAGTTATCTGAGGCTCAAATCCCATATCAAACATACGATCAGCTTCATCCATAACCAAGTAGGTGACTCTCCGCAGATTGGTGATCTTCCCACCGCTTGTGCAAAGAATATCAATCATCCTGCCAGGAGTACATACCACAATCTCAGTCCCTCGCTTAAGTTCACTGATTTGCTGGGCAACCCCAGATCCTCCATATACAGGCACGCATCTTATACCCATTACCTTGGTAAACTTCTTGATATCACTGTGAATCTGCTGGACAAGTTCCCTGGTAGGTGCCATCACGAGCCCGATCGGCCCATCCCCTGCAACCACAGGAGGCTGATCTTTGATATGCCTGATCATTGGCAATACGAAAGCCAGGGTTTTTCCTGACCCAGTTTTTGCAATCCCAATGCAGTCTCGGCCGCTCATTATAACCGGAAGTGCCTGTGTCTGGATAGGCATAGGCTTTTCAAAATTAAACTTCTTTATGGTATCCAGGATTTTACTGGTAAGCCCAGTCTGGTGCCAGAACTTCACAGGTCGTGGCACATCCTTCCCATGTACCTTTAACTCCAATTCCTTCCTGTAAGCGTTAACTTCTTCTTGGGTCATCCTAGATATCTCCTTCACTTCGGTATAAAAGTTTTTCCGGAAAGGTTCGTAGTCAATCTTTGAATGGTCAACGAGGGATAGTTTCTCTGCTTTTGTCTTCTTTACCCTCTTCATGAAATCCTCATCGTCTTCATCTAAAGCCGGATCCTCCTCCTCATTCTCAGGTTCTCCGTAATCAGAATCAGAATCTTCCCCTTGGATAATCCTACCAAGTGCCTTATTAGAACCTTTCTTCGATTGTTCACCATTTGGATTGCCATTTCTCTTAGTGTCCGCATTACCATCTTCAATTATTGGGAGAGGGGCAGTATTGCTAAGCTTCTTAACCTCAGGGAGTACCATAGAATTCATAAAAGCATCTAAAGGATCAATTTCCTCTTCAGCATCTGATCCATCACCTCCACCTTGAGAGGCAGCAGCTGTTCCATTCTCAGAGTCCACCAACATGGCATCTCCAACATCTCCAGGTTTGGTGTCTCCATCAATGTCCATTTCTGTTTCGGGTTTTTCCTCTGTAGGAGCTTCTTCATCGTCAGATTCTCCTTCAAGAGTCCATGCCTTACCGGCCTGGGGTGCATTATCATTCCCGTCACCTTGCTTTTCTCTCTCAGATTCCTCCGTTTTCCTCCTCAACTCTTGCCACTCTTGTACTCTTCTCCTCCGTTTTTCCATCTCCTCATCCAATTTCTTCTGCTCATCCTCCAATTCTTCTTCTCTTGTTTTCTCTTCTTTCTTTTCAGTATCATCCTCAACATTCTTCCGCTTAGGACTATCTTCACTGCCATCTCTATGCCTGCTCGATCTACCAACACTCTTCTCACGCTCTTTGTCCTTTCGTTCTTCACCATCTCTTCTTCTGCGCTTTCTGTCACGATGCCGGATATCATCATCACTCTGTTCACTATTATCCTCTCGTTTCCTCTCCTTGTCCCTGAGCAAGAGTAGCTGTCTGCTGTGAGATATTATCACCACCCGCCTTTCGTACAACGTCATCCTCGTCTTCTGAATCGGATTTATCTTCCTCGAAACCATACTCCTTTGCTTGTGCTTTCTTTGCTGCTTTCCTAACTTCTTCCTCCTCTTCGTTGAATTTAAATCCACTACCACCATAGCCTGTTCCATGGGCTTGCTCGAGACCCTGTTTCACTTTCGCCATGAAACTATCAGCCAGTGCCTTCAGATCATCTGGAACAGGCTGCTCAGACAGTTCCAGAGCCTTGACGAGATCCGGAGCATATCTTGCATCATCCTCAGAGATAAATGTGACAGCACAACCTTTTCGTCCTGCCCTGCCTGTCCTGCCAACACGGTGGACGTAGTCTTCGTAGTGGTTTGGAGCATCAAAGTTTACAACCAACTCCAGCTCTTTCACATCTAGACCCCTGGCTGCAACACTTGTTGCAATCAACAAATTGCAGACATTGCTCTTAAAATCAGATATTGTGGATTCACGATCAGTCTGATCCTTAGCCCCGTGGAGAGAGAGACACGGATAACCATGTTTAAGCAAATCCTTAAACAAGGCATCACATTTTTCCTGTGAGTGAACAAAAATCAAGATTTTTCCTTTCTCATACCATTCCCCAAGAAGTTCTAAAAGCCTCCAAAACCTTTCACTCTCAGGCCTCACTTCCACTAATTGAGCTATGTCCTTGTTCACGACACTCCTTCCACCAACCTGTATTTCTACAGGTTTGTTCAACACTTTACGGGCCAGAACTTCAACTTGACGTGGAAAAGTGGCAGAAAACAGCACAGTTTGCCTATCCGGTTGAATGTTTTGAATGATCCGAGTTATCTGAGGCTCAAATCCCATATCAAACATACGATCAGCTTCATCCATAACCAAGTAGGTGACTCTCCGCAGATTGGTGATCTTCCCACCGCTTGTGCAAAGAATATCAATCATCCTGCCAGGAGTACATACCACAATCTCAGTCCCTCGCTTAAGTTCACTGATTTGCTGGGCAACCCCAGATCCTCCATATACAGGCACGCATCTTATACCCATTACCTTGGTAAACTTCTTGATATCACTGTGAATCTGCTGGACAAGTTCCCTGGTAGGTGCCATCACGAGCCCGATCGGCCCATCCCCTGCAACCACAGGAGGCTGATCTTTGATATGCCTGATCATTGGCAATACGAAAGCCAGGGTTTTTCCTGACCCAGTTTTTGCAATCCCAATGCAGTCTCGGCCGCTCATTATAACCGGAAGTGCCTGTGTCTGGATAGGCATAGGCTTTTCAAAATTAAACTTCTTTATGGTATCCAGGATTTTACTGGTAAGCCCAGTCTGGTGCCAGAACTTCACAGGTCGTGGCACATCCTTCCCATGTACCTTTAACTCCAATTCCTTCCTGTAAGCGTTAACTTCTTCTTGGGTCATCCTAGATATCTCCTTCACTTCGGTATAAAAGTTTTTCCGGAAAGGTTCGTAGTCAATCTTTGAATGGTCAACGAGGGATAGTTTCTCTGCTTTTGTCTTCTTTACCCTCTTCATGAAATCCTCATCGTCTTCATCTAAAGCCGGATCCTCCTCCTCATTCTCAGGTTCTCCGTAATCAGAATCAGAATCTTCCCCTTGGATAATCCTACCAAGTGCCTTATTAGAACCTTTCTTCGATTGTTCACCATTTGGATTGCCATTTCTCTTAGTGTCCGCATTACCATCTTCAATTATTGGGAGAGGGGCAGTATTGCTAAGCTTCTTAACCTCAGGGAGTACCATAGAATTCATAAAAGCATCTAAAGGATCAATTTCCTCTTCAGCATCTGATCCATCACCTCCACCTTGAGAGGCAGCAGCTGTTCCATTCTCAGAGTCCACCAACATGGCATCTCCAACATCTCCAGGTTTGGTGTCTCCATCAATGTCCATTTCTGTTTCGGGTTTTTCCTCTGTAGGAGCTTCTTCATCGTCAGATTCTCCTTCAAGAGTCCATGCCTTACCGGCCTGGGGTGCATTATCATTCCCGTCACCTTGCTTTTCTCTCTCAGATTCCTCCGTTTTCCTCCTCAACTCTTGCCACTCTTGTACTCTTCTCCTCCGTTTTTCCATCTCCTCCTCCAATTTCTTCTGCTCATCCTCCAATTCTTCTTCTCTTGTTTTCTCTTCTTTCTTTTCAGTATCATCCCCAACATTCTTCCACTTAGGACTACCTTCACTGCCATCTCTATGCCTGCCCGATCTACCAAAAACAAAATCCTCAAATTCGAACAACTCCGAATCGAATCTTCGGCAGCTTCCAGATTTTCCGAGTTAAAATCGATCCGAAACAAGAAAGATGAAGAATTTTCCACCACAAAGCCTTTTTCCTCTCTTCCGCAAAACTTCTTTTCTTCTGGTTTGAATTTCTTCTTCTTCTTCCTCTTCTTCTTCTCGAGAGAGCCCTTTCTTCCTTTGCTGTCTTCAACTTCTTACCTTCTACGAAACTTTTCTTTTCGGTTGTGGCACAAACTGTAAATTCGGACACTAAGGAGGGTATTTCATGAAGTACATATTAATTTAACAAATTAGGATATAAAAAGGAATCGTAGTTTATTATGACGCATATGCTTTGTATGAGTGTACATAACGTCAGGAGAATTTACAGTGGATTATTTCCAATATAAATTTGAAAATCTAATAATTTTGAAATTTTTTTTATCTATTTCATTACGAATACAGAATTTTATACAATTTAAAAAACATAATTAGTGTATATATATATTATTTTATTCTGTATATAAAATTATATTATTTACATATATAATTGAATGCTATACTTTTTAAAATGAACTGATCGAAAATATTATCCAGTGCTAGCAAAACTATAGCTATTTTAATATTCTGAATAATAAATGATATATGATCTTAAGTTTTTTTCGAAAATAATATCAATACAAAAAATCAACATAATGATTTTGATATTAAAATATTAATTTTAAATGTCAGTTTTTCCAAAAAAATAATTTATAGTGATTTTTGTCAATTTAAACATGCTATATTATCTTAATTAAGAGACAAAAGAATAGCAAATGCAGTTAAGGAAATTATAACTGCGAGGTGTTGTAACTTGTAAGTGGTTTAATTCTCTTTCTAAAGCGTATCTTCCTTAAATATATTATCTATATATTTAATCTAAATCTAATATAAAATAAATAAAATCTAAATCTAAATCTAAATCTAAATCTAAATCTAACTAAATCTAGTATAATTGATGAAATCAATACAAAATATTCAAAAAAAAATTATTCCAAGTATAAATCTAAAATCTAAATATGATTTCTACTAAGTAAAATTTGTTTTTGAGAATATTTATCTTAAATATTATCTAGATATTAACAAACCAATATTTATTATTGGTGAAAAAATACTTTTAGATTTAATTTCTAATTAATATCAATTTTATCTTATTGTTTCGATATAATTTCAAGATATTATCGAAAAATAATCTCAATTTTATCCTATAAAATACGGAGATAAATCTTTATTAGGTTATGTGTGTGTATATATATGTAGGTATGTCAGATTATAAATCTAAGTTCACCTACAAAGAAAATCTTGAATCAAAGAGTTTTTCTTCCGTCGTGTTGGTACTGATTCGTCGGCGGAAGCTGTGAGTACGCCGGTGGAGTTGGGAATATGGATCAGTACGCGACCTCTGATGCTTGCCCCGTGAAGGTTTCTGTCGTATCCAAGCCCAATTGCCTTTACGATTCACAGTTTCCTCCTCTCATCAATGGAAAGGCAGAGACGCTAAAGAGAAAAGACCACTTGCCCAACTGGTCTATTGTCTGTTTGGCATCAGCTAGAGCCGACACCTTTGTCCCAAATCCTGAACCGACGGTTGCAGAAGACAAAGGAAGAAGCTCTGCGATTGAAGATGAAAGTGGCTCGAGCCCTTCGGCAGGAAAGCTCCAAACTCAGAAGGATAACGCCTCGGCATCTTCCGATGAAGTTTCTGCAACTGATGATTCTGAAGGGGAAGCCATGGCTGGAGAGATGGAGGGAAGGGCGTTTTACTATTTGGCCAGAGTTCCAAGATACCAGGACGAAGAGTTAACCGAACAAATCAAGAATGCTGAAGCTCAGGTCGATAGGAGAACGCTGGCCCGAGACGCCATTAGAGATGAGCTCCATAACATTAAGGTACAAAAAAAAAAAACAAATTCTTACATGGCATGGCATCTCTGTCTCGAAATCTTTTAACTCATCTGTTGCAATTGTAAATACCTAGGTGTGTTGTAAGGAGTATGAAGACAACTTCAAGGCAGCTATTGCCGAAGAGAAGTCTGATCGAAAAGCACTGCATTCAAAACGGCAGGAGATGGAGTCCCTTCAGTCTTTCTTCAAGAGGGTTATCTCCATTGACGACATCGATTCGAGGGTCAGATCCACTTCTATCTCTGTCTTTCGTTTAAATTCTCATCGAACCCCGATTTTTTTTCTGAATCTACTTCACCTCTGGATCAGATCCGTGATATCGAACATACGATACAACACGAAACTTTACCCATCAATGAAGGGAAACGTTTGATCCGTGAGATGAAGCAGTTGAAGCAACGTCGTGAGCAGATATCGTCTAAAGTCGGTACAGAGGATAAAGTTCAACAGGCTTTAGACGAGAAAGAGGAAACCGAAGAGCTTTTGGAGGTAAGAACGAAGACCTGTTTCGATACTATGTGTTTCGATACTATGTTATTCTCCCGGATATCATCTCTAAGATTGGCTGAAAGTGGCAATCACAGGAATCCAGAAAGGAAGTAAATCTGCTCAGAGATGAGCTCTCGAAAGCCGAAACGTTCAAGAAATCTGCTCGGGAAAGGTACGAGGATGAAGGAAGAGCAGTACAGAGCTGCGAATGAAGCTCGGCAGGAAGCGTACGTCTACCTACAGAGTTTGAAGGAACAGTTTAGAAAACAGGTACGTCCCGAACAACCGATGGAATCCCGAGATTTGTTTTGTTTCATGATTTCATCCTTCTTTCTTCTTTTGATTGCAGAACAAACATTTCTTCAAGTACAGAGAGGACATGGCGGCTGCAACTGGAATGGCTTTGAAGAAAGACTGGGAGTCCCTCGAGAGCTTCTGTCTTGAACAGGTGGACAGTTTCATGGATATGTGGAACAACGACGATGAATTCCGTAAACTCTATATCAGATGCAACGGAAAGAGCACGTCGAGAACCCTAGACGGGTCTGATGAGGAGCAGCCGACTCAGATCACTCAAGAAAAGACGGCCATTTGTTTCGAAGATGCAACGGAAGGGAAGAAACCCGCGAATTCCACGGAGCCAAGGATCAGTATAGAACCCGTTTCTGGCAGAGAGGAGTTGGAAGAACATCAACCCGAGTTAACCGAGGAGGAGGCAGAGTTGTCGAGGAAGAAGGACAAGGAGGAGGAAGAAGAAGCTGAAAAGATGAATGAACAGTATCGGTTAGAAGAGATACCGAAAGGTAAAGAGGGGAAGGAGAGTAAGAAGAAGAAAAAGCAGAAGAAGAGAGAAGAGAAGGCTAAAGCAAGAGATGCTGCTGCTAGTGCTCAGAAGGAAGAAGCTGAAGAAAATGAAAAGGCTAAAACAGGAGATGCTGCTGCTAGGGTTCACACGGAAGAAGCTGAAGAGAATGAAGAGGTTTTTCACTTCACTTCTCTCACATTTTCACAGTAATCTCTCTTTTTTCTTTCGATCCGACCCGGGAAAAAACACGTTCTTATTCGAGCAGGAACGAGAGAAGAAGGGAAATGGCATCATCCTCGGATCTCAAGAGAACCCTCTTCCGGATTCAGACAATCAATCCGAAACCCCGAAGGAGATTGAATCGCCGGAAAAACAGCAGCTTATAGCGGAGAGATGGAAGAAAAAGACGAAGTTGACGATGAAAACGATTCCTCCGCCAGCAGTCGGGACGACAAACCCGAAGCAATGGATGGTGTGGATGATAGCCGTCATTGCTCTCGTGGCCTCGGCCTTGTTACTTGCTGGTGACGCAACCCTTTCCTTTTCCCCCACGAAACCCTAGTTATTAATTTTTTTTTTTACAGTAGTTATTATTTTTTTACATACTCTATTTTTTTTAATGGGAGGTTGGATTTTCGTTAGTTGTCATGGATCGGAGAGATAGATTGGTTTATATATATATTATTAATTTTTTATTATTAATTTTTCGTTCTTCCTCCTTCCATAAATTCATGTTTTCTTGTTATATAATTTTGTCAAATATAATTAAGAAACTAGAAGGTTATATCTTGGAATTAAGGGTTTGGATTAATCGGTGGACGTTTTCACTTTCCGAAATAATAAAAAAAAAATAAACTGTGTGAACGTTTGATTTAAGGTTAAAGTCCGATATGGATAAATAAATAAGTGATAGATACGTTAACGCAAAGGCGACGTACAATATTTATACCCTTTTACTTTCAAATAAAAAATCAGATTCTAATAATCATGAAATTTCAACGCCCAATAGGAGAAAAAATTGTGGGAATTGACGATGTGATCATTTAATTGCATATATATATATAAATATATATATAACATATTAACATCTAAAGATTTACTTTTCTTTTAAAATACTTTTTTCTTAAATTTGTTTTCCGTCTTTATATTTTTTTTTTATTAATATAACTGTTTTTAGTTCAATTTAAACTATATTTATAATATTACTTTATTATGATACAAATATTTTAGATTTTGGTTGAAATTGATAAATTAACAAATAATCTATGTTTTTATGTATTTGTAAATTATATAAAACATATTTAGATTTATAAACAAATGAGATTTTAGCTTAAAAGGTTATATATATATATATATATATATTATATCTATACACGTTTTGGATACTTTTTACTTCTTTTGAATTTATAATTATACATATATATATTCGAGACATTTGGGGGGAAAGCAAGTCGAGGGAATATGCATGTGAACCCGCCACTTTCATTATGGATTAGATTAGACTTCTCGCTCGTGGTGCCATCTTTTCTTCTGTATACTCGTACGGACGTTACCATTCCTCGCCCTTTCTTTTTTTTACTCTATTTGATATAATTGACCGTAGATTTATCAGAAGGTAAAAATTGTTAATACGGCGGTAAAAGCAGGATAAAAAAACAGTCTTACCCATCGATGTGATCGAAATAACATATAAATCTTTTTAACATGAAAAATGATTTTAACCTTTGAAAAAAGACGGTATATAATAATATATACTTTTGTATGGGACAGATACGAAATGATTTTGGCCGTTATTGGTGGGTTGAAGCATATGATGTTGCATGGAGATTTTTTTATATTAAGAGATTAGCCTCGATACATTGCACGTTTGACCTAACTTTGAATTTTGGGCCACCATGTGGTTATTTGACTATCTTTACTATGTTTTTATTTTTTCTTTAATCTTAATTCTGTTGTGCCATACATACATACATACATACATACATACATACATATACACGTGTACTGTAAGTGCATCATACGAGAGAGTTTTATTCAATTGTCATGTTTGAGAGATTATGTCGACGGACACACAATAATGTCGTTTCATTTTTTTTATATATTTTTTCTAACAAATAATGAAAATTTGAATATTTAGGGTATGTTTTTAAAAAAATAATAATAATAATAAGACTCATAGTGGACAAAATATTTACATAATAATGTACACTGTTAACGAATGAAGAAACAAAATAGAACTTCCTCACGTTACACCAAGTCACCAACAATAGGGTGGACAAAACCCGACTATCATAAGAAAAATTCGAATTTGATCTCGGATATAAATTGGTATAATTTTTATCATATTATTGATATCTAGATAAAAAAAAATATTTTTTATAAATACATAAATAAAGAATTTAATTTAAATAGAAAAGAAGAAAATAATGGAGGAAAAAGAGAGAGGTGTAGTAATGGATGGTAGTACGCACAGTACAAACTGGAATCAGTGAACAGTTTCGTCCAAATGCATCGTTTAGCTGTCTCCCTCTCCACTTTTTTCTATTTATTATCTATTTATTTTTCAATTTATAATTTTATATATAATAAAAATTATTATTAATATTATTATTATTATTATTATTATTAAGAATCGTGCTGAGTCGGGCCAACAACATTGACGTTTTGTTTTAAGGATTAACGTGTGAAGACGAAATTAAGTAGAAGAATTATGTGTGTGGCAGAAAATTCAGCTAAAAAAATAAATAATAATGATAATAATAAAATACCTTCGTACGATGTCGTTTTGAGAGTGGAGACGACAGCACCGTACGCTGCGAAACGCGGGGCTCCACTCCATTCTCCATCTCCATCCATCCATGATCCATCCATAGACTTGGATGAGGGGTGTTTCGGTAGTTATTCCGAAACAAGAAGGGTACTTTCGTCTTTTCGATCTAAATTCTCGGCGGCGACGTGATGACGTGACAACGACTCCCCAAGCGACGCGGTCGGGGAGATGGAAATGCGAACCGAAAGCAAGAAAATAAATATCTGATTATACATATATATATACATACATATATTTATATATATTAGGACAAAACATGTTTAGATGCTAGACAATTAATATACTTTAGCATTTTTTTATAGCATAACCTAACATGTTAACGTCCAAATAAATTTGGGTTTTATTAATCTAATAATATAAATCACATGTTTTTTTTGGTAAAGAAATCACATGATGTTGTCCATGATTTTATCCTTCAACATCAATCCATTATATTCGATTATTGTGGAGAGTGTATGAATATACTCATGTAAAATTCTATAACAAATTAATGTTATATTATTAAACTGTTTGCACTTTTTATACTTATTAAGGTTTGTGAATTGATGTTTTTATTTTATTTTTATTACAACAAGATTGAATATTTTATATATTCTGCAAACAAGGCTTTAGTTTTAGTGGATTTAGATAACTTTATTTTATATTAGATTTAGATTATATATATATATATATATATATATATTTAAGGAAGATACACTTTAGGAAGAGAATTAAACCACTTACAACACCTCGCAGTTATAATTTCCTTAACTTCATTTGCAACTCTCTTGTTTCTTAACTAAGACAATATAGCATGTTTAAATTGACAAAAATCACTATAAATTATATTTTGGACAAACTGACATTTAAAATTAATATTTTTAATATCAAAATCATTATGTTGATTTTTTGTATTGATATTATTTTCGAAAAAAACTTAAGATCATATATCATTTATTATTCATGATATTAAAATAGTTATATTTTTGCTAGCATTGCATAATATTTTTTATTAGTTAATTTTAAAAAGTATAGCATACAATTGTATATGTAAATAATATAATTTTATATACAGAATAAAATATATATACTAATTATGTTTTTAAAATTTTATAAAATTCTGTATTCGTAATGAAATAGATAAAAAAATTTCAAAATTATTAGATTTTCAAATTTATATTGGAAATAATCCACTGTAAATTCTCCTGACGTTATGTACACTCATACAAAGCATATGCGTCATAATAAACTACGATTCCTTTTTATATCCTAATTTGTTAAATTAATATGTACTTCATGAAATACCCTCCTTAGTGTCCGAATTTACAGTTTGTGCCACAACCGAAAAGAAAAGTTTCGTAGAAGGTAAGAAGTTGAAGACAGCAAAGGAAGAAAGGGCTCTCTCGAGAAGAAGAAGAAGAAGAAGAAGAAGAAGAAGAAGAAGAAGAAGAAGAAGAAGAAGAAGAAGAAGAGGAAGAAATTCAAACCAGAAGAAAAGAAGTTTTGCGGAAGAGAGGAAAAAAGCTTTGTGGTGGAAAATTCTTCATCTTTCTTGTTTCGGATCGATTTTAACTCGGAAAATCTGGAAACTGCCGAAGATTCGATTCGGAGTTGTTCGAATCTGAGGAATTTTGTTTTTGTTTTGTTTGTATCGATGTCGGGGTTGATTTGATCGGATTCTAGTCAGACACTTCTGGCTTTGAGGAGGATTGGTGATTGTAGCTGCGATTCCGCGTCCTTGTTCATCGAGACGGAGATGCTGAGGTACGTTTGATTCGATTTCGCGTTAGATATACGAATTTCTTTCTCGGTATGATGGAGAGAGATGATCCAGTGGAGATGTCGAGACCGACTTTTTCCGTGATCTCCCTATTTGCGAAGGACAGTTTTTTTTTTAAAAAAAACTTTGAATGATTTGATTCAGAGGAGCAAACAACTGGCTCAGTAGTTTCTTGTTTGGGGTTTGATTGATTCTGCAGTTGTTGAGAGATCAAGGAACTCGATGGACATGGATGAGGTAGGCGCTCAGGTGGCTGCTCCGGTTTTCATCCAGCAATCCATTTCTCCGATCGGGAGAAAACGCGATCTCTATTACCAAATTCCGAATCTTCACCCGCACTGGCTACCGCAGCCGCAAACGCATACGCTGCAGCTGAGAGATGACTGGAACCCTAAGACGTGGGACTGGGATTGCCGGAGATTCGAAGCCAAGCCCGTGGATTCAGAGGTTGTCCGACTTGACGTCAGTGTCAAGAGCAGCAGTAACAGCGGTTTGACTTCGAGGAATGGTGGCGGCGAAAGTGAAGGAGATGAAAGAAGCCTTGATCTGAATCTGGGAAGTTGTCCGAACCCAGTGGAAGAGACACAACCGAACAGACCGAACAAAAAGGTTCGGCCGGGATCACCAGGTGGGTCAAACTACCCAAAGTGTCAGGTGGATTGTTGTACGGAGGATCTGTCTACTGCTAAGGATTACCATAGAAGGCATAAAGTGTGCGAGGTTCATAGTAAGGCCTCTAAAGCTCTTGTCGGAAACCAGATGCAGAGGTTCTGCCAACAGTGCAGCAGGTTGGATACCCTTTTGTTTAATCATCATTTTCTTCTGAAAGTGTTCAATCTAGACATGGAATGGTTGACCCGTTGAAATTTGTGCTTGTAGGTTTCATCTGCTTTCTGAGTTCGACGAGGGATAGGTTTCATCTGCTGTCTGAATTCGACGAAGGAAAGAGAAGTTGTAGGCGTAGATTGGCAGGCCATAACCGACGAAGAAGGAAAACCCAGCCGGAGGAAATCAGAACCCGGGCTGTAGTTCCTGGGAACCGTGATAATAACTCTAACCCTAATCCTAATATGGATCTCGTGGCTTTGTTAACTGCCTTAGCTTGTGCACAAGGTAATTTTGGCATCTGAATTCGGTCTCTCCCCTTTCTTGTTGTTACATTCAGATATTAATGTTGTTAACAAATCCTTGGTATGGAAGCTGCAGGTAGGAATGAGGTGAAACCTATTGAGTCTCCAACTGTGCCAGATGGGGAACAACTTCTTCAGATGCTTAACAAGATAAATTCCTTACCTTTGCCTACGGATCTTTTCTCAAAGTTGAACAATATTGGAGGCTTAGCCGGGAAGAATCTACAGCACTCTCTTGCGAATCCCCAGAATGATACGAATGGAACTTCTCAATCTACTATGGACTTGCTAGCTGTTCTCTCTTCAACTTTAGCTTCATCTTCCCCGGATGCCCTGGCTTTGTTGTCTCAAAAACGAGACGAGGTTAATAACAGTGACAAGACTAAGTTAGCTTCTTCTGACCACCCTGGGATTACTGCCAATGTGGAGAAGAGAATTCTGGATGTTCCTTCCGCTGGTGGAGAGAGGAGTAGTAGCAGTCACCAGTCTCCTTCACAGGATTCAGATTCTCATGTCCAGGACACTAGATCTAGTTTATCTCTGCAACTGTTTACCTCATCACCCGATAATGAGAGTGGACCGACAGTGGCATTTTCAAGGAAGTATTATTCGTCAGCAAGCAGTAACCCGTTAGAGGATAGATCTCCATCTTCCTCTCCTGTCATGCAGGAATTGTTCCCGTTGCAGACGTCTCCTGAAACCATGAGGTTGAAGAATGAAAAGAACACAGGTTTTAGGACTGGGTGTCTTCCCCTCGAGCTTTTTGGTGCATCAAATAGAGGAGCTGAGAATAATATATTCAAAGGATTTGGGCATCAATCGGGTTATGCTTCTTCTGGTTCTGATAACTCTCCTCCTAGCTTAAATTCTGATTCCCAGGTATGCAGCTAGTTGTATTTCCATTTTTGGCTTAAATCTGTGTATAGGTGAAACATTCCATTTACGGTAATTTGTTTATGGGATTCAAACAGGACCGAACTGGGAGGATAGTCTTCAAACTACTTGGAAAAGATCCTAGTCATCTCCCCGGGACATTAAGAACTCAGGTTGGTAACTTCTTGGCGTGTTCCAGGATTCTTATGATTGCTTCTTTTGAACCCTAACAATGCTTATCATCAACCTCTGTTTCAGATCTATAACTGGCTTACTAACATCCCCTCGGAAATGGAGAGTTATATCAGGCCCGGATGTGTTGTTCTATCCGTCTATGTAGCGATGTCAGCTTCTGCATGGCAACAAGTGAGTATATTACCGACCGCTCTGTTGTTGATTGGTTTCGGTTCTTACTATGTTATGAACGCTTGAAGGAGAATTTGTTTTGTTTCCCAGCTCGAAGAGAACTTGCAGGAACGAGTCAGATTTCTGCTTCAAGATTCGCGTTCAGATTTTTGGAGGAACTCGAGATTTCTGGTCAACACAGGCAGACGCGTAGCTTCATACAAAGATGGTAATAGGAGCTTATTAAAAGTTCTCCGGTAATGGTGGATGCTATTTCCGTGATTGTAACTTACTAATCATTTCTATGAAATGTTTGCAGGTAAGATTCGTCTTAGCAAATCTTGGAGAACGTGGAATTCCCCGGAGTTGATCTCAGTTTCACCGGTTGCTGTTGTAGCCGGGGAAGAAACTACCTTGTTGGTAAAGGGTAGAAACTTGACCAATGACGGGATCAAGTGAGTCGAAATCGAAGTTCTAGTAGTGATTTCGGTGTTGTTTCCTCATCTTTCTCCTAACCTTTACATTCACCATCCTGCAGGATTCGTTGTGCTCATATGGGTAATTACACGTTATTGAAGGTAGCCGGATCAGCGTGTAGGAAAGCCGAATTTGATGAGTTAAACGTAAATAGTTTCAGGATCCAGGGTCCAAGTCACAGTTTTCTGGGACGTTGTTTCATCGAGGTAAGACTTTCAGATAGTCAAACCTCAAAAAGTTTTTGGGTTTTGTTTTTTTTTTTCGTCTTGATCCCAACCCGTCTTACTATGTGAATAGGTGGAGAATGGATTCAGGGTTGATAGTTTTCCTTTGATCATTGCCAACGCTACCATTTGCAAAGAGTTGAATCACCTTGAAGGCAAGTTTCATCACAGAGATATTACAGAACAAGCACACAGTTCTCCGACATCGAGGGAGGAAGTTTTACGCTTCTTGAACGAGCTTGGATGGCTTTTCCAGAAGAAGAAGCATATGTCCTCTGACTTTCAGGGCGATTCTGACTTCGCCCTAACCCGATTCAAGTTTCTTCTTGTCTTCTCTGTTGAAAGAGACTACTGTACTCTCGTCCGAACTATCCTGGACATGGTTGTAGACAGGAATTCGGACAGGGATGGCCTAAACACCGAGTCTTGGGATATATTGTCTGAGATTCAGTTACTAAACCGTGCTGTGAAGAGGAGGAGCCCGAAGATGGCGGAAATGTTGATTCATTATTCCGTTAACCCCTCACCTGATTCCTCTAAAAGCTTCATCTTCCCGCCCAATGTCTCTGGACCTGGCGGTATCACGCCATTGCATTTGGCCGCTTGTTCATCGGGTTCAGAAGATATGATTGACGTTTTGACCAACGACCCGCAAGAGGTACATACATATACAATTCTTTGTAGTTTCCATCAATCATCAAAAATCTCTTTCAAGATTCTTATTATTTCTTAACCCCGAAACAAAAATACGTTCTTTTCCTCGTCTGTTTCTTTCAGATCGGACTAACTTCCTGGAATACTCTCCGAGATTCAAGCGGGCAGACTCCTTACAGCTACGCCGCTGTGAGGAACAACCACGGATACAATACATTGGTGGCTCGGAAACTCGCGGATAAAAGGAACCTTCAAGTATCTATGAACATCGGGATCGAGGGTATTGAGCAGATGATGGGCCGGAGTAAGAGTAAGAGATCGTGTGAGACGTGCGGAACTGTGGCTTTGAAGTACGGGAGAAGGGTCTCGGGTTCGAACCGTTTGTTCCCGACGCCGCTGATCCACTCAATGCTGGCGGTTGCGGCGGTCTGCGTTTGCGTTTGCGTTTTCATGCACGCCTTCCCCACCGTTCGGCAAGGCGGCCATTTCAGCTGGGGAGGCCTTGATTACGGCCCAATGTAAACTCCAAGTGTTTGTTCTTTGGTTTCAGAGAGCTGGTTCATGAAGTTAAGTTTCTGAAGAATTTCCGCCGCCCCCCCCCCCCAAATAGATAACCTCTCTAAGCTGAAATTACGAAATTGCCCTCGGGTGCAGATCGAGGCTTTATCACTTGGGGGGGTATAGATGGAATTGGCTGTAATCAAGAGTTGAAATCTAAGTTATGGATACATAATAATATATTGTAATATGCTTGGCCAATCCTGTGTTTCTTTTTACTTCTTTTGATTGTTTTTTCTTTTTATAAATTTAACTCTGACGACAAAAGATTTTTTTCTTTTTTTTTTTTTTTTTTTGGTTCTTGTCTGTTGTAAAGTGTACAAGTTGGGTCTGAGAGGTAATGTTTCGGTTTCGCTGCTAAAATGTATTTTTGGTTTTATTATCTATAGAATAAAGATTTAAAACAACTGAAATAATATTATGCATTTGCTTTCGATACAAACATATTGATTGCTTGCGAGATTAGCTAAGTGCCACGTGGCGAACACCCACATGATTAGGACATAACGCGATAGATCCTCCTCCGTAACATGCCACGAAAATTCATTTGACTCATTTACATAATTATTTCGCTTTTTATTTGTCCATAACGAAATGATTGTAGAGCAAAATTTATTCCACACCGTCGTTATAACATGACTATTCAAGCAAAATCTCCCCATCGCCATTACCAATTCAATTGATTTGTCATCGTAGCATCTCTTCTACTTGGTTGGTGGCGTGCTTTCATATGATCCGTTTTGTTCATTTTGGTCCTTTTATATTCGAAAATCGTGTTTCGTAATTTGAGAGTTTTCGTTTTTTAAAGACAAATTTATGAGTGTCGATGAATCAGAAAGTGGGGAAAACATTGACAAAACGTCGAGGAATAATGTTGATGCAACCCACTATATATGAACGAATTATTCCCACGTGGATTGTCGACATTCTCAAAACATCAAACACCGAATTTTAGTAATTGATTTACGCATTAGCTGAATTCATACTTGATTAAATATATGATCATGTGATTTATTATCTCTTTTTTTTTAATGATGTTGATATATCCGAGTTATTCCATCAATAAAAAAACATAAGAATATACAAATATGATCTAACATATCATCATATTACAAAAAAATTTAACAATCAAATCAATTCTAAAACAAACCAAAAAAAAGATCCAAAATAATTTGTAACATATCATCATATTAACATCTAACATAAGGCCCTTCGTGAGAAGTTTTTATTTATTTAAATGACTTTTTCCATTAAAATTAATTGAGTTTTATTAATTAATAACAAAAGGCCCATTTATAAGACAGGCCGTAATGGGTCAATCGTAAGATATAGGCTCATCCTAACACAATGTGAGCCCACGTGCGCTCAGTTAAATCGTACGCGCGGCTTTGGCGCGTGAGATTCAAATCCGCCAAAATGACTTGCCGATTTTGCTAATTTCCAAAAAACAAAATAAAAGGAAGGGTTAGAATAAAGTGTAAAAATAATATATAATTAATTTATTGTTATTATTAAGAGAGAAAAAAAAAAAGAAAACCAAAATGATTATTTCACATCTAGTATTTAATATAAATTGAATAAAATAATATATAATTATAATCAAATAGAATGTGGATATGATTTTCAAATCAAATAACTTTTAAATCATATGAATTACAGACAGTTGAAGGCACAGTTAATGGAGGATAAATTTATATCCAAATGAATTTGTTTTTTTTTTGGAAATTAATCCAAATGAAATTTTGATTCAAAAGAGAATAAGATAAAAATAAATGAGAGTTATAAAAAAACAAAGGTGGTGGGTGTCGTCGATTATATTTGATTTAAATGGGATTTTGATTTTCATGTGCCTTTCTTTTCCAAGATGCTACGAAAACTTTTCCCATTCAATTTTTTTCCGTATCTAACACAAAAGTCTAAATAATCAAATTACATTGCTTCCCTATATATAACGTTTAAAATTTAAACTTTTCATCATATCATAAACTTAACCAAATGTGATTTGCTTTATGTATGATAGTATTTGTGCTTGTGCATATATTATTCTATAATAAAATCTAAGATTGTGAGTTTAATTTCAGCCAATTGAATTGAATAATGTATAATATTCAAGCAAAATCTAATTTAAAAATCAATTGAATACATTTTTAACCAATTTAATTGAATTCAAATTGTATAATAATAATAATAATAATATTTTAAAAAATTAACATTTATCTTAATAGAGACTGAAGATTCAAAATCCGATAAAATATCAATTAGATATAAATTATAACAAGACGAAATCCAAAGAATTATCATGGATATGAACCAAAATGTATACCATAAGCGAACCAAAATACAAATATTTATCATATAATAAATTACATAAATAATGCTAACCGCATAACATATTTCCTTTAAAATATTCAACAATTAATCAAATAATATTAAATAAGACATACAAGACATCAAACCCAACCCTTTCGAAATCAACCCTAATCCCACCTTAGAGAAATGCCAACATCCACTTATACACTTTAGCAAACCTCAAATATATATATCACACATACGATACAATACAATCATAGATGTGTATATAGCTATATAATTACAAAATCCCAAAATTAGCCTCCCCTGCCACGTGGAATAATCCTAGCTGGCCCATTTCCTCCGCGAGTGACGCCGTCGAGAAATGCCTCGCCTACACCTTCTCCGATGCCTTCCATTATTCCGCCGAGAAAATCGATCACCACCTGCGACGCCAACTTCGCCGCCGTCCCCAACACCGCCGGAGACTTCTCCTTCGTTATCAGAATGACCATGTCAGATCATGATGATGACAATACTATACATATATGCACACTAATGGCTTAGGGTTTCCCTAAAATACCTTGGATTTGAGCCCATTGGCTCTGAGGCCATTCACCATTTCCTTGGCACAGACTGCATGCAAGTGATACTCACACACCGTACACCTGTAGACCCTCCCCGACCGTTTTCCCCTCTTACACTCTCCGCACACGTAGTTTCCTCCTCCGTCTCCTCCGGCGGGGAGGAGCTTCAGCGCGTGATTTGGATGGCCGGAGAATGATATGGTCGGAGACAACATCGCACAACATGGATGCATCTGGAAACCGCATGCCTTGCATCTGAATGTGTACCCTTTCGGCGTTCTCCCGCACACGTCGCACTTCGATTTCACGATTCCTCCTTTCGCTGAAATTTATCGGATTTCGACCATAGACCCTTTTCAGATTTCGTGTATTCAAGGCCAAAAGTTCCATTCTTTCTTCGTATGAATTGAGAATTATGGAGACTGGAGAGTTGTTCCAAAGGCTATATGGATTTCAAAAACTCATACCTAGACCTAGATCTATCTCTATACATGTGTGAATGAATAACTTTGTAAAAAGAAATTGATTATGATTCCATCCGAAAAGGTTATAGAGAATAATAGCTTACAGGGTTTGGCATAGAAGAGGAGATGATGTTGGTAATGAAAAGGATGGGCCTTGAGAAGAGGAGGAGCCAAAGCACAGAACTCATGGAGCTGATAATCACATTGCTGGCATACATACCGTTTTCCGGCGCCGTCTTCTTTGCAACCGGAACACGTGTACAAATCCGGCAACTCCACTTTCGCGGCGACATGTTGTGGGTGTCCGAAGTGGACCATCTCTTCTCCTAGTATTAGCTGAGGTGACACCGGAAATTCCATCACCGCCGCCGCAGATTTCTTCTGCGGCTTCTCCACGCCGGAGACCGACCGCCTGAGTTCTGATGTGGCAGGGTTTGCCACGCCGGAGGCTGACCGGGTCAGAGCTGATGTGGCGGCAGTGTTGCTGTGTGCGGGACTCACTATGGATTTGCTTCTCATCATTTTCTTTTCCTTTGGAGCAGAGGATTGTTTTCGTACGGAGAGGTAATGTTGAGTGGTGAAATTGTTGGGAGCAGATGAGAGAATATTTTCCCATCCCCGCCGCCGCAGATTTCTTCTGCGGCTTCTCCACGCCGGAGACCGACCGCCTGAGTTCTGATGTGGCAGGGTTTGCCACGCCGGAGGCTGACCGGGTCAGAGCTGATGTGGCGGCAGTGTTGCTGTGTGCGGGACTCACTATGGATTTGCTTCTCATCATTTTCTTTTCCTTTGGAGCAGAGGATTGTTTTCGTACGGAGAGGTAATGTTGAGTGGTGAAATTGTTGGGAGCAGATGAGAGAATATTTATGGAGGGAAAAAAGTTTCTTTTTTTCTTCTTCTTCTCTCTCTCTCTCTCTCTCTCTCTCTCTCTCTCTCTCTCTCTCTGACATTGAGGAACTGTTTCAGTTCCAAGGACAAGAGTTTGGAGTTTCTAGAAAAGCAAGAAGATGCTTCATCTCATTGCCTTAATTGTGTCCAACAATGCATGCATTTGCATGTGTCCTGATACGATCTCCATGTTTACAACTGGTATAATTGATTTGATTAACAATATTAATTCTATCACTTATATACATATTTATATGTTGGATTAATGTTTAAATATACAATTCACATTTTGTTATGTCTCATTTTTTACTTCCAATAAATTTGTTGTGGAAGTATACATATGGTTATTCGATTTTTCAAAAGTAATTCGTATAATAATTATTACGGGTCTAGGGATTAGTCGAAGATAACATTATCAAAATAACATTATAATCGTGTCTATATTGAATTCCATCTATCAATTGATTGAATATGATTTTTTTAAACCAAATTAACTGAATTTGAATGGGAAAATAATCTAAAATTTGAACGAAGGCGAAAATCTCAACAAACATTTTTTCAATAATAAAAGAATTAAACTTGAAACTCAATTTGGCATAAAACTCTGTATAAAGACGAATTGGTATAATATTTCTGAAGTATAAAATTAGTATAATATTTCTATTGAGTTTGGATTTAAATGTTTGCATTTTTTGTTATGTTTTAAAAAGTATATATGTATCGAGTTTTATTTGATTTTGGTTAATTTGGAACCGTTTTTTTTAAAATCCGGATTTAATTCATGTTCATTTTTAGGAGAATTTTGTATTCGCTCCAATTTTTCAATATAAAAAATTCATGTCCAGTTTATTTTGAGTCTGGATTAAATTTCGTTAGATATTTATTTAGTTGAGGTTGATTTTGCATGTATAAATCCAAATATATACGCATGTAGACCCTAACCCTATCTTTGATTACTTGTTATAAAAGAAAATCATTGGAATAATATTCTTCACCTCAATCGACTTTTCATGGTCTGTTGAAAATTGGGGGAAGAAGATTCATCAACCGATTTATATTCGGATTTTGAAAATTTTATAAGAAAGGTAAAATAAAATCTTTTGGTGACAAACTTTTCTCACTCGGTGCGCTGTCACGGCATCTCGGGACAACCAAAAAAAAAAAAAAAGATTCTCTCCCAATTAAAACTTCGTTTTTTTGACTAACTCTCATTTTGAGCCAATTGCTTCTCTTTGTTCATCTCCGCAAGTGATTCCCACTGTCATTTCATCCCCATATTAATCATTCATACATTATGATTGATATATATAATTATATATATATATATATAAACTTCTTCTTTTTTTTGGGAATAAAATCCGAATTATTAAGATAAAAATATTCACACGGTTGTAATCCGCTGTATTCTAAACTATTATTGGTGAAAAAACGAAGTTTCTTGGTCATTTCTTGATAACACATTCGTTTATATTCTCATATCCATTTTTAGTTTAGGTTATATTACGATTTCAGTTTTGGATGTTATCCTAAACATTTTTCACTCGATGATAATTCGGTGATATCCAATTGTTATCATAAAAATAATGAAAATCGAATATTCAAATAATGCGATAAATTACACATGTTGTCTTATAATGGGCATAGTTAGCACTAAGTTAATAAATGTTTCATTTTTTTGTATTAATTCGTTCCGAATACAGTTTTATATGGTGCTATCCGAAATAAAATATTTATCTCTATAATATAATGATGATACTATCTTCTTTTTTTCCTGAATGGATTTTGTGGGAAATTTTGAATTTTGTTTTCGTATAATTTCGTTTTGATACATTTCTACTGTCCCTATGAAATCTGTAAATACCAAATCACGGCTTTATTTATGTTTTTTCAGCCCATTATACGACGTCGCTAAGAAAGTCGGCTCGGATAAATATGGGCCCAGTATAATTAAGGCCCATTTAAAATTAAGATTGATCGTAAGCCCAATTTATTCGGGCCAAGAACTATATTGGGCCTCTGGTTTTCTTTACGGGCCCTTGGAGAAATACGGTATAAAATATATAAAACCATAAACATTTAACTGGAATTTAATAGGGAAATCGAAAAAAATTCAAGAGTAATGACCAAAAACGATTACTTTTAAGTTGTTAGATTACCAGAAATTAGGAATATTTCTGGCAGGTGACAAGACGACGTGCGTGTGGGTTTTGTTTTAATAAATGTATATATATATATATATATATATGGTTGTGTTTTTTAATATATTTTATATATTTTTTTGTCGGGCGAACATGTGAATGTCGTATCTCAAGTCACCTTATCCGAAGACACATACCGAACCTCATTAGTTTTTCAATCTTTTTTTTTTATAATTAGCGAATCTTAAACAAGGATTTTTTTTAAGTTCTGCAATTAATTCGTGGGAAGATTCTGTCATTTGGGAATTGTTTTCCCTTTTATTATATAAAAAAAATAAATATTGCACACGGCAGTTCTTGGAATACGTGGTGGTGTTATCTTTATTTCGGTTAGGTTTTGAACGTTCTGTATTTCAGACCATAAATTAAACGTATATTCTTATTAATAGTTATTATACGTAACATACATATTTTAGAATTATATACATATACCGCCAACATTTTTTTTCCAAAGAGAACCAAACGAATCTCAAGGTCTGAGAAACCAGAGAACCAACACAATCTAAAATCGGTATGGATAACCAAATGTAACCGGACATAACCGGGATGAAATCAATTACATTCCAAGGTCACGTACGCACGACCAAGCGTATGAAATACTCGTACATTTCAAATGTTTGCTTACCAGAGCTATTTTACTTGCGGCCGAAGCAAATTAATAGCCCAAGGGGATAAAATAGAGAAAAATTTCACAAGATCGTTACAAATTGACACATGGTTATTGAAATATCGCCAATAAAATATATAGTACATGAAATTTCGTGCCTACGGGATAGAGTAATTTGAAAAACTAATTAGGGATATATATATATATATATATACACACCTGTAATTTGCATTAATATATTTGTAGGGAGAGTGATTGTTTTGACCATATGTTCAAACTTTGAAGTTTGATTAAGAGAGACCGTCCATGCATAAAAGTGAATTTGATAAATTTAAATAAAAATAACAAACGTTTATTTGGAACGAGACTGTAATAAATATTGCTATGGCTACCAAGTCAACGAGTGAACACGTGAAGCCTGTGTTTTTGCATGGCTGTCCGAGTTTACTCGGTTGCATGGAAAATATTAAATTTTGTGTAATTCGTACCGTTTACAGTATTTTATATTTCAATTATTATTATTATCATACATTTATTATTATATTTTCCTTTTTATTCCAGATTTCAAGTTTAGTTAACTACGACCATGGAACAGCGTTTGAATCTTTCTTTATTGCTCATATCCACATATTACTCTAACGTTGGCAATTTCATCCGATTTAAAAAACTTGAATAGAAAACATCGAATAAAAAAAAATACATAACTGTATCTAAATCTCATATAAAAATAATAAAAAGTTACATAAAACTATATAAAAGTCGATTGAAATAATTTTTCTAAAAAAATTCCAAAAAAAAAATCATCAATTCAAATCGAACTCAAACCAAAACGTTGACCCTAATATTACGACTAATAGGAATCCTAATTATATTATGGATCGTTCTATTGCAGTTTACTATATATGAAACAATAAAATTTCATTGAAAAATCGAAGAAAAATTTCATTTCAAAAATCTAATTTGGACAGTTCGAAATGAGATATAAAACGTCTATTCTGTTACTAATTCAAACCTTAAATTATGGAGAGAGGTGTATATTCTAATCATATAACTTAATCTCGACTCCAATGTTAATCTGGATTTCGGCCCAGAATATTCTATTACTGAAACAAAGTTTCATTTCAGAAAGCCATGGCGGAATTATAGTCAGTAGTAATAAAATATTATAATGCTGCCACGTTGAAGAGGGCAACAGCGAAAGCTACACTGAGAATCACTCTCTATTATTGTTCACTAATTATAAAATGATCTTTTTTTACCCTCAGTAATTGGCTTTGTACGTGCGTGAAAGTGTTTAATTTATATATATATATATTAAGTATGGTAAAGAAACAGATATTGAGTTTTGTGTGGTTACAGACAAGTCAAACACCAAGTTGATGCCGTCTCCTTCTGCACCGAGTTTCCTTCTCTTTTCACTTTCGCCTCATTAAGTCACATGTTACGTCTCTCTTGGCCGCGTGCCACGTCATTGCTGACTTCCCCTGCAAATCCGGACTCTTGTTATTATTTTTTTCATAAAATATAAAATCTCTTTTTAATTTATAATAAAAATTCATATCTATTTATGTATGGCTGTTTTGCATTTAGTGTCCGCAACTTGACAATGCTGGCAATTTGATGGAATAAGTTTTGGGTGATTAAGTTCTCTAATTAACAAAAAATAATCATTTAAAAAGGTTTAAAAAATGTGCTACATATTGTGTGATGCTTAACATAAACCTACTAATGGACAACTAAATTCACAACGCGTGATTGCGTAATACAAATCAGCTCCCGGTTTGTTATTTCGACGGTTCAGTATTTCCTGACGTCACCTTCTTCTATATATAGCTCACCACAGCCTGGCAGCCTCAGTTATCCGCGTTCTATTCGTGTCCTTTGGTATTCCCTTCTCTCTCTAACAGTCTCTTTCTCTCTCTAGAATTCAAATTTTCACCGGAAAACGGAAGAAATCAACGTCTGCGAAATGGGTGGCTGCGTCTCTGTGGGTCGGAGCGAGTGCGAATCTTCGCCGACGGCGAAGATCGTGACGGTTAACGGCGATCTCCGGGAATACAATGTTCCAGTGTTAGCGTCGCAGGTCCTGGAAGCCGAATCGGCTGCTTCGTCTTCCTCTAGATCTACCTCCTATTTCATATGTAACTCCGATTCTCTCTACTACGACGATTTCATCCCAGCTATAGGATCGGATGAGCAGCTTCAGGCGGATCAGATCTACTTCGTCCTCCCGATTTCCAAGCGTCAGAACCGCCTCACAGCGCCGGACATGGCGGCTCTCGCCGTGAAAGCCAGCGTCGCGATTAAGAACGCCGCCGGGAAGGAATCCCGCCGCCGCAAGAAGGGGCGGATCTCACCGGTTGTGGTTCTGAGTCAGCCGAGCGATACGAAAGGGAGCACCGGAGAATCGACGGTTTACAAGGGGATTCCGGCGAAGAAAACCGCCCCTACGAAGGTTTCCGGCGGTTTCTCGAGATCTGGTTCAGTACGGAAATTACAGAGATACACGTCTCGGCGAGCGAAGCTCGCGGTTCGTTCGTTTCGGCTGAGACTTTCAACCATTTACGAAGGCTCTATTCTGTAGATTTTTTATTTTATTTCTTTCGCCTCCTTTCTTGGGAGATAAAAAAAAACAGAAAAATAAAAAAAATATATACATTAATTCTTTTTTGGCTTACTGTTAACAGAAATGATCATATGATAATGTAAAAAATGAAAAAAAAATCTCCACATGTAAATTACAATTTGTCTCCCAGATATATTTTGTCTTCTCATACATATATGTGTAATTAATTACGTTTATGGTGTTCCAATCTTGCGTTTAATATATATTATTATGTGTTAATGTATGATTAGTTATAATGATTATTAGTACAAAAGACACGCAGATTCATTTGTCTTGATTTAATTTTTTGTGATCAATATACAATTTTCATGTTAGCCGAACTTTTTTCCATTTTTTTTAACTACTTATGCCGAAAATATTTACGAAAAAAAAACTCGATTGTTCATTATATAATTTTAAAAACTGAAAATGTGTTATAATTTTGTAATTAAAATATTACGTCACCTTGTTTTCTTTGATTTGAGAGTAAGATTGGAAATTGTCATCTTTTAAATTTGGTTTAGCAACTAAGTTTACGTACTATTTACTTACTTGAAAAGTATGATTTTATCTTTGTAATTAACAAAATGATTCCGACGAAACTAAATCAGGATCAATGTAAAAAGGCATAGTTTTTTTTTCAAAATGATATAAAAATCAAAATTTTATTGTGTAATATTTTTAAATTGTCTCTCCATTTATATTGCTTATTATATATTTTTAGTGTCCCTAACAAATTTACCTTTATAAAAGATTTAACGGTACTATTAATTTTCAAATTATAAATATTTCCTTTGCCATACCATTTTATTATTATTACGGAAATAAAAAAAATACAAATGAATACTGGTTTAGCAACTAAGTTTACGTACTATTTACTTACTTGAAAAACATGAGATTACCTTTCTAATTAACAAAATGATTCCGACTAAACTAAACCATGATCAAGGTAAAAAAGGCATAATTTGTTTCAAAATGATATACAAATATTAAAGAAAATTATTATATAATATTTTTGAATGGTCTCTCCATTTATATTGTTTATTATATATTTTTGTGTCCCTAACAAGTTTACTAGTATAACGGTACTATTAGTTTTCAGTTTATAAATATTTCCTTTGCCATACTATGTTATTATTATTATATATAAAATGGAAAATACAAATGAATATATATTGCACTTTTATAATTGATCTCACTTAAAATTTTATTTATGCATATATAAACATTAAAACTTATAATTCGTTGCGGAGAACGTTGATTGTTGCATGGACCGTAGATTTGTCGAAGAGCCGTCTCTATGTTTTTCGTTTCCTCTTTTTATCTAATTTTACTTTTACAATATTTAATTTGCTAAGGTCTAATTTTTTTTTTCAACCAAAAAAAAATTTTGGAAGTTATGTGAGAACAGAGGCAGGCTGTATCTGGCGGCGACAATATATTATCTTCAATAACTTGACTATATATATATATATATAAACATTTCCGGATTATGCGTTGCCTACCATACGTGCGAATTATTAAAAATGATAAGTAATATTGTATAATAAGGAATTTAAAAATTAAAATATACGTATAAGATATGGCAGAGTCAAAACGAACGAAATGGCCTGCATGAAACGTTTTCAAATTTTTTGAATACAGCTAGAGAATCTATAGCCATTACTATGAGTTCACACACACACAAAATATATGAGACATGTGCATGCTATGTATTTGGATGTGAAAATATGATTTTCATCCGTATATTCATGTATTAAACTTAATATTAATTACTTAAACAAAATTATAAAAATTTAGTATTAATTTAATACGATTATCTTAATTATTGTAAGTCCTAGAGAAATTCACATACTTCTCACAAGAAAATAATAATTACTTGTTATTTTAATATTCAATTGCCAATTATTGGTTTTAATTTAAACACTCAAAAGAAAATAAATAGGCATTATTTTATATCCATGTGCCAATTATTGGTTTAAACACTAAGAAATGAAGTAAATTTGTTTTAACCCACCTTCATTTGGGAATTTTTATTATATAATAATTGATTTTCCCCCCACATGTCCACAACTTCGAAATTCTAACTCAGAGAGCGTTGGAACATAACAAATACTATAACTCATGGAAAGTCAAACTTCCCCAACGATTCCTACCAAATTCACATATACATATACATATATATATACATATACATATATACACAAATTTTAGAGAGAGAAAAAAGGTCCAAGATAAAAGAATCTTGAACTGTGGCCGTGGAACCATATATTATTTTTTATTTTTTATTTTGCAAATATGTATGCGTGTGTACCAATAAAGAGTATTAAGTGATACGATGGTTCGTGGTAGGTGCGCTTATAATTTGGTCTGAATCGGGCAATCACTCGAATTCCGTTTTGCTCTGTCTTTTTTTGTTTCATTATTGTATGACCAAATCGCCTTGTTGGACCGCATATGATTATTATTATTTTTTTATGTGAAAAGGTCAAATCTTCTACGTTATTTTTCTATTTGATCGGAGACCCAACCCAATATGCTAGGGTATCAACAAATAAGTTTATTTATTTGATTGATATAATTGATAAAAAAAAATAACGAGAATATTTTACTTTAATAACACCAAGCTAATAGCTTCTATTTTATAATGTATTAAATGTTTCCAACAATATAGTGTATATATATATTCATTCATATGCACGATACATGGATAAAGTTGATGTTGAAAGTCAAAAGCTTTAATTAATGACGTTAGCCATGAAAGAGCAGAAAAGGGGTTTTGGAAAAGGTTTTCCATTTTTCAGCCACATTAATGTATTTGACGTATCTTTCTTGCTTTCATCAAGATTCCGTGGTAGATTTTCTATTGAATTTTTTGGATAATTCCTTTATATCGATTACAGATTCGGCCAAGATGAAATTATTATAAATAACAACCGTCCATGTAATGATACGTAATTTATAATCGTTCAAAATAGTTGTTTGGTACCGAGTAGATATATATTTCGACCGTTGTATAACCAAATTTCAGATGAAGTCCAAACCTTTAATCAAATCTAAGTTTTTCGGCCTAATTTTCTTATTCAATACAAGGGATCATCACATCATGGGACCATATATATATATATATAAGGGCACCACAATGCCACGTACTTGCCATTCAAGCATTGTTCACACAAACTGTTATATTTTAGGTTATTTTTGGATTTAAATATTTTTATTTTTTTAAATTATATTTTTTATTCTTCATGCTATATATATGATTTTTTAGTAATAATTTTTTTTAATAAAATCTGTTTTTTCTTTTTACTCTGATTTTTTTGCTTATTTTTTTCATTAGATTTAAATTTTATAAAATTTATTTCAAAACTCAGAACTGATTCGTTTTATTTGACTTAAAAATTAGTCGAATTACATATTGAATTTTTTTCGCATCCAAATACCAAAAGACATACATTCCAAACCAAAATATGAAAAAAAAAACTTTAAAATAAAAGAGATAAAAATATGTTAGTGTTCCAAAATTTATTGATGATAATTGAAAATTTTATAATAAGAATAATAGTGGTTATTAAAATGGTTTGGTTGTCGCATTGTCTTTGAATGTTGATATTGAAACATCATCAAATTATATGTCACTATCAGGCTTTTATTTAAAATAATTATTACAAAAACGACAACTAATCTTTTTCCTTAATCAGTGAAGGGGGAAGACCGTTACGTACATTCATTGATTAAACTCAATCATTTATGTATTCAATCAACTTACGAAAATCAACGTTTGTTCAATTTCTTACACAAGTGCTCCAAGTTAAGAGGATAATAAGTGAAATAATCTAAAATCTAGCTAAATAATACTCCCTCCATTTCAAAATATTTGTAGTTTTAAGTTATTTTCCATGTTTCAAAATATTTATCATTCTACATTTTCAAGACATTTTTTTATAATAGTTTCCAATTTTATCTCTATTAAATTCTAATAAATTATTAACAATAATATTGTTTTTATCATTAAATAAGGGTATACATGACTTTTTCTATATTTTTTAAAAAAATATGAAATAACCTAAAACAACAATTATTTTGAAACAGAAGGAGTATATTTCTCTACTTTTTTATATAGAGGTTACTCCTTTCGCGTTTACAAGCATCCTTGAATTATTTCTTATTTATTTAGTTTCAAAAATCGAATACTAAACTATGGTCCTACTGTAAAGAAATACAGAAGTCAATTTAATTTAATTTCGATTTTTTTTCTTTCACAAACGTGTCTTCCGAATAATCATCCAAATCATTTATTCCATAGATTTACGTTTCATTTAGTTGGTCTATTGATCTAATATTCGGTAATTTCGGCTGATTATAGGTTTTGACGCATTTCTCGAAAAACAAAGGAAAACTATTGATCAAACGAAGGGTTGGTCTTCGGAGAGGTGTTTTGGGCTTTATGCAAGCCCATTAAATGAACTGTTGGGCTTCACTTTTTTTTGCTAATTCGTAATGCTAAAGTGATGACGGCCAATTCATGGGCCTCTTGTGATATAGAAAAGCCCAATAAATGCAGCCCAAATCAAATACTCGGCCCACCAACCTTACATGACGCCTGTCGTTCGTGTCCGAAACAAAGGAAAAAAAAACTACCAATCTAATTTCGGACAATATGGTTCTTTTCAATTAAAAATCTTACAACCTTATATAAAAACGGAAAATATGGATTGTTTTTATAAAAAAAATGATGTGTGGTTTTAAATCGATCAGATATACTTTTTTAAAAAAAAAAAAAAATTAACAGAATGAAATTAAAAATAATATTGGATTTATTTCTTTATTGGTCAACAAATAGTGGAGCTTTCGTATTCTAAATTTAGCCTCAACGGTCGGTCCACGCCAGATCATAAAATAGCTAAATAGCCCCACGGAGTAATCGCGAAAGCGGCAGTGATGTCACGCACAAACAAACTTACATAACTTGGCATGACACGGTCATTTATTTTTATAGGGTTTGGGATTTTTTTTTTTTACAAAGTATTAACTTGTCCGTTTCAAAAAAAATAAAATAAAATAGTTACCATTGCCTCAATCTTATTCATGACACATTCATTTGTTTTTGTTATTTTTTATATTCGAATTCTATCTTATTCATATGTTGATTAATTTTTAAAAAAAATCATATTTTTAGTTAATTTATAGATTGAATATATTTGGAATATAATTATATTTTTAGATGAAATACGAATGAAAATTTATTGTTTAATTTAATTTAATTTTGTATATTCGAATTAAAATCAATATTCCTAAAAACTACTAACATTGAGATTGCTAAGGCCAATGTGTTAGATTTTTTTTTTTAATTAGAAAAAAACAATTTAGTAATAATGATGAAAATCTTTTAGGTCCTAGATATTTAAATTCGATGATGATTATATGTATATATAATATCAGGTACCGTATAGAATGGTTATGTATCAACAAAAGAAATGGAACTATTATGTTTTAACTGCCGCATGACGGACTTGATCTATCATACGTAAATAAATATAATTCATTATGTAACCAAAGATAATAAATTTATATTATTTTATTAAACTAGATTTACTGTTATGTTTCTAAATAAATTTTGTATTCATATATCATCCATGGTAATTATTCCGAATTTAATTCACGAGTTGTGCCATGAATGGTGGCATTTATTAGTCCGACCAATGGACCACGTTGAAATTGATATTGCGCCATACACAATATATATATATATATATAATATGTATCAATGAAAATTTCATGGTACGGCGATAATATTAATAGTAATCTTGATAACAGCAATCGTTGCTTTGCTTATCTTTATGGGTGAGTAACTTTTGTTTGACAAGATAACAATAATAAGTATTATCCGTCAAAAGTCAATTAATCAATGGTTTAAAGATTAGCATCTGTAATGATATTTATAGAATTCGAATATTAATTCGCATGGTTTGTGAAATTAAAATAAGCACTTGTACTGTAATAATAAAAAATACTCAACCTACTTAGATATCTCTCTCTCTTTCTTTTTATGGGGTCTTTTACAAGAGTTTGATGAATGAAGATATTGCAGAAACATTCTAACTTTACGATACGCAATATAGCCGTATATTAGATATATCCTGACTACGTATTTTAATTTCGTAAGGTACATATCCGCCAATATAATGAGATTAACTCAACAGTTGGTGATCCAGTGGTGAGAGGTGACAAAATCATCCTTAACGTTCTGGGTTCGATTCCACTGGTGGGGAGAGATGTGGTGGGGAGAGATGTAATTTCTGGATCAAAATGGTACATATAAATATATGACTATTAAAATAGGAAATTTTATAAATGTAGTTAAAATTTTAATTTATTGAGCCTACACAGAGCAGATATGGTGTGGCATCTCTTTTTAATATCTCACATGGCCCATTGTACTTTTGATCAAATATCATACTTTCCCGTCTATGTTTTTCTTTATTTCCTTGAAAAACATACGACATAATAGATTGATGCATTTAGGCAATATTTTTTTCCACATAAAGTTCTATGAAATCATCCAAAACAAGAAAAAATTTCAAATATGGAAAAATTATCAAATGTTAAAATGTACATATTGTTATTATATATTTTTTAAAAATTTCTTATTATATCGAAATAATTTTTTTATTTTAAAATTCGTGGACTACAAAGTATAGAGAATTTAAATGATAATATAATTAATATAATATTATATTTTTGTTCATTTGGATTTTTTTAATTACATTGCAACTTTTCTATATATATATATATAATTATATACATATTAATATTTTTGGCTTCAAAAAAAAAAACAAGTATAAATATAATCGCAATGTCTACAATTTGAGAAAATAAATTATAATTATTTAAAGGAAGGAAATTTCAGAAAATAAATTAGTTTGTAAACAAACATGCATTTTATGGTATTTTCTATATGGGAGGAAGAAATAGAAAGTAAAATAAATTATCAAATGACGAAATTATAACATATATACGTGTATATGAAAATAGAGGGTGTGAAATAATATCAACCAAGCTTTTGGTTAAAGTGCACAAATGATCAGATCCGTGAATCTAATAACGTTCAAGATATTTATATAAAGGAAGGTAATCAAATCTCGAAATATTTACTGTATATTTACAAATTATACATCCATTTCTGGTCCTAATATATTTTAAATTAATAGTGTATAAATGGCAGAATTAACGTATTACCATATAAAAAAAACTTATATTTCCACCATATTACTTATGATATATATATATATATATTCTAATATTTTAATATTTAAATAAAAGCAGACCTGAAATCACAAGTGATACAGTTATAAATAACAGCGGCAGAGGCAGTTTCGATATCATCCATTTATAGTTTCAAGGCTCGTGACATCAGTTTATAAATACATTTTTGGAAATATTATCAGTTTATAAATATACTCTTAGAAACATTTGTAGTCTCAATGTTCTTACAGATTCTAGAAGTACTATTTGGTGGTCGGATTCCGAATAAAATTATAAAACTAGATACACACAAGTCAGACATTATGGATTAAAAAAGAAAAAAAAAATTGTTTTTGTCAAAAAAGATTAAACAAAATATGGAAAATGAAATTAAAAAAAACATAACTAATAGCAAGCAGTGGTTAAGATAAAATTATTAAATTAAATAAATAATAGGAAACCATGGAAGAAAATGAAGATCTAAGGTGGCTGCTCTTCTCTCTCTGCCTGACGAGCTTCAAAAGCAAACCCCAAACCTGCGGTTAAACATCTACCGGAGAAATCAAAAAGAAAATAAAAATCTCTCTCTCTCTCTCTCATCCTCTGTTCTTGTGGGTATATAATCCGTACAATGATCTTCTCTCACAGAGGATCATTCAAAAGAGCAAGGGCACAACTGCGATTCAGACAACCTCTGTGAGGAAGAAAAAACCAGACAGAAGATGGTTGAAAACGCTGTCGTTCCCGGAGGAGGGGAGAAGGCGGGCGCCGTCGCCGTCTCCGGTCGGACTGTTATGGTCGGCGTGAAGCTTGACGCGCCGAGCAGGGAGTTGCTGACGTGGGCTCTTGTCAAGGTTGCTGAACCTGGTGACACTGTGATCGCACTTCATATCCTCGGAAACGGTGCGTTTTGATTTGGCGAGTTAAACTTTTTTAGGAATTTAGGGTTTATCGTAATCTGGGTTTCTCCCACACAAATTAGATTGAATGTGGTTTCTTTTGTTTCATTCCCTTTTTTTTCCTTTGATGGGTTTGTGCAGAGATAGTTGACCGAGCTGGGAAATCGTCACTTCTATCACTGGTGAAAACTTTTGACTCTGTTCTTGAAGTCTACGAAGGTTTCTGCAATTTGAAACAGGTTTTGACTCTTCTCTGTTTGATTCCCGAGAAAACTCAATCCCCAAAGTTCCACGCTTTTTCCTTTTTCATTTCCCACTTTCCCCTGTAGTCATTCTCCAGCTTCTGCAGACAATTAAGAGTAGTTAGAATTCATGTTACAGGTGGATCTGAAGCTGAAGGTTTGCCGTGGTTCGTCAATCAGAAAGATTCTTGTGAGGGAAGCAAAATCCTTTTCTGCGGCCAAAGTTATTGTCGGAATCTCCAGAAGTCACCATGCAATTCGCTCCTCTTCATCAGTAGCTAAGTACTGTGCCAAGAAACTATCAGATGATTGCTGGGTTTTGGCCGTCAATAACGGGAAAATCGTGTTCCAGAAGGAAGGTTCTCCATCAACCAACTCTCAAGGTTTTGCCCATTCTTTGGTTTTGGTTTCAAGATATTGATGATCTGCGTCGCTGTTTCAATTCTTGAAGCCCTTTCTTGGTTTTGTCTGTGACAGGAAAACAAGAAATCCGCAGGAACACGTTGTTTAATGCCCTTCACTGGTCTGTAACATTAAACAAGAGTAATAAAGTAGTAAACCATTCAGAGGGGACTCTAAAGGAGGAAGAAGAGGAGGAGAATCATGGAGAATGCCAGAATCTTCGACAGGCTTTAGCTGCAGCTCGTCTCGAGAATTGCTCGGTCTGCGGTTCAGAGAATGGAGTTCCTGAATCATTGTCTGAATCTTCACATCATGAAGATGATGATCACAAAAACCAGGGGTCCATGGCGATTGTCCCTGCAAATAAACCAGAAGATTCGAGTGGTTCCATCACTATGTTGGTAAGGCAGTTGCCTGAATCCAGGCCAGGCTGGCCTTTGCTCCGCCATGGGCAAGCCTCTACTCTTCGCAGGTCATCGTTAAGACAGATACCGGTTGTACAGTGGGCATTGAAGTTGCCCTCCAGGAACAATACAACATCTTGTGTTACCAATTCTGACACTAATCAAATCTGTAAATCACTGAGCTTAAACGCTCAGAGTGGTGCAATAGTCCCTGTTAACAGCCCGAGAAACTCGGCAGCTGAGTTAGAATGTCTTCATGAGAAGTACTCCTCAACATGCAGAACGTTCAAGTACAAGGAGCTTGTCTTGGCAACATCTGGTTTCTCTCCAGGTTTGGTTTCTCGTCCATATTTGTTAGGCTCTTCTTGAATTCTCTGCCTAGCTTTTAACCTAAACAAGGAAAAGGGCATTGCAATTTCAGCGAATTTTATCGGGAAAGGAGGAAGTAGTCGGGTTTTTAGAGGGTATCTGCCTGGTGGAAGAGAAGTAGCCGTGAAGATTCTGAAGCAGAATGAAGAAGTTCTTAAGGAGTTCATATCAGAGGTTGACATAATCACAACCTTACACCATGAGAACGTTATTTCGCTGATAGGGTTTTGCTTCGAAGACAACAATCTATTACTGGTTTACAATTATCTCTCGAGAGGAAGCCTCGCGGAGAATCTTCACGGTAAAAACATATTTTTTTACAAAAGCCATTACCTACATTTTCAGAATCTTATATATATATATATGGTCACTGATATAACAAAGAAGTGGTTCATTACAATGTAGGAAACAAGAAAGATGAAGTTGCATTTGGTTGGAGAGAAAGATATAAGGTTGCTGTTGGAGTAGCCGAGGCATTGAACTATCTGCATAATGATGCTTCTCGACCCGTTATCCATAGAGACGTTAAATCATCAAATATATTATTATCTGATGATTTTGAGCCACAGGTATATATTACTATTTGCTAATTTTCATGTTGATGGGGCGGGTCGGGTACCCGAGATATTATGAGCTCGAACATTTCAGATTTAACTAGATGTTATTCGAATTTGAATCCCATTTTCGGATTTTCTTTGCGACCAAACCCGATCTCCTTCCATACAATGATTGTTTACCCGAAAGTCCAGTCCTTTTTCAAGTCCTATATACTGAAATGAAAGTCTTGTTTTCCAGCTTTCGGATTTCGGGCTTGCGAAATGGGCATCGATATCTTCAACTCACATAATCTGTTCAGATGTGGCCGGGACATTCGGGTACGGAAGAATAAAAAATCTAAACTGACTTTTCATAAAATTTGTCAGAAGAGATAACAATAGAATGGTTCTTGGTTTCTATTGGTGCAGATACTTAGCACCAGAGTACTTCATGTATGGAAAGGTGAACGACAAGATAGATGTGTACGCCTTCGGAGTTGTACTTCTCGAGCTTCTTTCTGGAAGAAAACCTATCAGCAACGAATGTCCAAAGGGACAAGAGAGTCTTGTTATGTCGGTATGTATAACCTGCAAAGTGTTTTGATCTGTTATTGTTGCTGAAGGAATAAGTACTATATATACATATATATATGCAGGCGAAACCGATTCTGGATGATGGAAAGTATTCGCAGTTGTTGGATCAGAGTTTGGAGGATAGCTATGAAGGCTTTCAGATGGAGAGGATGGCTTTGGCTGCCACTCTTTGTATTAGACGCAGCCCTCAATCTCGGCCTAAAATGAGTATGGTGAGTCCTTCTCAATTCCGTGTTCGTTTATAGTTAATGTGGTAGATAGGGGTGGGGTATAGTATAGGTCGGGTATCCGATCTTTTTCAGTGTACCGGATCTTGGCCTCGCCCTCTCTGGTTTTTTCGGTCAGACTATATGGTCTGAAGACTCTTTATTGTTCAGACAAAAAAACATGCAGATGGATAAGGACAACCACGTCTCGTTATGAAAGTGCAGGTCTTAAAGCTTCTGAAAGGCGACGAAGAAGTGGTGGCATGGGCAAGGCAACAAGTGGAAAACCCTTCAGATGACTCAGAGGCTCTGAAAGAGGAAGAAAGCCAAAGGTCTAATCTTCAGTCGCATCTTAACTTAGCGCTTCTTGATGTGGAAGATGATTCCCTCTCGATGGGAAGCATCGAACAAGGAATCTCGGTCGAGGATTATCTCAAAGGCAGGACTAGCCGTTCCTCCAGCTTCGACTAATCCCTTTTTTTTTTTTTCTTGATATACAATAAATACAAAAAAAAAAAATTAGAGGTAAAAGATGAGGAAATTATAAAAGGGTTACATTGTGAGTGTGTGTGTGTATATATGTGGAAGGTGTTCTTTCATTTTTGCATTTTGAATGGGTGGTGGATGAGAGGTGGATTTGTGGATGTTCTTGGCCTCCTCCCTCCCTGGTTAGGTTGTAATTGTAACTTTTTAAAGTTTGGGGTTTGTTTTGCAATTTTATATTTTTTTCTTTTTCTGCTTCACATTTTCTCTTCCTTTTTTTTTATCGTCCTTTGTTTTAATTAGGCCAGTCATATACTTTAATAATATTGGAAGGTTTAAATGATTTTAGAACATGTAGAATAATAATTTACAAACATATTATATATTTTTTAACATATTTGTTAATATAATTAAAAAAAATTGTCACTAGAAGAAGATTGCAATATGTAGATGATACAGTATACAATTCTTCCACCCCTATTTTTGTGGAGAATTATTTTTTGATGGCATGTAGATTTAGAATATCTCAATCCCGTTCCTTTCAATTTTTGACATAAATTCATAAGCTTTTTATTTCGATTATTATTCTTTTATGATCTATAGCATGTCAAGATTCACTTTTTTTTTATTCAGTTATGATTTATATATACTATATGATGCCTGAATTAGTTTTCGACCGTTTCGTATAAAGACAAACTGTCCAAAAAAATCAATGGAGAGAAAAGACAGAACAAGATACACTTTGTGGCTGAGGAAATTTCCAAATACGGACCATACCATACCACCACGAAATTCTAATTCTATAACGCTGAAGAAATTCAATGAATACATAATAAATATCGTATAAAAAAAGACATTTAACCAATTTTTTAAATAAATACTAAATCAGCTAAATCCGAATACATTGGAACACATACTAAATATCATATCTAAATGAGTTTTTTGTGGTAAATACAGACAAAAATCCTATGAAATACATTACTTTGAAATGGAAAAACCCGAATACGTGTTTCTACATATGGCACATAATGTTTTTTTCAATAGCTTCTTCTGCGAAGCTTCACCAAGCCAAAACGACGCCGTGCTCAACACAACCGCTAAGTCGTCGTGTATCTCTCTGTGTGTGTATATATATAGTCGTCAAGATTGAAACTTTCCGCAGAAATCAGATACCCATTTGGCCAACTTAACCAGAAAGCCAGTCTTTTTCCGACAGAAACTTGAAGTATTCAGAAGGATTTGGTCGACGTTCCGGTCATGTCGTCTTCTCCGGTTATGAACGCAAACTTTCTTCGGAGAATCTTCGAGAAAATCGACAAGAACAACGACGGTCTCGTGACAGTTGATGAGCTTCAATGGCTCCTCGAGAGGCTTGGCTTTGTGGAAAACACAGCAGAAGAGCTCGAACTGATCGTAGGAAAACACAGCCTCGATCTCGACGAGTTCTTGCGATTCTACGTCGCCGTTTCGAAGGACAGTGACAAGAAAGAATCCGAGAACGATGATGATGACGACATTGTGAGGGCATTCAATATGTGTTCGACGCGAACGGAGATGGGTATATCTCGTCGGAGGAGCTGCGGATCGTGCTGGACCGGCTCGGGTTATGGGACGAGTCGAAGGCAGAGGAATGCGGGAGCATGATTCGAGTTCATGACAAGAATCTTGATGGTTTGATCGATTTCGAAGAATTCAAGAACATGATCTTACATGTCAAATGAGGGAGGATGTACCTCCTTTCTCTGAATTCCGAGTTTGTTCTCTCTTTTTTCTAAACAAAATATATAAAACCTTGCGGCGAAAATATCATCTTTGATCGAAAAATACTAACACATTGATCGGCGAGTGTTTCAGAGATACACCCAAAATGAGCAGTAATTTTTTTATTTCAATTTTATACCATTTTTTCACTTAAAAAGTCCGAAATAACCTTTTTTCTATATTTTTTACGACTTTATTCCAACTGTTATATAACTAATATACGACTAAAAAAAGAAGTATTTATGACCATATAACAACTAAAAATCTTATAACTAATAAGATGTATTTTTTGTCATTTCATTTAGAATCAATTACAACTGTATTTAGAATCAATTGCGACGTTGCAATTACAATTACACGATTTCATTAAGGGTATTACGGTCTTTTCAAAAAAAAAATAATGTGTTATGTTTTTTTGGGTGTATCTCTGAAATTCCTGCGACACTTTTGGTATATCTGTGTGATTTACCCTCGTCGGAGACCGTAAGAATTTACCTCGTCTCAGATTTCTAGGGTTTGTTCCTTCGTGCATTCTCCACTCTGGTATGCGTTTTCTTTGCTTTCTTCATTTTCTTTGCTCGGTCTTTCCTTAGAATTTGGCTTTCGTTTCGTTCCGTTTGGTGGTATGTGGAGAAATCTTCGTTGTAGTTCCAGATTCTGGTAAATTTCGCTGTTTATGATGAATTCCTGGAAAATTTTTGCTAACTTAAATAGATAGTTATTAATTTAGGCTAGTTTCGCAATGTTTTGTTGTTGAAGGACAATGAGATTCAGATGAACGAGTTTTTCTTTATTTGCTTGTGCTCTCCTGGATTGTAGATGGATGGTAAATTAGAAAATTATATGCCAGGAGTAGGATTTTATGTTGTTCGTATTAATACTCTACTGTGGTTAACTGGTTATGTGAAGATTGGAGTGGCCTTGTCTGTTTTTTTTCTCTTGAAGTAGGATGGAAGGGTGAAACCCTAATTCCAGGGAGTGAGGGCAAGGGAATAAATCTTTGTGTACGTGTGAAAATAGCCATGGAAGAACGCACATGCAATACTGATGGTATAGAGGGTAACCAGCCAACTCATTTGGCAAAAAGTGAAACACAGAAAGCTTGTTGTATCAGAGTTGGTGTAATAGGTGATTCTGCTAATGCAAGATGCGGAAAGAGTAAAGAGGTACGAACTTACAAGCGCATGAAACTGATGGGTCGCACTGGGACCTCGAGCACCGGTTCACAACAGGTCTCGGGTCTGGTCCGCGGGCTTACGCATGGGAGGTGGAGCTCAGTGGGTAAATTTCCAGAAAATGAGAATTTTTGTGGAAAGTGCCAGTCAGTTAGGCTCTGATACCAATTAATAAGGTTTAGGCCCTAACTCCACCACAAAAGCTAGCTTAAGAGTGGAGGGTTGACCCTTACTTATATATTGGCCCAAATCCCTCTCATTTTCCCATGTGGGACACTTATCAATTCACTGTGTTT